ATAAGTTCATTTACGTTGGCAATACACTTTCCAGGGATCTACATACAGATGACGAGGTTGGCACACACATGGCCAGAGCTGGTTTAGTATTGGGAGGCTCTGAAGGAAAGTATGAGAGAGAAGTATTAGGCTGCCTGCCAAAGTGAAGGTCTACAGAGCTGTTGTGTGACCCCATTGTTGTAAGCCTGTGAAACCTGGATGGTCTACTAGCACCATGCTAGGAAACTGAATTTCTTCCATGTGAATTGTCTTGGGAAGATTCTGAAGCTCACCTGGCAAAGTAAGGTACTAGACACTGAGGTCCCTTCTTGACCTATACTGCCAAGTATTGACACACTACAGAAGAGAGTGCAACTCTGACTGGCTGGCCACATTTGCCTAAAAGACTATTTTATAGAGAACTCATGCAAGGCAGGTGCTCACATGGCGGTTAGGAGAAATGATACAAGAACACTCTCAAGGTCCCTCTGGCAAAGGACTGCCCACATCAAAGAAGGCGCTGTGCTCTGTGAGAGAAACAGAATTGTGGTAGCTGAAAAGAAAAATGCGATGTGCAAATTTAGAGACATTTCTACTCCAAATGTTCACATAGACTACTTGTGCCCAACCTGAGCTAAAGCTTTCCTAGCTCATATTGGTCTGATCAGATACAGTCAAACACACGTAACGCCAACATAGTAATGTCATTTTGGTCCTTTTTGATTAAGAAGGACAACAATCAACCGAATAAGTCTTCCCCAATACCAATACCATTGGTATTTCCCAATACCAGGCTGCTAAGCTCCTTGAGGGCAGGGACTGGTTTATTTTTGTCTTTTTAACCCTATTGCCACATTCAGTGTTCTGCACATAGTAAGCATTTAATGTTTGTTAAAATAAGATGTTCAAAAGGAAGAAAGTATAGAACTTTATGATAGCCTGGGAATGGGAACAAGGAGAAGGAAGACTCAGAGATGATTCCAAAGTGCTGTGTTGAAGAGAACAGTAGTAGTACCAGACTGATAAAAATGGGAATGTTGGGAAAGAGGCCACATTAGGAGGGACAACAATGACTCTGACTTTGGACACTGAATCCTATTGTTAGAGTTTGAAGGGACATTGGAACCCATCTAGTCTAATCGCTTCATTTTACATAGGAAGAAACTGAAGCCCAAGAAGACAAAATGATTTACCAAGGGGCCCCCTGATGGTAGAGCAGGGTCTAATAGTGAGTTTAAGGTGACAGCTGGAAATAGAGGCCTAGCTTAAAGGTACAGATCCTTGGTAAGGCTGAGAGGAGACACAGGAGAAAAACTAGGAAAGAACATTTTGCTTTATTTTATCTCTAATCCTCTAACTTTCAAGAAAACAAAGTATTATCCTTTCCATTTCTGGGAGTTGAGTCTTGGTCAGGAGACCAGGTGGTGAAGTAGAATGCCAGCCTGCTATTCCTGACTCCTAAATTCAGATGTGCCCTCAGATACTTAACAAGCTGTGATACCCTGGGCAAGTCACTTAACCTCAGTTTCATGTAAAATGGGGATAAGAAGAACATCTACCTCCCAGGGCTATCACGAGGATCAAAAAACACAAAAATTATAAAGCATTTAGCATAGTGCCTGGTATATAACAAATGCTAGCAATAGCATGTTAATAAGCTTCAATCTTGAACAAGACCCATCCTTTTCTTTAGATTTAAGCAAGATTAGAAACTTTGGATTCCTACCTAAACTTGAACCAATTGGTATAGATGTGGCTACCTGGGATGAGTTGAGAATATGTACTGGGATACTGATTTGCCCAGGAACTAGACCACCGTTTCTTGTTCTTTTTTTAAAAATTAATTTATTTTGATTTATCAACAATCACTTCCATATGCTTTTGAGTTTAAAATTTTTCTTCCCCTTCCTCCCCCCCACCCTCCCCAAGATGGTGCACAATCTGATATAGGTTATACATATACATTTCTATTAAACATATTTTCACATTAGTCATGTAGCTAAGAATTTGAACCAATAGGAACCATTAGAAAGAGGAAACAAAACAAAAGAAAACAGAAGAAGAAAAAATAGCAAATAGTATGCTTCTACCTACATTCAAACTCTATAGTTCTTTCTTTGGATGTGGATAGCATTTTCTATCACAAGACCTTTGGAGATGTCTTAGATCCTTGCATGGCTGAGAAGGGCTAAACCTATCAACATTAGTCATCGCACAACATGGCTGTTACTGTGTACAACATTCTCCTGGTTCTGCTCGCTTCACTTAGCATCAGTCCACACAAGTCTTTCCAGGTTTTTCTGAAGTCAGCCTGTTCATCATTTCTTATAGCACAACAGTATTCATATACCACATTCATATACCACAGCTTGTTCAGCCATTCCCCAATTGATGGCCATCCTCTCAATTTCCAATTCTTTGCCACCACAAAAAGAGCTGCTATAAATATTTTTGTACATGTGGGTCCTTTTCCCATTTGTATCTCTTTGGGATACAGCTCTAGAAGTGCTATTGCTGAGTCAAAGGGTATGTACATTTTTATAGCTCTTTGGGCATAGTTCCAAATTGCTCTCCAAAATGGTCGGATCATTTCACAATTCCACCAACAATGCATTAGTGTTCCACATTTTTTCTTGTTCTTACAAAACACTCAGGATTAGGATTCAGGGAACTTGCTGTAAAACTCTGATGGCTTGTTAACTACATACTGTTATTTTATGATCACAGGATCACAGATTTAGGGATGATATAAGGGATCTTTGAGGTAACTTAATACAACTGCCTCATTTTACAGAGGAGGAAAGTGAGGCCCAGAGGGCTGAGATTACCTGCTCCAGGTCACAGAGGCATTACTTGCCTGAGGCAGGATTGAAACCTAGCACTTCTGATCCCAAATCCAGCCACCTTTCCACTGCCCCATGCAGTAACTCACTTTTCCTTTCTGGGCCTCAGTTTCTTCCTCTGTAAATTGAAGTGGTTTATTTAGATGAAGGGGCTTTGACCCTCTGTGTTATGGACACAAGTTCATGGATCCCTTGAAATTGAACCATGAACCTTAGGTTAAGAACCCTTCTTTTCAGGCCCTAAAATACTTCCCATTATTTAAATCCTCTGGTCTTTTGCAAATGTGGGGGGGGGGTTGTTGTTTTTTTTTAGGAAATATGTTTAATCAAATTTACAAAGAAAAAAAGGAAATTTAGGCTCATAACTGAACATAGCATTTATACCATATTGTCCTTTTTCAACACTTCAAAAACCCTGAGATTTCATCCATGTTGATTCTCTCTCCACTGAAGCAGATGGCAATGATAAGATCCCAGATTTACAGCTGGAAGCAACCTCAGGGCTCAATCTATTCCAACCCCCTCTTACACAGAGTAGAGAAAGGTCAAATGATTTGATGGTCATGAAAACATTAAGTGACCAAGTCCTCTGCCTCCCAATCCACGTCTTTTCACTATACCATGCAACATCTCTCCCCACCACACTGAAGAAGATGGTTTTGAGTTACCATGCTAAAACAATCATCTCCTGGTGGTCGTCAGGCTCCTGGTAATACCATTTAAGCTAGGCTACTCCTCAGACTGTGAACACAAGGTCTCTCCTTCCAGGGATGGTACTTGAGGCATTTTCAGCTTGGCAGGACTTGTAGACTATTTCTATTTCCATAGCCCCCACCCTAGGATAGACACTCCTTACCCGGTGCCTGGACCTGCTTCTTTACAGCCTTTCAGCCTCTGCTTTCTTCTCTTCTAATCCATCCTTCACAGGATGGCCAGAAGTCTTTCCCATAGGTAGATATATATGGTCTCCTCCCTCCTCTGCCAACAATCACTTTCCTCTTATGCTCCAGCCTCCTTTCCTCCCTCCTTCGCAAATCATCCTGTACTCTCATTTCTCAATGCCTTGGCTCACGTGGTGGTTTCCTTGGGGAGGAATGTCATCCTTTACCTGTTCAATTCTCATCCATTCTGTAATGCACAGCTCGCTTACCACTTCCTTCTGGAAGACCTCCCTGATTCTCCCAACCCTCTAATCTCCACCCAGTACCCTGTTTGCACTTGTTTAATGAATTTGTTAGGTGTTTTTTGGTTACCCACGTGCAATTATTGATCGTTGCATCTTGCCTTCCTTAGACTTGCAAGCTCCAGGAAGGCTGGAGTGAGGTCTTAATCTTCATATTTTACATGGTGCATAGACTATCCTGTGTAAACCAGCTATTGGAGCCCAGAATTCCTCTTCCCCCGGGAGCAAGGCTGGGGATTCAAACAGCGATCGGTGCAAACACATCTTTTACGATGGAGCCCCGAACAGTGCACACTGCACAGCTCGGGCGCCGGCAGCCTCAGAGTCCTTTTGGGGCTTTGTCCCTGCCTTATCGCCCGGCTCCAGAAGCAGGCGCGTTCCCTGTGCCACTTCCTCCAGGACCGGGCAGTTCAGGGATGCACATAGTAGGAGCGCAGGGAGGGAAGCAGAAACGACTTTTTCTTTCTTTTTCCACTTGAAGTTGGGCATACTCCGGGCAAGCACCAGGGCACATACTGTCCCTCTTCGGGGGAAACAAGACCAAACTTGAGCTCGGGATAGGGATAAGCGAGCAATGTCGGAGGCTAGTGGCCGCCTCTCGTCCCTTCCCCAGCCTCCGGCCAAGCTGGTGAGCGGGAGGGGAAGGGGGCGGACGGCGCGAGCCAGGCACACGCCGGGCGGGCCCGGAGCAGCGCGCGCGCGCCCGCGGGCCGGCCCGAAGCCGGAGCCCCGCCCCGCTCGCCCCTTCTCCCCCGCCCCGCGCGCCCTTGCGCCGGGCCACGTGACCCATTTTGTTGTGGTCCCGGCCCGCGTGGGTGTCAGTAGTGGCCAGGCCGGGAGGGGGAGGGAGGGGAGGGGCCGGGAGGGGCGGGGCGGGGCCGGGCGGCGCGGGTCACGTGACGGGGGTTTAAATCTCCCGCAGCCGGCGCGGCGGGGGCGCCAGAGCTGCTGCTGCGCGTCTGCCGAGCGGGTGGGCGGGGGCGGGCGGCGGAGCGCGGGCGGCGGAGGCGGCGCCCAGGCCAGGCCCAGGCCGAGGCCCAGGCCCAGGCGGGCGGGAGGCAGTTGAAGATGGCGGACGAGACGGCGCTCGCCCTGGAGCCCGGCGCGGGCGGCGGAGGTCCCGGGGAGCCCGGCGGGGAGCCGCTCAGCAAGCGGCAGCGCAGGGACGGCCCGGGCCCGGGGCTGGGGGGCGGAGCGGGCTGGCGGGGCGGGGAGCCCGGGCCCGGAGGCGGCGGCCGCCCCGCTCGGGGAGGCCTCGGACACGGCCGCCCCCCGGCGGGGACAATGGGCCGGGCCCGCGGGGCCTGCGGGGCCTGCTCCGGGAGCCGCCACCACCACCGCCACCGGACGACGACGACGACGACGAGGACGACGACGAGGCGGAGGAGGAGGAGGAAGAGGGGGGCGAGGACGAGGACGAGGCGGCGGCGGCGATTGGCTACCGAGGTGCGCAGGGTCCGGGCGGCCGCGACTGCGCACCGCCCCCCGGGGCCGGCCAGGCGGGGAGGGCCGAGGGGAGGCGGGGGCCGGGCCGGGCCTTCACCCCGGGCCGCCGGAGCGCGTCCGAGCAGCGGGGGGCCCCGAGGTCTGCCAGCAGCCCTTGACCCTGGGCCGGCTTAACCCGAGCCGGGTTAATTGGAACCCTCCCCCCGCTCTCTCTTGGCAAAGGGGTCACTCCAGTGGATCCCGGCTCCCGGGCCGGGGTTCATGACGGCCCCGTCCCCAGCGCTCTTGGCGGCGGGGTCACTCCCGCTTATCTCCCCCCGCCCCGATCTCTCCCCTCCAAGTGACTTGCTCCGCCTGCTCTGCAGGACCTGCAGTGTTCGGGGATCCCGGTTTGGGGGCGTTTGTATTCTGCGTCGGGACTGCGCTGCCCGACCTGGCTGGGCTCGTTTGGCCGAGACGTTCATCCCCCCGCCGCCCACCCCCTCTATAAACTCACCTCCCCTTGTGGAGGGGCTTGCTTTTCTGCCGAGCCTGAGCCCGGGGCTGCTTGCCAGGGAGGGGGGAGTGTCTGCCTTACTGCCTGTTCGTTTCTAGTTCTGATTTTTCAGAGGCTCAGGTTGTATTGCCATCGTTTATTTTGTGGGGCTCTGCTTTCCAAAAGCCAGACAGGTTCTGGAAACAGATGTAGCAGTTTCTTGCTGTAAATAGAGGTGGAGTTGTGGGCAAGGTACCTTAATGTCTCCTCTTGGTTTGGAGGTGACCCTGGGCTCTCCAAGTTGGTGCCAAGGGGATCATAAGCTCTGGCGGGTTGTGTCAAACTGGAAAGGCTTGGTGTCCCATTGGACCTGCTTAGGGAGTTGGGAGAAGCTTCTCACTAAATGGGCTGCAGAGCCATGAGTATTTTGGCCACAGCAACTCCCATACAAATGTGGTTTGAGTCTGAGAGGTGAGGGAGTACCTACCCCAAGGAACGATCCTTGAAGTTTAAGAACTATGGGGAAGATAACTGAATGCCAAACTTGTATTTATCCTGAAGGACTCCTTTCCCCGCTGTAATCCTTCTTGCATAGCATCTTCAGCTAGATGCTATCTAGCATTTTGTAAACCAAAAAACACTATTAAAAAATGAGTGATCCTTATTGTTAGATATTGACCTTTTGGGGAGAGTAGAAGGAGAATAAATAGTTTAGTTTGTGATAAGTGAGTTCACATAAAATCTTTTACTTCTGGTATTGACCAGCATCTGTTGGCGGCATTTAGCAACAGTTGACTTCAAATTATTTGATGCTGCTATCTTTTGAACTGAAGGGTTACTAGCTGTATGACCCTGGACAGATCACTTAAAATCTGTTTGCTTCAATTTCCTCTACTGTAAAATTGGAATAATAAGTAACAGCTACCTCCCAGGGCTGTCTTTTGGATTGAATCAGATAATTGTAATAAAATGCTTGGCACGGTGCTGGGCACTTAGTAAATGCTATATATATATATATGTTAGCTATTATTATGAAGTGTTTTTTGCTACATATGTAAGATCGATAGATAATAGATACTTTCCAGATGAAAGAAGCAAGTAGGTGAATTAACTGTTATTTGGTTTACATTTATTTGAATGCCTACTTGTGGTCCAAAGAATTCATGTTTGATGAGCAATCCTGTTTTAGTAAATTTGTCAATGGCTTTTTTTTTTGCACTAAATTAGATTCTGTAGTTGGATTGCTAATCTCTGGGAATCTAGAATGTTTTGGATGAAAACAAGATGATGCTGATCTATTTAATTAATTTAAAATATAGTAAAGAATTGATCTGAAGTCCTTTCAATATGTCTCATTGTAATGAGGAGATGGCCTTGGGTTGCCTGGAGGGCAAGCTGGGAGAGGTTTTTTTTTTTCAACAGGTGAGGCACAGAACAGAGTCTTGAAGCTAAGGACCAGTAAGGAGGTTGGTCCCCAGGTCATTAATGATTTTTAGCTACTAATTCAAGAAACTCTTATTTTTGTTGGAGCTACAGTCTGCCTTTGAGAGAATGAGAACGTGGATAAAATTGCTTTTTTAGAAGTCGTTTGAATTTACCTAGCTGCAAATGTTGTCCCTTTGAAGATAGGTACTGATTTTTTGGTCTGCCTATCTCCAGTGTCTATCACAATGGCTTGCAAATAGACACTTAATAAATAATTTGAAATATTAATTGAAGTAGGGAAGATGAAGGGAATAAGTATTTATATGGTGCCTACTGTATGTTAAGCACTTTTTGCATTTATCTCTTTTTATCCTCATTTTACAGATGAGAAAACTGAGGCAAATAAGTTAAGTGACTTGTCCAGGGTCACACAGCTAGTCATTGTCTGAGGCTGGATTTGAACTCTGGTCTTCCTGACTTCAGGCCCAGCACTCTTATATACTCCTCCACTAGCTCCTTCCAGTAAATAAAATTTTTGAGTCCTTGTACTTTTGAAGATAGTCATAATGGATCCTTAATAAGATATCATACTTTCTTTTTGGTCCTGTGATTTCTGGCTGCAGCCACAGGAAATTTCCTCTGTAGATTGTTTGCTAACTTTTTCACTTAGAGAATTCCCTTTGGCACTGAGAAGTGACACATCTGTCAGTTGAACCTGAACCCAGGTCTTCTACACTTGGAGGCCTCTTTTTTTTTTGTAGGCAGTTGGGGTTAAGTGACTTGCCCAGGGTCACACAGCTAGTGTCAAGTGTTTGGTCTGAGGCGGCATTTGAACTCAGGTCCTCCTGATTTCAGGGCTAGTGCTCTATCCTCTGCGCCAGCTAGCTGCCCCCTTGAGGCCATTTCTTTAGCCAGTATTCTATACCTTTCCTTTGGTCTGCCCTTTTTTAGAGATGTAGGCTGTGTCTGAGGTATTTATTTCTCTCTGTTTTGCAGAAAATCTCTTCAGTGATGAAATTCTTGCCAATGGCTTTCATTCCTGTGATAGTGACGAGGATGACCGAGCCTCTCACGCCAGCTCCAGTGACTGGACTCCCAGGCCTCGAACAGGTGAACCTTTGGGGATGCTCTTGTTTGCTTGGTGGCCATTGTAAGAGTTCCCATTGGTTTCCGTTGAAATGCTGCCCTGGCAGGGTCACGAAAGATGTCCTCCAGTGGGACATTTTTAACTTGTGTAACCTTGATCTCCGTTTGTTGTGAAGTCTTTCCAGTGGCTCCCTAAGGCTAAGGGGCTTCTATTCCAGGGGGTTAAATATGCAGAAGCAGATTTGTTGTTTGCCCGTCCTAGATACATGCTGGCATGGCTGCCTGAATGTGAGGCAGGGCGTCTAGCCCTTTCTCCAACGGCAACTACTTAAGTGACTTTAAGCCTGTGGCTCCTGGATACAGTGAAAGGACTGGACTGGGTCCATCGTTGTCCTTCTTAATGGAAGAAGACCAAAATGACATCACTGTTGGGATCAAGGTATAGGCGTGTCTGACTGGGGCTGATCAGACCAGTAAGAGCTCCGAAGGCTCTACCATGGGTAGGGCACAAATAGCCCATATGAACATTTGGAGTGGAGAGGCCTCTAAATCTGCATATCGCACATGTTTTTTGAGCTGCTGCCTTCTTTGATGCAAGAATGCCGTGCTGGGGGGTCCAGCTTCAGTATCTCCCATGTCTCACAGTCAGTAACAAAGTTCTTCAGAAAGACAAAGTAGGTAGATAGAGCTTTTCAGTGTATTCAGGCTCTGATGCTGCAGAAGCGTCCACTTCGGCCTTCTTGGTCTTGGATTTGTATTATCTTATCCAGGTCACCAGAGAGCCCTCCTTGGAAGGACAATAGTGAGTACCCACTTGATTAGATTCTTCACTTTGCCCCATACGGGAGGAAAGGGATAGAAATGCCTTAATTGGCTGAGCTCAATCTCCTCTTGGTACTTATCTCAAGAAGAATCTTCAAAACCTGATTATAGAACCTTAGTAACCCTAATTTGGGGACTTGCAAGTTAGGAACTGATGCCCTGATAGCACATTGCTACCCTTTGGGGTTGTTTTTGTCCCTTCAGCTTTGTCCTCCTGGGATAAAAGAAGGCTTCTAGAATTCAAGGTCACTTTTTTTTTCAACATGATATTTGTCAGGACTGTTACTGCTTTCTCAACCTTTTGTCATTTAAGTGTCTCTTAACTCTTTGCCTGGGCCTTCACAGCTAGTGTTTCATACTTGAAGGCTTTATGGTTTTTCTTTTTTTAAAAAATTAATTTATTTTGATTTATCAACAATCACTTCCATAAGCTTTTGATTTTTAAATTTTTCTCCCTCTCCCTCCCCACCTCCCTCCCCAAGATGGCTTGCAATCTGGTATAGGCTATACATATACATTCCTATTAAACATATTTTCACCTTAGTGATGTTGTAGGTAAGAATTAGAACCAATAGGAACCATCAGAAAGAGGAAACAAAACAAAATAGAAGAAGAAAAAATAGCAAATAGTATGCTTCTACCTACATTCAGACTCCAAAGTTCTTTCTTTGGATGTGCATGGCATTTTCCAGCACGAGGCCTTTGGAGGTGTCTTAGATCCTTGCGTTGCTGAGAAGGGTTAAGTTTATCAATATTAGTTATTGCACAACATGGCTGTTACTGTGTACAACATTCTCCTGGTTCTGCTCACTTCACTCAGCATCAGTCTATACAAGTCTTTCCATCTTTTTCTGAAGTCAGCCTGTTCATTATTTCTTATGGCACAATAGCATTCATATACCACAGCTTGTTCAGCCATTCCCCAACTGATGGGCATTCCCTCAATTTCCAATTCTTTGCCACCACAAAAAGAGCTGCTATAAATATTTTTGTACGTGTGGGTCTTTTTCCCATTTGTATGATCTCTTTGAGATAAAGCCCTGGAAGTGCTATTGCTGGGTCAAAGGGTATGCACATTTTTATAGCCCTTTGGGCATAGTTCCAAATTGCTCTCCAGAATGGTTGGATCATAGCACAATTCCACCAGCGATGCAGTAGTGTTCCAGTTTTCCCACATCTTCTCCAACATTTATCATTTTCCTGTTTTGTCATGTTGGCCAATCTGATAGGTGTGATGTGGTTACATTTTTGTTTTGATATTAAATATGGTTCACACTTCTAGATTTTAATATTTATTACTAAAGAATTTTTTCCTAGGTACGTCTTTGCTCGTAGAGCACGGTGCCGTGTGCTGCCTATAATGCAGGCACACTGAGCTGAGCTTGGTGCTGGTGTCTCCTATGTCTCCCGTACATCTCTAAATTTTTTAATTCCTTAAATTCTTTACATTGTGATGTCAGTTTTTTTGGGGATCTATAGATTTCACTGAAGTCCTGCACTTAGCACTATGCCTGGCATATAGTCGGTGATTAATAAATGCTTGTTGACTTGATTCACTTCACGACTACAGCCTCAGTGAGCTAGCTAAGATTGACCCCACAGCTCTTTTGAGTATCATACATGTAGAGTAAGTATGAAACTCTGATAGATGGTCATGGAAAGAGTTCCTTCTGCAGTAGTTCTCATAATTAATGAGATGAGATAGGGAAGCTACAGGTAAAAATTGGAACTTTGGCTTTTGGGAGATACATTGACCTTCTCTACCAAGACTTGTACTATTGAGAACGAGATTGAATATGAGTTTTACTGATGGAACTCTTTGTCTTGCTGACGTTTTAGCGGGCAATGAAAAATCTTTATTTTTTAAAGAGTCTTCTTTTTTAAAATCTTAGATTTTTGCAGTATTTTTCCTTGCAAAGAATTAAAGGGGTAGTGTGTCATAGTCTCTTAATATCATAAAGTTTGAAAATACTTGAGAAATTGGAAGAGGGAATGGGAGAGGCAGTATTAAAATTTTTTAAAGGTGTTGTTGGGATGTGAGAGTCATATAAGTGATAGGAAGTTTTCAGTTTAAATTTGTAAATGCGAACTCAAAGACAGATGTGTGTGTGAGGCGGCCAAAATAGGCAGACTCAAAGAGTTGGCATTCCTGCACCCCTTTCCCAGTCTGCACAGAGCTGAGGGAGGCGGGAGAGCCTGATGTCCGTGGGGCTGCTTTGGCTGCCACCTGGAGTTCTGCGTGGGCAGTTGTAGCCCGAGTTCACATTGGGAGGGGCCTCTCTGGCAGGTGGTCTTGACTCCCTTGATTGCTGAAGCTTAGCCTGGGAGTGATGTCTTTTGGGGGTTTGGGGAATGTCTTAAAAGTGAGTTGATTCTAACTGAAATGGCATTTTTTAACTTGAAAAACAAATCTCCTTGTTAATTGACCACGTTCAAGGTCTTTAGAAGAGAGATTTGATCCAGTTTTCTTTTCCCCTCACAATCACAGGTCCTTACGCTTTTGTACAGCAGCATCTCATGATCGGCACAGACCCTCGGACCATCCTAAAGGATCTGTTGCCAGAAACAATCCCACCACCTGAATTAGATGATATGACCCTCTGGCAGATTGTTATAAACATCCTTTCAGAACCACCGAAAAGGAAAAAGAGAAAAGACATTAATACAATTGAGGATGCTGTGAAGTTATTGCAGGAGTGCAACAAAATCATCGTTCTCACTGGAGCTGGGGTACGTGTGGTTGTTGAAAAAAGGAGTGTGCTTTTAATGAATGTGTTTCTCTTCCTCATACTTTTTCCAGTAAAGAGCGTGGGTTTGGTTTTTTTTTTCATATTAGTGTAATTTTTTTGTTACCCTAATATAGTAATGATTGACTGCAGGCAGATTGAGCATGGCAGCAGGATGTATACCCACTATCAAGTTAAACGTTAAAAAGAAAAAAAAGCCCTTTCCTAGGCACCTCCAGGGTAATGGCTCCACAAGACAAGTGGCAAGTGGAATCAGAGCCCGGTTCTTAACCTATACATCAGTTATGTGCCATTGTTCCCCCAAAGGGGAAAAACAGTTCAAATTGGGACACTGGCGATGGAGCCTCTATCCTCTGAGGAAGGATGAATGCAAATCCACAGGTTCTTTCAGGTGAGTGGTCAGTGCAACCACAGGCATAGGAAGAAGGCACGATCAGTGACAGGTGGAAGTATCTGGGAGACCCTGGGGCAGCTTTATTTTGCTGACTGGTTTAAATGCCAGAAGGGCTTTCATTCCCCTTCCTGGGGCCCTTATTCAAGGTGTGACAGGGAACTTTCTAAGGCTGGTCAAGCCAGATAACTGCTACCCACTTTGGGTGATTCATGTTCATTAGTGCTGTTGCTAGAAGGAATTCTAGAAAGCATTCTAGAGATTAAGAAGTCTTGCCCTTCCACAGTCGTCAGAGATGGAAGAACGGAGCCTGATAATATATGTGAAGTTGTCAGAGTCTCAGTTGGGTCGAGTTTAAAGGTTTAGGTGTTTTCCTGAGCACAGCACTTTTAATGTGGTCCAGTAAGAAGAGCTGAATAAAGTGGTACGTCACCTTTGTCACCATCCTGGAAGCCTAGCGGAAGTACTATGGGATGTTGTCCTGATGTTCCAAAAAGCAAACATAATTGAGTCAGACAAGTATAGGCTAGTCAGCTTAGCATTCCTGGCAGGGTTCTAGAATATCTATCGTTATAGAGACCATTTGTGAATATCTAGAAAAGGAAGCAGTGATGACAGCCTGCTTGGCTTCATCATGAACAGGTTGAGCCACGTGGGTCTTCTTTTCCTTTCTTCTTCCCTTTCTCCTTCCATCAGGAGAATGTTGTCACGAGAGTTTATCAGAGTACCAGCGGAGTTCCTCATCCTGTTGTGGACCAGATGGAGAGATTCAGTAGTACAATTAGGTAGATTCAGATTGAGCTATGTGTCTGAACTCTGAATAGTCGTTAATGGTCTCTGTCTGTGTTAGCTTGGAAGGTTGCTGGTAGAGAAGAGCGCCTCAAGAGTCTTATACTTGGCAATCTGTTGCATAATATTTGGATCAGCATTTGCAAGTGACATAGATCTGGGAGGGACAGCTAACACATTGGATGGCGGTTTCTAAATGATATTGACAAGCTGGAACATGGGGCAGGATCTTGCATGCTGATAAATGTTAAATCTTAAAATTGGGGTCAAAAACTGAACTGCAGATGAAGGATGAGAGCTCAGTGCTGGAGAGTAGTTTATCTGAAAAAGCTGGGCTGGGGCTGCAGGCTGATGAAGAGTCAGCAGTGTGGCCTGTCAGTCTAGAAGGCCATTATTGTCCTTGGGGAGACCTTGGCTGGAGCCCCACAAGCTAGAAGATATCTCAAGAAGGACAGTCAGAATGGAAGTGTTTATTCTGAAAAAGAAAAAGCCCAAGGCTCAAGTGCTTGTGGAACTGGCCTGGGGAAGAGGGCTTAGACTCGTTCCGCTTGAACCCAGAGGGTGAAACTGGGGCAAATGGCCTACAAGTGAAGAGTAACTCGCTAAGTGTTAGAGCACCCCACATGTGACGTGGGCCCCTCTGGCAGGTTTTGGGTGCTCCCTCTCTGAAGACCACTTGTCAGTGACAGAGTGGGGATCCTCTTCCAGGCATCCTGCATTGGCCTAGTGGAGGAGCCCCAGGCCCCTTTCAGCCTCAAGAGTCCATGACTCCATTCCTTTCTTTGGAACAATGTATTTGTGTTTGTTGCAAAAGCGTTGCAAATTAACAGAGGCAAGGAACAAAATCCCATTTGCCACTTTGTCTGGCAAAAGCATCCACGAAGTGATTGTGAGACTCCAAAAGGAGTGCCTGTCTTAGGGAAGCAGTTTTACTTATTGGAGGCCAAGCAGAATCTGCCCTGGTAAGAAATGTCACTAAAGTAGCATCAAAAATGCCTTATTACAAATAGCCACATTTCCAAGGCTTTTTATGTCACTGTATATCGATTTCTAAACTTTTATTGCAAAATATAGATGTGTATATATTTCTAAAATAAAGGCCAGATAACTTTTGTGATGTTCTCTATAATCCAAGCAATGATTTCATTCTTGGGAAGGGGGTCCAGACTTTGCTTTGATAGAATTTCACTCGAGCCCCAAAGACCCTCGTTTCCTTTAACAGATTATTGTAGAGGAAGTTCCTTTCATTTTCTTGGAGGCTATTGGATCTGAATTACTTGTATATTGTGGTCTAAAGCTTTAGAATGACTCAGTTTGCTTGTCTCAGGCCACCTCTATCTCTGCTGTAGGCATAAGGAAATAAGCTGGCATCTGTTAAACATCTTTGGGTTTTTTTCACTTTGAAATTATAGTTAGCCCATAGTGCTATCCCCTAAAAGGAAAAGCAAACTACAGTGATTCCTTTCCTTTGCTTGTTTATCTCTGCTTGTGTGGTAAGAACAAACTAATTATAGAGCTAGAATATCTAATTATAGAAATTATACCATGCATGTTATGTTCCAGGTATCTGTTTCCTGTGGAATACCTGACTTCAGATCAAGAGATGGTATTTATGCACGCCTGGCGGTAGATTTCCCCGACCTCCCCGATCCTCAAGCAATGTTTGATATCGAGTATTTCAGAAAGGACCCAAGACCATTTTTCAAGTTTGCGAAGGTATAGTCTTTTCCAGTATTAAAACTGCTAAAGTGATTGCCATTTTATTAGTGAAATGGACTGTTTATTTTGCAATGAACACTACTGCTGAGTAAGATAATTGAAATGAAGTGCTTATTGAGGTGCGAGGTAAGGGAACCTAGGGGTGAGTAACATGAAGAAGATGCTACTTCAGGTGAAGAAGCATGCTTATTGCCAGAAGGGAGTTTGCCCACCTTTTCTCCATCATGATTTTCTAGCTGCTTGGTTTAGGGTGACAGGCTAAAGCATGTAAACAAAGGGATAACATGAAGGAAAATTCATTTTTTAGAACATTATCGCAGCTTCAAATACAGGTTTTAATTAGGAATCCCTTTTAAAAATTTTTCCTTAAATTTACAATCTTGATTTACCTCAAATTTTAGTGGTTTAGCTTGAAGATGAGTTTTGGTTTGGGAGGGTGCTTAAAATTTCAGTGTGTTCAAGAAACCTAAAGTTTTATGTTAATTTTTAAAAAGTTTTATCTGTTGTTTTTACACTACCGTCTTTTTGCTGTATAATCCACATCCATTGAACTCTCCTTTTGTAACAAAAACAGTTAAGTAAAGCCAGTTGGTGTAGCAGCATATATCTGACAAAATGTGTAGTATTTGCCCCCCTTTCTATATATTTTGTGCTCTGGCCCTGAGAGTTATTCAGGATCTTTTAGATGGTCAGGCTTTTCATTGTCTTTATATTATACTGTTGAAATCATGTATATTGCTCTTTTCCTATTTCTCCTTTCTTTGCTTGCATCAGTATATAGTTTCCAAAGCTGCTTGGAATCCCTCTGCCTCTTACAATGAAATAGTTTTCAATTTTGTTCATAAACCACAAATTTTTTCAGCCATTGCACAATCAGTGGATGCTCAGTTTTTTGTGAGGGCCACAACAGAGATGTGGGGGACTTGAGGGAAGAAAGGGTTTGAAATAGATTCTGTGGGGAATGAGATAGGGAATTGGTTAGGGAGTAGTAAAGGTACTGTTTGCTACAGTAAGGACCTGAGTGAAGTTAGAAGAAAGGGGCTAATGATTGAAGGTGGCCCTCAGAATTGGGGGTGAATGTAGTCTGTGGCCCTAGAACAAAGCAAGCTGATCTTCTTTCAGAAATTCAGCTCTTCAGAATGTTCCCAGGGCCAGACGCAAAACTCTTGAGAATTTATAGCAAGTTAATCCTAAGTTAATTTCTTATTAACTTAACTAGAAAGCAAAAATTTTAAGTAATGAACACTAAATTTTATTTATATTTTTTACATTTATTTACATGTTCCTCTCTACATTTCTACAAACTAAGTTATTTTTTCCCTACATTTCTGTCAGATCTATAACTACAGAAGTGTAACTGTACAAAATGGAATCACGTGTACCTATTTTTGCCTTTTTTTTTTAAGCTAATATGTATGCCTTTCACATATTGGTGCATTAATTCAAATAGGTGGCTGGTATGCCATCATATTAGTATACATGCTTAGCTATTCTCTTGTTCTTAGAGCATTTCAGTAATTTCCAAATTTTTCTTTTTAATAAATAGTATTGTTACAAATTTTGCTTTTGTCAGAAGGCAGTTATCATGATATGATAATGATGGTGACTGACATTTCTATAGCAGTTATCTACAGATTTGCCAGTTTTCTACATAAGTGATCTTATTTAAGAAAGGTACTGCATATATTACTATCCTCATTTTACAGATAAGTAAACTGAGGCTAAGAAAGGTTGAATAATTTTTCCCATGGTTACACAACTAATTATCAGAGATAGAATTTGAACTCAGGTCTTTTTTATCCCAAGCTCAGCCTTTTATGCGTTCTAACTCATTGTTTCACTTCGATTTTGGGTGGTATTAATAATACTCTTAGTTGGCAAAAATTTCCATGAGTTTTGTTTAAAGGCATATCGTAATTTAGGGCTATTCTTGTGCATCTGATATGAAAGATTTAATTCAGTAGTGTATTTATATGATGCTGATACAGACTTTTGCTATTAATTCAAAGAAAAAAAAAGTAACATGAATTGCAAAAGCTCACTTCCTACAATCAGCAAAACTCCTTATTTCCCCCAAATGTCTCACTCTAGTTTACCTGCTAATATTAGCACCTGAAGCTAAGTATCTGAAATTCATTGTTGTCATCTTATTGGTAATAGCTTCTAGATAACTTTCTTTTTAAAAAGTAGGCTTCGTGAGTCTTGGAAAATCTGTGGTATCTGAGAATAGAAATAGCAAGGTGAGATGCTAGATGGCTGAACATGGGTAGTTTGGTTTTTAACCTAGTCTTGACTCACTGAAATTGGCAAAATTGATTCCAGATTTAAAAAATGATGATAAACTGAATAACCATCAACAAAACAAATAAACAATTCTATAGAATAAAGGGTAAAATACTGCATAAAGCCCTTAGCATTTAACAGGATGGGAGCAAATGAATTAAGCAAAAAATCCTTTTGTTCTGTGTCCCAGGTTTGTTCCAAGTTCCACTCCCTTTAATTTTGTCGTATCCTTTTTAACCAGATAGTTTTCTGATAAAGACAGCTCTTCAGAGAGAATAAAAAAGATAAAATATATTTGTTAAAGTAAAAAAACATAGCGTATGCTCTATATTATCTTGTATTGTGGGGGATCATATATGTCACGAAGAAGGGAAACAGTGAGTACAAGTTTTGTATAGTGAAAAGAAAGGAATCCCATAACAAAAGTTTTGCCTGCTTGACTGTACTTTAAAGTAGACATTAATAGCATCAAGAGAAACTGAGAAGAACACTTCCTAGTTCTTGAAGGTAACCCTTAAGATAAATGCCTAATTGGTGGTATATGGGAGAGACAGAAGGAATCGGTCTTTAACTGTTGAGCAAATAATATTTACTTTGGCAAAACATTCCAAGAATTGATACTTAATACATAGGAGAATTAACATCAGCGTATAAAAATTGTGGGGTGGGGTGGGAATAGGGTCATGTTTTTACTGGATTTATGGAGCTGTCTTACCAGGAAGATTATGAACAAAAATTGGCCAGGGGCCAATATTAACCTTGAGCAGCGAACGTCAGTAAACTGAAATTTGGCCTTTGCCTATTAAGTGAGGAAGAGAGGAAAAATTAACATATGTAAAGCTGTGAGAAGCTTAATACTGCAAAATTTGGAAGATATCTCTTACTTTGTTGGGAAGAATGAATGGTTGCTAGACTTCTGCACTGTGGCCCTGATGCTGCTGGAGACCAGCAGAATTCCTTGAGTGCAGTCTCCTGTTCTTGTCAGGCAGTGCCATGCAACAGCCAAATAATTGAAGAGTAAATTTAGGCCAAAGTGCCTCCTCGGTAACAGACTATACATTGCTTTGCCCTCCAATACAGAAGAAACTACAGTTGAGTCTAATTTGAAAGCTCTACAGCCATGTTCTGTTGTTATTCTTTTGGATAATAAGGTCTCTGGGGAAATGTAGTTTTCTGATTCCATTAGGAATGAAGAGTGTGAAAATCCACTTATGGTGATGGATGCCATTCATGTTGTACTTGGAGGCGAAGGAGGTGCGGCTGTGTAAGGATGTATATAGGTCCCGTTGTTACTTAGACTTTGGCCAAGGTTTGACGTGCATCCAGAATTCCTGTGAGTAGACTAGGCAGGGCTCCTGAAAGCTCATGTGCTCTGATGTTTAACTAGATGCCAAGTGTCCTGACTTAGGCCCAAGGCGGTGACCCCAGACCAATGGGTAGATTATCCCTGCCTATTCTTGTGGGGCCAAGGAAGAAGTTATTGTATCATCTTGTAGCTACTGGCTCAGAAAAAATTCTCAGTATGTAGGTCCCATAAAAGTTTTAACTCCATTCAGAACGCCTTCATTAAGCAGCTACCTCGTGCTAACCCTGAGATACAAAACCAAAAAAGAAACAGTCTTTGAAGGAAATTGATGACTTTATGGAAGAAGTGTATGAAATGGGAGGATTGCAACTTGTGTGTACACAAATAAATACAAAGTAACTGGAGGAAATAACACTGAAAATGGAGATCACCTGAGCTGAGCCTTTAGCGAAGACATGGGTTCTGATGCCAGGCCTGTGTCAGGTCTTGTATGAAGGCACAAGAATGAGGAATAGAATGCAAGTTATGGAGCAGTCATACAGGCCTTTTTTGGATAGGGAATGAGGCTTAGAGGATCTGATCTTAGCATTTTGAAGACCCATATTTGAGTTCAGATTCTGAAGTGTACCCGCTGTATGGTTATGGACAGATCACTTTACTTCCAGGATTCAGATTACCTTTCAGAAGGTACAAGGAGTTGCTGCTTTGCATGTGTGGAGGGGGTTTCTCCACCCTTGATTAAATCACAGATCTCAACTTCTGTCACAAAATGGATTTTTGCTGAAAATCCTTGATTTCCAAATTATCATCAAAGTGTAAGTTGTAATGGGTTGATAAACACCTGTGAACTAGCTATTCATTACTTTGAAAAAACTACTTAAATGAGAACTAATGTTAATTTTTAAATTAGCTTGATTGTTGTCCCTGAAGGGACAACATGAACTATGAACTGAAGTCTTTGGGAAAATTAGGTTGATGGTTTAGAAGCTGGTTGAGTGACAGTGAGGGTGTTATAAGCAGGGCACATGCATGGACTTGAGAACATGGTTGAGATGGGGAAGTAGAAGAAAAGTCTGGAAGTGAGAGCAGGAGCCAGGAGTATGCCCTCCATCCTGGGTCTGTGGCACAGGGAATGAGAGGACTTGTCTCCATTGAAGGATTGTTGTAGATGTGGTGGACATTCAGGGAGGAAATAGGCTTCTGTTGATGTGCTTGACACATAGTAGGTGCTTACTGACTGACAATGCAAGGCTTCAGAGTAATGGGATTTGATCCATAGAAGCTAAAGAAATAATTAGTAAACCCCTTAAGTACAGCTAGGTGGTGCAGTAGACAGAATGTCAGAACTGGAGTGAGGAAAACTTATCTTCATGAGTTCACATCTGGCCTCAGACACTTACTGAGCAAGTGTGACCCTGAGCAAGTCATTCAACCCAGATTGCCTCAGTTTCCTCATCTATAAAATGAGCTGGAGAAGGAAATGGCAAACCATTCCAGTATCTTTGCCAAGAAAACTCCAAATGGGGTCACGAAGAGTTGGACACAACTGAAAAAAAATGACTGAACTGAAACCTACTTAAAAATTTAATGAGGAAAATGTATTTTGACAGCCATGTCTTCTAAAAAGAGGTTTGATCTTTAAACTATTTGTCCCAAGTTGGAAGGGAACAAGGCTGATATTTTTCCCTTTGATCTCATTGCTAATTAGGTGTAATAGATAGAGGAAGGCCACAGAGTCTAGAATACTGGGCTGATGTCCAGCCTGAGGCACATGCTGGTTGTGTGACCCTGGGCAACTCCTTTAACCTCTAAAGACCCAGGCAACTCTAAATTACTGATAAGTTGTCAGGCTGTGTTTATGGAGGGGGTTTGCTCTGGAGTTCTCTGCACAGATGAAATCACAAGTCCAGACCAAACAGTCATACAAACTTTGCCAGATGTATATCTTAATTCTTTGTTTTTAGAGGAGAAACATTTGTTTACCAATAAAAGATGCAGAGTATGGCAGCCCAGCATTCATAGCAGTTGGATATTCTGAGTGTGTCCATGCCAGGGAAGGAAACTTCTGATAAAGAATTTAAATCTTAGTTTTAGACTTTTCATGGCTACTGGTTATTATAAAATGGCAAAGGAAAACTCGCATTTTAAATGTTTTTCTACCCTGCCAGTGTCCTTTTCAGATAGTATGACACTTTGCCACTGCAGCTTTGAAACCTGAAATTCTCATTTTTATCTCCTTGCTCCCTTTTTCCTAAGAAAAAGCTAGAATCCCAAATGGCATAAATTAGTTCTTATTTCAGGTGCCTAGTCACTGACCTGAAATTTTAAACACTTTCTCTGGGAATTTTGTGGACAGACTAGCCCCTAGAAGAAAACACCTTTTACTTTTCTATGTTTAATTTTTCAAAAACTAAAAACAAATAAAATTTTTAGAAGTTAAAAACATTTTCAGATGCTAACATCTGGGACAATTAATTGTTCTGGTTGTTTTAGTCGATCCAGAAGATTTTATCTGTTCAACTTAAGCATTTAACATCTGTCAGAACTAATTTAAGGATCGGACATCCAGACCAAACCATTCTCCTAAAGAATATGAATGATGTCAAAGGATGTGAAGAAATAGTTGTCAGAAAGAATCGCCAACTACTTACTTCCCAAATCACTAATAATAAGGTTAATGTCCAACAGAATTGGCTCTAGACCACCCAGTTGGCAGATGACAAAAGATGGGAGGGGAGTTGTAGAAAGAAGGATATGTCAGTAAGACTGCTGGAGCTGTGAAGTGGTCCAGCCATTCTGGAAAATAGACTTTCTAAGACTTTCTAAGAAAGTGACTAAAATGCTTATATCTTTTTGGCCCAGAGAAGTCTCCTTCTAGTCATATATCCTTTCCACCAGAATAACATTAGTAGCAAAGAATTGGAAACAAAGTAGACGTCTATCGATTGGGGAGTGGCTGGACAAATTGTGGCACGTAAACTCTTGACCCCAAAGAAAAGATGGGAAGGTATCTCTCTCCCTTCTTTGCAGAGAAGGTGGTGGGAGACTGTGGGGATGGAACATTACAGATAATTTCAGACTTTTTAATATGTTGGCTAATTTTACTGAACTGCAGGTTTTTGTTTTTTTTCTCTGAGATTTCTGGGAGGGAGGGGGGAAGGGATACTTTGAGAAATATAGGTGATGTAAAAACAAAAGTAATAATAAAAGTTTATTTTTTTAAAGTATAAATTAGATATTCTTTACGTTCTATAGGAAATTTATCCTGGGCAATTCCAGCCATCTCTCTGCCATAAATTTATAGCCTTGTCGGATAAGGAAGGAAAACTACTTCGAAACTACACTCAGAACATAGACACACTGGAACAAGTTGCGGGGATTCAGAGGATTATCCAGTGTCATGGTTAGTAAACTCTTCAGAATTGCTTTTGGGGAATTTTTTTCACTTGCAAGAAAAAAACTGGAATTGTCAGCCTGTGTTATCAAGACAGCAACTGAAATGTAATAGTTGCAGTGAGGTGGTGACAGCAGATCAATCAAGAGGCAGCTGTTAAATTCCTCCTCTGTGCCAGGCCCGTAAAGACTCATGTAAGAATGAACGGGAGGTCACAGGGGCACCTGTGAGTACTTACACAAAAAGCACACAGGGAACGCAAGTCTAAAGGGGAGGAAGGACAGAGGCCAGGCCAGGCATAGAGGATGGCCATACAAAGACACAGAGAGAGCAGGGGAAAGGAGGGAGGGCTCACACCAGGAAGGGCTTTGGAAACTCAACAGAGGAGGTCACATTTGACCCAAGCGGCAATAAGGAGCCATTGGAGTTGATTGAGTAGGAGAGTGACATGGTTGGATCTCTTTCAAGAAAAATCACTTTGGGGGCAGCGCGGTGGTGCAGTGGATGGAGCACCAGCCCTGGAGTCAGGAGGACCTGAGTTCAAATATGGCCTCAGACTCTAGACACTTAACTAGCTGTGTGACCTTGGGCAAGTCACTTAACCCCATTGCCCAGCCAAAAAAAGAAAAAAAACCATTTTGGGCCAAGGTGGCAGAGAGAAGGCAGGGATTCACCTGACTTCCTGGAAAGTGGCAGAACCCTCAAAAGGACAGGGTGAAACTATTTTCCATCCCAAGGCAACTTGAAAGTTTGGCAGGAAAGGTCTGTCACACCAGGGTGAGAGTAGAGTGCAGTCCAGTGCAGGCTGCATTGGTTACATCCACAGTGGTAAGGGCTGGGGGAGTGTTGAACAGCTGCCCAGAAGGAGATTATAGGGGTCTCTTTGCTGGCACTTGAGGGCAGGACTCTGTGGCTTTGCCTATACTCAGATCCAGGTTGCAGTCACAGCAAGGAGGAGCATTAACACAACCGAGCTTGTGGCTACAGTGGAGCAGGGACCCTTATCATAGTTCCAGGGCAGAAGAGAATGCTTTTAGTCACTCACAGACCAGAGCACAGGCCAGGAGAGTAGTCACTATATCTCTCCTTAGATCATACCATTTTGGAAAAGCTGAAAACTTGCAGGTCCCTAGAAATATCTCTGAAAACAGTTGCACAAAACCCCTGAAGCTTGGGACAGTGTGTCTTCCACCGTGGAAGCAGAGCCCCACTTTAGCAAAGAGGTAAAAGTCAAGAAATAGGCTGGAAAAATGAGCAAACAACAGAAAAAAAAATCTGACCATAGAAAGTTTCTCTGGTGACAAGGAAGATCAAAGCATTCAGGAGAGAGCAAAGTCAAAATTCCTATATCTGAAGCCTCCAAGAAAAATATGAATTGTACAATTCAGGGCTTGGAAGAGTTCAAAATGGATTTTTAAAATCAAGTAAGAGAGATAGAGGAAAAATTGGGTAGAGCAATAAGAGTGATGCAAGAAAATCATGAAAAAAGAGTTGACAACTTGGTAAAGGAGGCAAAAAAAAGTGCTGAAGAAAATACCTTAAAAAAAGAAAATAGGACAAATGGTAAAAGAGGCACAAAAATCCACTGAAGAGAACAAGTCCTTAAAAAAGCAGAATTAGCCAAATGGAAAAAGATATACAAAAATTCACTGAAGAAAAGAACTCATTTAAAAATGGCCAAATGGAAAAGGAGGTACAAAACCTCAGTGAAGAAGATAATTCCTTAAAAATTAGAATTGAACAAGTGGAAGCTAATGACTCAATGAGATATTAAGAAACAATAAAACAAAACGAAAAGGATGAAAAAAAATGGAAGACACTGTGAAATATTTCATTGGAAAAACAACTGACCTGGAAAACAGATGCAGGAAAGCTGATTTTAAAATTATTTTACTTCCTGAAAGCCATAAAAAAAGAACCTAGACATCATCTTTAAACAAAGTATCAAGGAAAACTGCCCTGATGTTTTAGAACCAGAGGATAAAATAGATATTGAAAGAATCCTCTGATCACCTCCTGAAAGAGATCCCAAAATGAAAACTCCCAAGAATATTACAGCCAAATTCCAGAACTCCCAGGTCAAGGAGAAAATATTGCAAGCAGCCAGAAAGAAACAATTCGAGTTTTGTGGAGCCACAGTCAAGATAACACAAGATTTAGCAGCTTTTCTACATTAAAGGATTGGAGGACTTGGAATATGATATTCCAGAGGGCAAAGGAATTAGGATTACAAGCAAGAATCACCTACCTAGCAAAACTGAGTATAATCCTTCAGAGGAAGAAAATGGACATTCAATGAAATAGAGGACTTTCAAGCATTCTGTTACAGTGGGAGGGAAGATATGGGGGAGGTGGTAGGGAATGCTTGAACCTTACTCTCAACGGAATTGGCTCAGAGAGGGATTGACACTCATTTGGGTTTAGAAATCTGTTTTACCCTATAGGGAAGTTGGAGGGAAAAGGGAATAAGCAGGGAAGTGCTCGTTGAAGGGAAGGTGGTTTGGGGGAGGCAGTAATCAGAAGCAGAACACTTTTGAGGAGGGACAGGGTAAAAGGAGAGGGAATAGAATGAACAGGGGGGAAATAGGATGGAGGGAAATAGCAATCGTAACTGGAAAAATTTTTGAGGCAAGTTTCTCCGATAAAGGCCTCATCCCTCAAATTTATAGAGAAATGAGTCAAAATTCGTAAAAATAAGAGCCTTTCCCCAGCTGACAAATGATCAAAAAATATGAGGTCAGTTTTCAGATGAAGTAATCAAAGTTCTCTATAGTCATTTGAAAAAATACTCTAAATTGCTATTGATTGGAGAAATGCACGTTAAAACACTGTTGAAGTACTATCTCACAACTATTAGATTGGCTAATATGACAAGAAAAGGAAAATGACAGATATTGGAGGGGATGTAGGAGAATTGTGACACTAATGCACTGTTGGTGAAGTTGTGAACTGATTCAACCATCATATAGAACAATTTGAAACTATGCCCAAAAACTTATAGCAGCTCTTTTCTGGTGGCAAAGAATTGGAAATTGAGGGGATGCCCATCAATTGGGGAATGGCTGAACAATTTGTGGTATGGGACTGTGATGGAATGCTATTGTGATATAAGAAGTAATGAGCTAGAATCAGGGGTGGGGAACCTGCAGCTTCGAGGCCACATGTGGTGCTCTAGGTCCTCAAGTGCAGCGCTTGACTGAATCCAAACTTCACAGAACAAATTCCCTTAATAAAAGGATCCCATATGGGGTCACGACCCACTGTTTAAGAAGCCTTACCTAATTCTCCAGATCCACTTGTAGGAAGACAGATATTGCCGAGCCCTGCGTGAGTCTGGGCACATGTGTGTGTGTGCTGTTTTTTATGTTGGAAAAGGCTTTTTATGTTTAGGGGGTCATTATTTTTTAAGGTCATTTTAGCTATTTTAGTTGTTATTTCACTATTCTAGAAGAGCACGAGAAAATTTGTGCTTCTACACATAGAAGAAACTCAAGCACTCTTTCATTAACATACCTCTGGCTCTTTTTAGGTTCCTTTGCAACAGCTTCTTGCTTGATTTGTAAATACAAAGTGGATTCTGAAGCCGTGCGTGATGATATTTTTAATCAGGTAAAGTGGCTTGTGGGCTGGGGGCTGATTTCTGTTCTCTGAGCGTGGCAGAAGAATCCTAGGGACTAGTGTCAGGGCCTCTGAGTTGGCCCAGGTGACGTGGGCCCTTGTAGGGGACAGCAGCCCTCAAATGGAAGCTGTAAATGTGTGCTATGCTTATCTCCTTTTTGAAGTAATGGAATTGGCTCTGCACTGTTAACACCAAAAATTGAAGGAGGAAAAAAAAAAGAATTAAAAAGTATTAACAACCTAAATGATGATTTAGCAACAAAAGCTTTTGAATGAAAAAAGCTTTTGAATGAAGATAACATCTCCCAAGTAACATGTTCTGATAAATGTCATCGTCACTGTCCCATTATAATATTATGCATTATTTCCAAAAGAACTAACTGTTCCTAGTTCAGTGTAGTGCGTTGTTTTCATAATCTCAGGTCACAATATACTTGAAATGTCCATTGATATCAGGTTTGAGCAAAGCTATGTGGCTGCCATAACTGCCTGTAATTTCAGAGAAACTGTTCTTGAGCTTCAGGTTGGAAATGGCGCATTTGATTGACTTTGGGGATTGTGTGGTTTTTTTTTTCCCATGTGGTCTCCTTGTAGGTGGTTCCTCGATGTCCCAGGTGCCCAGCTGATGAGCCACTTGCCATCATGAAGCCAGAGATTGTATTCTTCGGGGAAAACTTACCAGAGCAGTTTCATAGAGCCATGAAATATGACAAAGATGAAGTTGATCTCCTCATTGTAATTGGGTCGTCCCTGAAAGTAAGACCAGTAGCGCTGATTCCGAGTAAGTTGGTGATGGGTTTCTGGGAGAGTACTAGGATGTGCATGAGATAATACAGATAATGAGAATCAGATTATTCTTAGAAAATGATTCATTGTGTGGAATTTGGTGTGAGGTGATGCCCTTCCCCCCCCCATTCATGTCCAAGGGAATTATTGCCAATGGCAGTTGGATCCTGGCGTAGCAGCGCCATGGCATGACTCCTGAGGGAGCAATAGTAAATAAGTTTTCTGCTTCTGCCTGGAGGGGATTGTCTTATACTGTATTAATACTTTGGTGGTTTTGTGACCCTTGTGCTTGGAGGGCACAGATAACTGAGTACAAATCCAGCCTCAGGCACTTCTGCGACCCTAGGCAAATCTACTTCTGCCTTATTTTCACCGTCTGTACAGTGGGCATAATAAAAGCACTGAATTCCCAGGATTATTGTGAGGATCAAATAAGATAATATTTGTAAAGTGCTTTTGCAGACTTTAAATTGATGTATAAATGCTAGCCATCAAATGACCTTTTGTATGCTTTTCATGTTTAGGAGGGAATTGTGTTTTAAGGTTATTTCAGCTATTTTAGGTGTTATTTAACTATCCTAGAAAAGCATGAAAGAATTTGTCCCATGTTTTACCAAAATCTGGGTAAAATTGTCGATGTAGTATGCAGTCATTTCCAAAGTAGGGAGCCTGCTCTTGACACCTTTTCTCCTCCTTTCCCCTTCCCCCCAACTGTTCGATCAGTGGGTCACATCCCACACTTCCCGTCATAGCCAGTCATGGGGCTTTTCCTCAGTACAACCACACCTGTTTTTAATTCTTAGCCCCCTCCCTTTCTTCTGCTTCCCTCCATTTTGCAAGCTCCCAACTTCCCTCACAGCAGCTATACCCTAACCACTATTCGAATTGTTGACACCCCTCCCCCCCCATCATCTTGTGGCTGCATCTGGTTCCCCACTTCGCCTTTTTGTTTTGGGTGGCACAGTTACCTTGAATGATGAAACACTCATGGGTTATAATTTTATCTTTATCACAGATCTCATTATCATTCTCTCCACAAATTCGCTATTACTTTTATGGTTCATAATCTTGTTATTCTCTTTAACCCCTTCTTTTGCCTCTCTGTCCCTCTCGGTTGTCCAGTTTCATTTTCACCCAGACCATATTTCTCAGATCTGTCCCTTTCTCTCTGCTCACTCAGGCACCACTTTAGACCAGACCTTCCTCACCTGTCTCTCACCTCAGCTTTGGCAATAGCCTCCTCCTATTCAGTCTCCTGGCCTCACATGACTGCCTTGTTCAGCGCTTCCTCCACATGGCTTCCAAAGCGATTTTCTAAAAAGGCACGCCTGCCCGGGGTGCACTAAACTCCCCTAGTTCCATGTTGATCTGGGATCTGGGATCAACTACTATTTCATATAGATCTTATCCCTTAAAAATGTATTTTCATATAAAAGTTTTGTAATATGCATAATTGTTAGTACAGTAGTATATAACTGATAAATAAGTAAATATATACACGGGAGGCACATGCTTCAAAGACTTTAAACTGATAACTGCTTAATTTTTTACTAATCAGGTCTGTGATCAAAAAAGTTTGAAGAATATTGCTCTGATCTTTCAGTGCCATAAAAAGGAAGGCTATTAATCTGGTAGGATCTCTTCTAGATGAAGCTATTCTGTTTTTTTGTGATCACTTTGCTTTTCTAGATGTTTACTAATGAATAGAATTTTGCCAGGAATCAGTCAAGCTTACTAATGTGGAGTTTGCAGGCTTCCCTTTTTGGAAATTCAAGACAGTATTTGGAGATGACTGACTCCTCACTCACATCTGCTTCTTTCAGTTCCATGGGATGCAGTTTGTCTGGCCCTGACGACTTGAACTCAAGGGAAGCTAGCTGAAACTCAGTAAAAGGAGGGAGATAATAAGAAAGTACCTATTTTTCCCCCATCCTTTCTGGTCTGAACTTCACTTTTTGAAGGATGAAATAGTCATAAAAGTAATCCTAAAAATTAACTGCTTTGATGTTGGTAGACATAGCTGTCTTAGCAGATGTGTAGGTAACTGAAATTCCCTTATCACTGTGACTACTGAATCTGTGTTTGCATTAGCTGTTTCCATAACTCACTGATGTCTTCCTTTTGTCCAGGTGGCCTGTAGGAGAATCTGAAACTATAGATTCCTTTTCTGCCTCCAGCTTTTTTTATCCATATGCTCTCCACGTGTTGCTCACCTGATTCCCGGGTTTCTGCTACTTGGTGCATTCTCTTAGTCCACTGTGCTGCTTCTCTAACCCTCTGTCTCATGTTCCAACCCGATCTGGTTTGCTGTGGGATGCTTTCGGTTCCTTTCTTGGATTTTTTGTGTTCTGTGAATTTTTTGGTGTTCTACCATCATTTTCTTTTGTTTTAGTTATTCTCTATATTTTCTATCTCTAAGCTCTACAGCATTACCCCTTCACCCCTCTCCCCCACCCCACTTCCCATGGGCCGCTTTTTCAGTTCAGAGCCCTTTTGATTTGACTTTCAAGTCTGGGGGCCAATAGTGTTCACTAGCCCCGTATAGATGCACTCCATCTCTGAGCAAGAGAGCCCATTTCACCCATATTTCAAGCTGTGGTCCAGTAACCTAGCTCTGAGAGTCTCAGAAATCATCCTTCCTCTTAAACATCTGCTTACTTTGGTAAATAGACCTTTGCTTTTGCTCTTCTGAAGCTCTTGTCTTCATTTGGCAGCAGTGATCTAAACCTTGCCTGCCACGTCTCCTCCCTCCCAGGCCTTGATTTTCTTGCCCAGTACTTTGAGTCCTTCTGGCAGAATCATTAGTGTCCATGTGAATCAACAGAACTGTGTGCTTCCCTTCAATTTGAGTTTGATAAGTCTTTGGAGGTTTTAAAAAAATTTTAATTTTAACCTTTCTCTTTTTTGATCTTATTGATGTTACACACACACACACACACACACACACACCACACACACCACACACACACACACACACACACACACACCCTCTTTTAAAACATTGGTCACTTCTCAGTGACAGTCATCTTCTTGGTACCTAAGAAAACGGTCACTTTGGATATGTCTAAAAACATAAATTTGACACTGCACCTTTAGTCCACCACCTCCATGCCTTATCTCTCTGGTTACTGTGTTATCAGAATTCTGAAGGCTTTCACTGCTGTCTTCCTTCATCTTTTTGTAGTCATTGCTTATTTCATTAATTGTTCAAAATCTTAGTTTCCTTCATTTCTTGTCTTACAGTGCAGTAATATTCCATTACATTCAATACCACAGTTTGGCTAACCATTCCCTAGACAATGGGTACCCGCTTTCATCTTGGCAGGGTATTGTCATATGTCCTGGATCCATACCCTAAGGAAACAGCGGACCTTTTTATCGATACTGTTTATGAATCTGAGGTCAGATCCCTGCTCTGCCAGTTCCTGTGTAACCATGGACAAGACATAGCCAGCACTCGCATTTACACAGTGCTCTGAAGGTTTACAACCTTTCCTCACTGGATTCTCATGAAATAAGCACCTTACATAAAGTACCTTAGAAATGTAAGCTTATTCGTGTTCTTTGCCAAGTGATGAATGAAGGTTTTACTGTAGTAACTTTTTCAGATTTCAGAAGTTGAAGTTTAAGAGAACCCACAAAACTTTAATTTGACTTATTTCAGGGTTTGATACATTCAAATTGATTTGTATTGTTGTGGAAAATTTAGGTCAGAACACCAGGTTCAAAATAACTACTTACTCCTTACAGAAAAAGAAGTTGAACATGGGCAAACCTCATGCAGTGATGGGGAGGGCGGCTTGTTTAAGTTCTGTCATCACTGTACTTTTTCTGCTGCGATCCAAATCATTTATTTTACTATCATGAGAAGCTTGAAAAGTCTATGCCTTTAAATATAGTTGGTCGTTAAGGTAGGAATTACTATGAAAGCACATTATTAACTGGGCTGTTTATGTCTAATTCACTTTAGAATGTATTTGGGATACAATTATAAGTTACGTGTAGGTAGTTGACAAAAATAAGCTGTATACCCAAAATAATATCTCTTTGAAAGGAAAAATATACATGTGAGTGTACTTCATATACATTATGGAGGTGATAGTTTTAAACCACATGAAGTCACTGAACTCTGCTGAGTGTGGAGAGGGTGCAGTCTGCGTGAGTCCAATGGCCATTCACATTGATTAAGTCAGATTTTTAAAAAGAATCTTTACACCGGTAACTGTGAGTGCTTTATTGCTCCAGTGGAATGGAGGCTCCTTGAAGGCAGGAGCTGCTTGGCTTGTATGGGCCCCGGTGTTGCTCTTTGGTCTTCGTGAGCCCAGGCAGTGCTTTGCATACAGAAGGCATTTCATGGTTGTTGGAGTGTTTCACGTTTCCTCCCATTCCAGTCCACGTTTTATTCCTATTTCTCATCATTGCTTTCCATCCTTTTTGTTGTGATTTTCGTAAGAACATATTTGAGGCCGCGTTTTTTTTGCTTTTTGACTTTTTAGAAAAGTAGGGCTTATATTTCAGTTAATACAAGGTTTTCAAGTTATTTTCGTGCCCATCACTTAAAAGTGAAGTGTGTGCCTCTCCACGGTGTAAGGGTTTCTAGGCGGCTTCACAGCTGTCCACCGGCACCCAGATTACCCAACGCTAAGCTGGGGTGTTTTCTCTTTGACCAGGTCTCACCAGGAATGGGTCCTGGTAAGCCTGTTTAGGTTAAGTGTCTGCACGGCCTGGTTAGACGTGGGCTGTGGTTCTTTGGTTGCCCGATTTTTGTCGTGAACCCTTTTTTCTGTTTCCAGGTTCCATACCCCATGAAGTGCCTCAGATCCTGATTAACAGGGAACCTCTGCCTCACCTGCACTTTGACGTTGAGCTTCTGGGGGACTGTGACGTCATCATCAATGAGCTCTGCCAGCGGCTGGGTGGTGAATACAGCCGCCTCTGCTCCAACCCGACAAAGCTTTCAGAGATTACAGAAAAGCCGCCACGAACCCAGAGAGAGTTTGGAGCTCACTGGATAGGACTGCCCCCCACGCCTCTTAATATTTCTGAAGACTCTAGTTCCCCCGGCAGAACTTCCCCGCCAGACTCGTGGGCAGCTGAGGGGAGACCTGGGGACACTGAGGATGGGGCCGCATCGAGGGGGGACTGCAAGGCAGAGAAGCCAGTGCCAGAGGGGCGAGCATCTTCAGGACACCCTGCAAGTATTACAGAACAGCTGGAGGATCCTGGAGCCAACAGTGGGGAGAATAGAGAGAAAAATGAAAGAACTTCCGTTGTGGAAACACTGAGGAAATGCTGGCCCAATAGACTTGCGAAAGAGCAGATCAGTAAGCGGCTTGATGGTAAGTAATCAGTGTTGATCCACTTGGAAAACTTGGTCACGTTGATCATTGCGGCATCTTGGCAGGTGAGTTAGAGAGCTGTGCTTGGCAGTTGGGTGGGATTATTGGAAGAGGATGCATAGAGATGCTACAGAAGCTGCCGCAGCACGTGCTGTAAGGACAGCAGCAGCCTTGCACAAAGTGGAGGAGGAGGAAAGGGTTTAAGGGCAGAGCCGACACACCTGGAAGCCCTAGCTCCTCATGGCGCGCCCCCCCCCCCCCCCCCGCCAGCACCTTTGCAGATGTTTATCACCTCGTTTGGAAGGTGAGTTTACTTAAAGAACTCCCAGCACTTTGTAGGAAAGTGATCACTAGCCAGGGGGTGGGATGAAGGGAGTAGAGCACCAGCATATGTTTTCTCAAAATGTGCACCATCTCTCCTAAATCTAGTAATAGCCTGGGTTATAAGTAATTCCTCTCATTTTCATTCTTGGCCCACACTTGACACTCATTTCTCGAAAATAATCTGTAAATAAGCCTGGCTTCTTTGCTGTGAAACTGGCCCAGTGGAACAGGCAAGGAAAAAGTCTTCAAGAAGCTGCTAATGAATCATCTTGAGAGACAGCCAGCTTCCCATATCTACAGAACTGCTTCAAGGGAGAATCAGCATTGACATGAAACCACTTCGGAGCTGTCTGCTACTCAGTGCCCAAATTGAACTTTGGGGAGGATTTTTAAAATCTCCACCTGGGGAAGGCTGCTGTTGGGAGGATCCTTCTTTCCCCACCCTGATAATAATGTTTGAGAAAGCAGTAGCTTCCCTTTCCTTTGTTTCTTTTCCCTGGTCCCCAGAAGACTGGCCGGTGCCTACAAACGTTTCTGGGAGGTAGACTAGATAACCACCAAGAGCCCTTTATCCTGCACTAATGCGCTCATGGTCGGTGTGAAGCTGTACTCACAGCAGAGAAATGAAGCACAAAAGTCTTTTCCTTCCCTATGGTCCCTGGGTGTTTTGACTTGCTACCAACCAAGCTGGTTAGGTTTTGGGTTTTTTTGGACCACAGAAGCTCATACAGTTAGTTTAAAGCAAAAAAAGGGATGGGCTGCAGACTGCTTTGGTGGGGGGTGACCCAGCTGGAGGAAATCATGGATTCTGGAAGCATTGCAGCATTGTTAATTACTTAGTCCTGGGTGGGAGGAACCTTGCAGCCTGTTGTGCAGCAGGAAACCCCCTGCTCAGGGGCCTCTCCTGTGCAGCAGCTGGCTAGGTGCCTGGGACCACTCGCTGCTGCTTTGATTGTCTCTTCTCCCCAGCCTCCATTTGGTTACCTTGCTGGCAATGATTTTTGTCGGGAGTAGGGTAGCGGAGGTAATGTTCCAGTGCTCTTTTATGATGTCATTTCCCCCTTACTCCTACAAGGAAATAACTTATTGGTTTAGGGCTTCCTCTGAAGCACAGAATTATACATCTTTGGGTACCCGAATGTGCCCTTTCTATGTGACCTCGGTAGGGATAAAGGGAAGAGATTAGGAGATGTGAGAAAATTTTTACCCATTTCTCTCCCCCCCCCAATTATTGTTAAAGATAAAAACCCTTGGGAAACTTGAAAAGGTTTTTGTTTCTTTTAAGGGCGAGAGAGAAGGGAAGCAGTTAAAACTACAAGGAATAAAGGGTAGTAGAAAGGGAAGTGGACCTTCAGAACAAAAGGTGGTGCCTGGGGAACTTTCTGGGCACACGTCCTTTGGGATTCCAAGAGCAAAGTCTTGTTCCAGCCTCAAACCCAGGGAGTGTCACCCTTACCTCCCCTCCTTTCCCATCTGTGTGCCCTATCACACAACAAGTACACAACTTTAAAAGGTTGCCCTTGAAATGTTGACGTGCACAGCAGTTAGGTTCATACTGTTATTCACAGACTGGCCTGGAGCCCAGTACATCTGACTTCTCCGATCCTTTGGGGAAAGGTCTTGAATATGGACTTGTTTTTAAGTTGAAGAGGGCCGAATGAGATAGAGTGTGAGATATTTGTAAAGCACCTAACACAATAAATGCTGATTTCCTTCCCCTTCTCCTTTACTTGTAACTTCCTATTTCAGATTTGTGAGACTGTAAGAACATGGTTTTGTAAAGATGTTGTGTCCCTTAAACTTGGGGCTGTTTCTCAGACAGAAGCATGTTTCAGTGGGATAGAAATGACTCTCCATACTAGGATTGTTCATTAGTTGAGGCAAACATTGCTGTTGACCTCATTAGTGAAAACTCAGAAGATACAAATCTCTCATTTAGCATTGAACATGCTGAGTAAGGAAGCAAAGCTAAAGAGAAGATAGAGATGTTAACTGCTCTTTTTAAAAAGAGAAATCATGAACCTTCTTTCTAGAGAGAAGCCTCTTGACTTTTAAAAAGAGAGATCTGAGAAAGGGGTCCCCCTGAAATTTAAGTCACATCCACGCTTTTCTAGACTGCTAGAAGAGGGGATGAGCCATTTTTCCTTACAAGTTGGTTGTTGTTTTATAGTGGAATAAATTTGTGTCTGCATAACCAGAAACAATTGATATATGAGCTTATTTTTGTGAGCAGAAAATAAATTGCTCTCCTTTTTGTCTCACAATCTGATTTTAAGGTAACCAGTACCTCTTTTTGCCACCAAATCGCTATATTTTTCATGGCGCTGAGGTCTACTCAGACTCTGAAGATGATGTCCTGTCCTCCAGTTCTTGTGGCAGTAATAGTGACAGTGGAACCTGCCACAGCCCCAGCCTAGAAGAACCTATGGAGGATGAGAGTGAGATGGAAGAATTCTATAATGGCTTAGAGGAAGACGCTGAAGTTCCCGAGAGAGGAGGACCTGGCTTTGTGTGTGACCGAGATGAGCAGTGTGCAGTTAACGAAGCTGTGTCTGTCAAGGACGAGGCAGCTGAAGTTGACCAGTCATCAAACAGATTATAATGTCGTCTTTGCCTGGTTACAGGAACTTTTCCACCAGCATTAGGAACTTTGGCATGTCAGAATGAGTGCTTACTTCTGAGCTTAAGAGAGCAAGGAAAACTATAAGGGTGTGGTGTTTATAGAAAGTTAAACCAGATTTTCATGTATAATTTTTACTTTTTCAGTAATTCTATAATTGTACACTCAACACTAACTTTTTTAAAAGAAAGATAAGGTACTAAGTATCTTTAGTCAGCTGTTAGTCACTATGTTCACTTTTTTCCAAGATCCATTTTGTGTGATAATGCATCTGTATGTATATATAGTTTTTTGGGGGGGGTGGGGGGGTACCTAGTGAATTTCAGCATTTTAAAGTTTTGCAAAAGCCATTGGATGTTAAATTAATATAAAGGGAACAGCTAATCTAGACCAAAGACTGGTATTTTACACAATTTTTTCCTTTGTAACATTTTGAATGGTTGTTTCACACCTTCATGCTTCTGTTCTGCTAAATTTTTATTCAACAAAATAGCGCCCCCCCTCCCCTTTTAAAAAACACTGGCATTTTCAAAGACTTTAGTGGCAGCTAACTTTAATTTTTGGTCTCAAAAACACATAATGTTTGTAGATTGAAGCTTTTGATACCTGGGAAAGCACAGAAGGTCTTTGCTTTTCATAAGACATGGGGCTGAAGAGATGATGAGGAATACAATGAAGGCTTTTTCAAATTTCCTGTGGATGGGTTAGCATTGTCTGTATTGGCTCATAAAGCTAACATGGAAAAAAAAAACTTGGTTAAAAATGCTTTGGAAATGTTTCAGTATGAGGTGCCTAGCTGGATCCCCTCAGTTTAGAAGATATCTTACCATTATTGTGTAAATACCTATCACTGTGGTACAGCTTGCATTGGTCCTTTCCATAAATATTAAACTGCCAAGATGTGAATATGCAAAGCTTGTCTGAATCTATAATAATGGTACTTCTAACAGGGGAGAGTATTCTCTCTCATCTCTGTCTTTATCTACATAGATACACACACACACACATATTTTTTTTTGGACTGCTGTTTTCCCTTCCCCAAATACCACAGAAAGTGACAGGAAGCTGATTATAATTCCAAAGTAATGCAACATTTCAGTATAGTCTGCCATAAAGTATGCCTCCTGGAGGTCATGCACAGCTCCTATTTTGGAGGATTTGGTATCTCAGAAATGCCAGTTTCTAATCTAGTATGACAGAGAGCTTGCCATGATGCAGAGGGTCCCTAGCAGCATGGTCAATGAATGGAACTAGTTCCTATAATGTAGCTTTGTTTAAATGTCATGTAGCCTGCCTTAAAACTACATCTCAGTTCCTCAGCTATAGATTTTCCAGCTTTCTGAAGTTCATATTTTATAAAATTGCACAATAAAACATTTATTTTCCAAACCACTTTCTCAACATGACCCAAAAACTACATATTATTCATACTCTGCTTTAATATTTATTACAGTGTTTAGTATGGGTTTTGAAATTGTAGCTGTTCTTTAAGCATAAGACACCAATTAGAACCATAACTGCCAGAGAAACTGAAATTTGTGTTTTAAGAATGGACTTTTGTTAATCTAAAAAGATGTTGGCATGTTGTCTTGAAGTCTAAATTCTAGAAGATCTCAGACCTCATTTGCATTTGGTTCCATTAAGGAATGCAGTATGTTTAGTTTTTATTTGCATGATACAGTGTGTTTGTGCTATAGATGATATTTTAAATGGAAAGATTTCTGTTTTAAATTATTTTTACAGTGAGGATTGTTTTCAGCTCTTTTTATATTGTGTGTATATATATATATACATATATATATATATATAGTGTCTTTTATGTAATCTACTGGCATATGTTTTGTAGACTGTTTAAAATGACTGGCTCCCTGCAACTTTTGAAATACAAAACCAGTGTTTTATACTTGTACATCCTGTTAAAGTCTATTAAAAATTGTCATTTGATTTTTTTTCTTTCAGTTAAAACACTTGCATTTTTCCAAGTATACTAATCAATTGATGAAACTGAGGTGTTTTCCCACCTCTCCTTTGAGTAAATAGCTCACTTTAAACAGCAAACACCTTGGTATTCCTAAACTGTCCTGGACCATTACAGCAGGAACTTTTAATAGGTGAAGAAACTTAGGCCCCTCAGGGATTAAATGGATGTCTGATTTTGATTAATGGCAGAGGCAGGAGTAAAACCCCAGTTTCCTAAGATTCCTAGCCCCAAGGCTGCCACATGACTGCTGCTTGTGTATCTCTCTCCTGTACTGGCCTACAAGTGCCAGTTTCAGGGCATGGGTGTTAATGCCAGGATCCCATTTGTTTTAATGACACCTTCAGTTTAACTATGAATGAAGCTGAGTTTGACATACTAGGGGAAGACAGTGCAATGGAATGGGGACAATGGAAGTGCCTACAACTTGAGGACACTGAAAAGTTACTCTGGGAGAAGACATTACTGTGGCTGCCATTCAGCCTATGCCCACATTCTCAGGATCGATCTCTCTACTAGAGATTGTGTTTGTTGGATGTGTTATAAAGCTGTTTTGTTCTTGGTAACAAACTCATTGCAACCTGCTCATGTCCACCATGCCAGCTTCTTTTAGGAAGGGAAAATACTGATTTTAAAAGAGATGGGCTTTTGTAGTAGAGAACAATTTGGAGTTACTAGAAGTACTGAACAGTTTTCAAAACAGTCCAGTTTGATCTCTGCCCAGCTCAGCACCCTAATTCGTGTTCATTGTTAGGGACTGAACTGGTTCACCTTTGCACTATTTTATTAAAAGGATGTGGTAAGGAATAGTTATGATATTACGGGGTGTTGTAACTTACCTGAAAGAAATGTCAAATATACTTTGGATGTACACTTTATGTTGAATTTATTAGACATATTAGACAAATATAGTATGTAATTTAATAAATAAGCATTTCTTTTAAAATAATTATTTAGCTTCTACGTTAGGTCTTACCAAGTAGTATGGGACAGACACACACACACACACACACACGCGCGCGCACAAATCCCAAGAAACAATTAAGTGTTCCCTTATTTCTTTGATTTTTTTAAAGTAGATGACTGAAAAGCGATCAATAAAGCAGAAAACCATGCTAATCTGATAAGCTCAAAGAGACATCATTAAGGTGTTACAAGCATTTATAGAACAAGGAGTAGGTGGCAGAAACAGGGCTGCTTTAAGGTCCCTCAGATGGTTTTTTTAGATTCAAACTTCAAGGAAGCCCTGACCTAGACAGAGAACCTGATGGATGGAGGGAGCTGGGTAGTAATCGACTCCTCCCCTCGCCAGGCTCTGAGCCAGCCTACCAAAAGAACCCACCCAAGGGTGCCACTTGAAGGTTGTCTCCTACAGATGGCTTCATTGGGACTCACTCCTGGAACTGTGGAAGGAGACCAGGAGTAGCGATCACTGACACTTTCCAATAGAGCTCAGCCTGTCTAAATTATGTTCTGAGCTGGACTCAGAATTGGAAGGGGTATGGGTAGCCAGAGGACAGAAGAGCCCTAAATGCCTAAGGAAAAAGAAGGAAGGGAAACGTGAAGGTATGAAAGTTGGGAGATGAAAGACAAGATCTGGGTAAGGGAGCATGGAAAGGTAGGGCCCAGAATCGTGCCTCTGCGTAGACTGTTTAGTGGTGGTATGTGTCATCCATACCATGATCCCTGGAATCAAAGGGCAATCTCGTTGGGGAGACAAATGGGAGAAAATCTGGTCCTAAACTCTAGTATTACTTGTATACAAGCCATTTTGAGGGTCAGCAGAGAGTCAGGAGGTGGCCACTGGGCGTAGGGGCTTTTCTGAGGCAGTAAGTGGAATATGCTTTTAATTCAGGACTTGAAAACTGTCTTCCTTCCATTCACTTAGTATGAAATAAGTTTTTTACATAAAACTGTTGGAAATAACAAGTATCTTAAGTCTGCATAAATTGCCATAAACTGGAAAAATGCCAGTGAGTGTGGGTCCTTATATGTGCTAATGAGAGCAGGATGTCTTTCCTGTCTTTGGTGTAAATCTGTTGATAATAAACTACTGTTAAGTTTTTGAAATTGCACTTCTGATATTAAAATATTTTAATTTAATCTAGAGACTTTTTTACTTCTGTTGTCTTAAGAATTTGATTAATTTAAGACTGTCTAAAAACTAAACTACTATGGTTAGAGAGAAAAACCAAGTATTTCTTCACTGTCTCCCCAGCAGCTACGTGAATTTGTACAACTGAAACCTCGAACTGTGGCAAGACGCTTCTCAGTACTGGCCCATACCATGGTTCAAGATAAATCCTCTTCCCCTCTCAGTCCCCCCCCCCATTAAAGACAATGGTTATTTGCCCTAGCACATCCAGAAAGATCTGGAGGTTTATATTCTATGGGACAAAAGAGATTGGAAACCACTAGGGAAGCCAACTCACAACAGCATCTCCCAAAATATCACTTGGGGTCCCTGAAGAATCTATAGCTGGACACCATGTCATGCCTTCTCTCTACTGACAACGTTGCTACTATTTCAAAATTCAGAAAGTAATTCCACTAATCTGAAGCAGCAGAAAGAAAAGAGAATTGGTCACAAATAAAACTCAAACTCCACCAACAGTGACTATTTGTATGTAATACCTCCTGAAACAGATTTGGTTGCCCAACATTTAGCTGTTTTCCCCTGTTCATTTTCTTTTTTTTTTTAAAGGCAATTGGGGTTAAGTGACTTGCCCAGGGTCACACAGCTAGTAAGCGTCAAGTGTTTGGTCTGAGGCCATATTTGAACTCAGGTCCTCCTGACTTCAGGGCCAGTGCTCTATCCACTGTGCCAACTAGCTGCCCCTCCCCCCTTCGTTTTCCCTAGTTTTCTAGAACTGAAGTCCCGAGCTGCCCAGTAAACACTGAGTACTTAGCATCTCAAAGCAGTTACTAAGCATTGACCAATCCACTACCATGAAATCTATTATTGCTTTATAGAAATCAATTCAAAGTATGGTTGGCTACATGCAAATCACTGGGGATACAGAGATGGGGGGAGAAGGGGAGGCAGTCCCTGCCCTGAAGAGACTTGTATTCCTCTAAGCTGAAGGTGAGGATGTAGAAATACACAAAAAGAGATGTGATGGGAGACATAGGAGAGACATAGACAAAGTGAGCAATGACAAGGTGAAGCCAGTGGGACATTTCGGGGGTACAGGGACTGAGGATTGACAGAGGCATGGAAAGGCTTCATGGAGGAGGGAGCACTGTAGGAACATCTTATCTCAAACAAGTTCCAGATGGAAATCATTACCTCTCCCCTCTCCTCTTTGGGAAAAAAAAAAAAGAAAGAAAAGAAAAGGAAAAAAAAAAACAAAGCCAAACCAATCTTTCCCCGTCTCCTTTGATAAGGAGCAGCAGTACCCTTCTAGGCACTTCGGTTTACCGCCTCCAAGTCATCCTTAACTCTGTTCTCTCCCTCCACAATTAACTAAACCTTGTCAATTCTAACTCTACCAAATTCTTCACATCCTTATGGCTACCAAAAGTCTTCCTAGAGCACAGATCTGACCGTGTCACTCCCTCCTCAAGAATCTCTGGTGACATCTTATTCCAGTTGAGATAAAATACCTACTCCTTAGCTGGGCATTTAGATTCCTTCACAATCTAGTTTCAGCCTAAATTTTGATATTCATTTATTTCACATTAATATGCCTCATGGGTTATCTGAAATTTGGTAAAATTTCATTTCCTTGGTGTGATTCTCTTGTCTCTTTGCAAATACTATTCTTCAGGCTTGTCATGCATCTCCCTCCCCTCTGCTCACACTCAGAAGCCTTGGCTTCCGGCAAGATTACAGGTAGCCTTTCTTGACAGCTAGTAATTAGGCATCTTACCTGACACAATGTCTCGTATCTAGCGTTTTGTGCGGTTGTTTTGGTTTGTGCTTTTGTATCCCCACCACCTGGCAGTGACGTGGACATGGTAAATGTGACACCATTGTGCTCAGTACAGGCACCTGGACCGTGGCAGGTACTTTATGCATGTCTGTTGTTGTTGTATTGAAAGGCAGAACTGCGTACAGGGGACGGCCTCTGGGAATCTAGAAGTGGAAGCCATGTCCAGTTTCTTACATACTAAGTCCACTCTTCTGTTTGACTCAGATTGTTGAAGACTCATGTGAAACAAGGTGTGATGGGAGCAAATTATGGGGGACTTCAATGCTAAGTGAGGAGGACTTTGTATTTTATTCTAAAGACAAAAGGGAGGCACTAAAGTTCCCTCAGTGATACAGTATGACCTGTGATTTAGGAAGATTATCTGGCAGCTATATGAAGGGCAGACTGAAAAAGAAAATGAGCAGATGCAGGAAAGGCGGTCAGACTCCTGCAATCACCCAAGTGAATCCAAACTGGAGTGATGAAAATGTGAATGGATGAAAAAAATGGATAAAACTGATACAATCTGGCATGTGCTTAAAGGGGTGTATGCACGCGTGCGCACATATGGGCACACAGCTACTCATATAGGTAGGTATAGTAACGTGAGGAGAGAGGGAAATCAAAAAGGGTTCCAAGATGTTCATACGGGGTACCTGAGAAGAGGGTAGTGTTATCAACAGAAATGGAGAAGATGGGAAGAAAGAACAGGTTCACTGAGGGAAGATGAGGAGAAACTCTGGGATAATGTACTCAAAGTATTAAAATAGCATGGCCTTAAAGCATTGGGCTAATGCTATGAGTGTAAAGGACTCTTCCAAAGAGAGAGGGAAATGTCATTTATTTGAATGGTCACAACTAGACTCTGCAAGCCAACATCACAGAAGGAATATGTAGGAAACCTAAGAAAAGTTGGCATTTCAGGACATTTCCTTATTTCCAAAGGGAATGAGTTTTTTCTACATTCTTTAGGTTGGTGCACTGAAATTTTAAAGTTCATACCCCTGAGAAAAAGAGAGGAAAACACAAATTTAAGAGTCCTACCCTAAAACCTTCTTAGAAATTGTCTTGAAGAGTGTAGGATCTTGCATGAGAACCACTGAAAGTTTAATTATAAACCAATAAATCTTTATTCAAGTATTTTATTTAAAGAGTTTTCATTGCATCTTATAAATTTAAAAAATAAATATCTGCACCATAGCTGAAAGTCACATGTATTGCATATCAACACACATTCTAGGACTTAAAGACATGAGAAGAATAAAATCTGAAAGTGTTTCAGTCACAATCAGCATATGAAAACAATGTTTTCTTCAATTTAAAAAACCCTGAAGAAAATTCTTCTACATAAGCCAAAAAGCACTGTGGAAAATGTGACTCAAATAGAAAACTTCACAGTTATTATTTTTCAAAGCTGTGAGCTGGGGGTGCTGGGTCTCCTAGTGCCACACATTCCTATTCTTGGCAACATGGGAAAGCTCTCTTCCACTGCTAAATTAACCATGTTTAATCATCACTCCCCATTGGAAATGCAACATTACCACAGGACTCCAGAGGAAGGACCTGGAAGATACTTAGTAGAACCCAGATCTGGGCACATATCAAGATACTAGAAGATTGTCCTGGTACAAAACAAGCTCTAAATTTTTACTCTTGTTATTTCTGCTACTTGAGTTTCTAAGAAGCCAGGAAAAAAAAATTAATGGTCACAATTTTTAACCCATAAAAGTCATTCCAGTTCAATTACAACATAGAAACTGTACTGGTATCAGAAGGTAACTATTTTATTACAAAAACTTTAACATTATTTACAAAATGGAAAACAATCAAGTGACTATTGCAAACCAAAGTTAAAGGTTTTTCACCCAGTGATTGAAAAGAATTAAGCAACCATTCCATGCACTCACACACCACGATCATTTCTGTAATATGCAGACCATTAAAATTCATGTTAGTGAAACTTCAATGTAGTCACAATACTTGCATGTTTATTGGTAGATGACAAAAAAAAAGTGTCAATGGTTTTGTACAATAAGTCTAGTATTAACGTAGTTCATTTTCTTTTAGGACTTTTTGGCTTTTGTGAATATTTGTATGTCACAGAACATTTTGTAAATAAGCAATTAATTATATTATCACCTCAGTCACCTTGTCCACTGAACTCACCACCACAAGAAAGACACAAGAAATTAGTTTAATGCTGCTGCATTAAACCAAATAGTTATAATACCTCTAAAGTTATATTAAACTGAAGCCTTCGTTGTGATCAATGGCTTGGATCAGTTTAGATCGGAGAGTTTCTTTCTCTGTGTATTTTGGAAGATCAAGAAGATTAAAACAGGTATGGGAGACTGGGAGATATGCCTCTCCACCTCCAGTTGACTGAATGACCAGTTTAAGACTCTTCATACCAAGAATAGGAATCCGATCACTACCTGTCAAAAATACTATCACAAGAAATTTTTTTAAATGAAAACTTAAGACAAACATCTGCATTATAACAATACTGTTCAACTACATGTGACCTTCAGTTATTTATCTACTAAAACCACTCCAGTCAATGATCTTTGTAAATAGGTTTACCTAATTTGTAAATTGGTTTACCCAAAATGAAAGAAACATTCTAATCTACTTGCTGAAATTTTTTTTATATAAATTAGCTTTGGCTGAAGATACTGCTTACCAGTAGATATTTTAAAAACTGAAATACATACATGTTCACAAACAACAACAACGTTTTCATTACATTTTGTCCACAGCTTGTTTCTGAACAAGAATGTTATTATCCAACTTCTTTATTCACTAGATTTGGTTCTTAAGGATTTTCTGCTGTTTCTAAAATGATATCCTCTCACTGGACGAATGAAGATTTTACACCATTAAGAGTGTTAATGCTGAAGGCTATTTTAAAAGAGAAATTTCTACAATGTTTTGAGTAGTAGCAACATTATCAGAAGCAGCATATGGCCTCCCACAATGTCTTCTCTGAAAGATGTCAACATTTTAATGTAAAAGTCATTACAGTTATTAGCTAATCCTCTTTGTAGGGAGGTCTGATCTGCACTTCATTAGAATACAATACTCCCAGATGAGAAAATTCCCTTCTCTTTGACTTAGTCTTGCAAAGCTACCTTGAGCCCTGAGAGGTTTACTGACAAAGCCAACCTGTGGCTGAGCCAGGGCCTGAAACCCACTTTGTCATGTTGCTTCTTGTTATCCTTCAAATAGAACCCTATTTTGGAGCTGGGAGGGACCCTAAAGACAATGCAGCCAAAGCCCCATGTTTTACATACAAAGTGGAGCTGGTACTTTGCTGTAGAGCTAGTCCTCAAGAGCACAGCCCAAGGCTGGCACTCCTTTCCTACCATCATGCGCTACCTCCTTAGGACTGGACCACCATTACTAGCTCTAGGGCGTGGGGAAAGGTAATGGTAGTAAATGATTAAATTGGGTCACAGCTGCAAAGAATAGCTCATCAACTGTACTGCTGCCTCTCTCAATGGACTACAACGATGAAGACTGGGTCTTATCACCAGACCCCTAAATAAAATACTCTAATAATTACAAAATTTTCCAATGACTTAGTTATATATAAAAAGTTTTAAAGCACCATCAACCCTAACCTTCCCCTCTATGTCAGTTTAGGATCGTTTAAAGGGCGGCTCTCATTAGAACCTATTATGGTTCTATTTACAAAAGAAATATTTAATGTTTTGATGGAGAAGCAGGGATGAGTCCTATTTAAAAAAAGAGACTCACAGAGCTTACTCGTTTGTGATTAAATAATATTCACAAGAAATTCCCCAATCCCAATATAATGGTATTTTCTTTTTCTTTATTTTAAATAAAACATTATACATTTCCCAAGGAATCAAAACAGAACAACCAGCTAATCAATGATTTTTAGAATTTTTACATGAAACATTTAATATAAAAGCTGGATGAGACTTTTAAAAATGATCTTAATTATCAATTATAAGACAGAATAGAAATGTTCTAATCTTTTTTGTAACTCAATCAGTTACTAAGAGACTAATAAAGACATATAAACTATACCAATCAGCATAAAGTTGTTTAATCCCATAAGGCAGAGATCAGATACAACAATTAAATTTAATTCTTATCTAAAATAGAATTAAATGGAAATACTTACAGAGAAATTGTTTTTTCTTTTCCAATGGCAATTCATGAAAAACTTCCCAGAAAATTTTTATTGTAGGATGGTCTGCCCAATATTCCCCTTTGTATTCTGTATTCTAGAAACAACAACAGAGACAACTGAGCTTCAAGTTAATAAAAGGTAGATTTCCTTGGATGTGAAACATTAGCTCAATTAGAAATTGATGCTAAGGAGGTTGAGAATAAAGGCTTGGATCCTTAACTGGGCCAGCTGCCCCCCCCCACTATTTCACTGCTATAGACCCTGAAGAAAAAAGCAGTCCTAACCTTGACAAGCCATCTTGCAGATTAGTGCCACTAGTCAAGAGGGAGGAAGATAAATCAATTTTCAGAGAAAGTTTATCTCTAATACTGGAAAAACCAAATTAAAGTACACATTCTGTTGATGGTTGGTCAGTGATACTTTTATATGTAAAAATAATACCATGCCTTGAATTTTCATGTCTACATATCAAACCACCTTTATAAAATTAACCATAATGCCCAATGTAGATGCAGTGAAGATTTATAAATAGAAAGTAATTTATCCAAATGACTAACATATCCTGAAACCTAACTTCCCTTTTTCATTGTCTATTTAAAACATTAAAAAATAAGTATCCTGTTTCACTGATAACTATTATCTAGATAGATACTCTGTTCTCCCAAAACTTCTCACCAATCACTTACAACAAATAAAAGGCAGAAAAGTATAAATTTTGTATTTCCTAAATTCTGGCTCTCATTTGCTTGAATGGTGCTTAGTCAATAATAATTTTTATTTCTTTAATAACTTATACAAGGTTTCTGCATGAAATCTCATGTGTCTACACATAGCAGCCAGTGGGAGCGGGGAAAAAGAGACAGGGAAAAAAGTCTCTGAGAAACAATGCTGTCAGTGTATACTCAACATCTCAATATAAAAGGGCATTTCCTAGGTTACGAACCATCATCGCTACAGTAACAAGTCAAGAGCTATAATTCAAGAAGCAGGCATAAAGGAGTCTGCCCAGGACGCCTGTTTCCAAACGTGCCACTGTTGTAGCAAAGGTCATTCCAAAGTGACACTGTAATCATCCCTCCAAAGAGACCCAAAGACATTCTCCTTCGTAGCCATTTCTTCATACTGTAATACTAAGCCTACCTCATCTTGCTGAGAATTCTGAGCAAAGTACTTAGAAGAAAACATCCAAAATACCAGACTGGCGTAGATACAGTAGCAATCAATACTTTCACAGAGATTGTGGCTTGCTTACAGAGCTGACAAGATTTTCCTTTGCCTTGGAGAAGACTTACAAACGGACAAATGGTGTGCAAAGAGAAATCTAAATATTTCAACTCAGCTCCGCACTTCAAAATAAACTTCAGGCAAATTATTTTCTAGAGCCATTTGCCAAACCAGAAATTGGTAGAAATTACCAAAGAGTAGCAAAACTCCCCAAAAGCAGAGGCCAAAGAGAAAAAAGAAGCAAGGGATGTAAATTCTACACGACTGAAGAAGCAGCCCTGAGACAGCTGAGAGGTGGGTGTCAATGCCAAGCATTCCCCAAGCAACGTCTTCCCTCTCTTCACTTCTCTATACTGTGATTGTAGCACTGAGAACTGGGAGGGATGTCAGCAATCACACAGTATGACCTTCTTATCTTCTAGATAAGGAAACTGAGGGTAAGAGTTGGGAAGGAATCTGTCCAAGGTCACAATGAACTTGTCACAGAGCTGGGATTCTCTTAACTAATTTATTAATTGTGTATTAATGGAGAGCTGCTAACTACAACAAAAAGCCTTTAGCCAGTCAGGTGGTGCCATTGTGCACAAAGCACTAGTCAGGAAAACACGAGTTCAAATCCAGCCTAAGATACTTACTAGCTGTGTGATCCTGGACAAGTTACTTCACCTCTGCCTCAATTTCCTCATCTGTAAAATGGGGATAACAAGCACTGACCACCCAGGATTCTTGTGAGAATAAAATGAGATAATTATAAAATGCTCAGTCCAGTGCCTGGCACACAAGAGGTGCTGTAACAACAGCTGATTCGATTCCTTCCTTCTCCATTTATTAAGTGTCATGGGCCAGGCACTCTTCAGCACATGCAGCATATGCTGGAGCCCATCTCTGAGCGCAGGCACTAGTGTTAAGAGGGATGAAGAAAAGACTTCTCACAGAAGGTGGGATTTGAGCTGAGATCCGAAGGAGGCCAGGGATGCCAAAAGGCAGATGCCAGAAGGAGAGCATGCCAGGCACAGCCTGGAGATAACAGAAGGTCTTGTGAGAGGAACGGCCAGGAGGCCAGCATCTAGTGATCATCGGGTACACGGACGGAAACAAAGGGTAAAGAAAGGGGTCTGGGCAAAAAGCTCCTATGTGAACTCTGAATACACCTGAGGTGAACAGCCCTCTTGTTACCATAACTGTAGGAACTTATACAACTCATCTTTCGAAGACGAACCAAGGAAGATCTGTTGGAAATCCCCAGATGCAGGTAAGAATATAAGGCTTCTTTCTGAGGTCATCATCCTTTTAGTAAACACTGTTAATTTAATGCTACTCCTGATGAACAGATATTTCACTGCTATTCTAAAGAGAGATCATTTCTGATACTTGCGTCATTGAAGCTTCTGAGAAAGTAACATATCACTGATCTTTCTGATTTGAGACTGTGGGGGAAAACGTAAACAAAACACTTCAATAATGGCAGGGTTTTCCATAAACTTTCTTTGGCTGAAGTGGACAGAAAATCCACTCAGTGGGGCTTCCACCTGGCCAATGTCACAGACCACCTGTTTTTTAACAAGAAGAATGCCAGCAACATGAAATACAAAAACTTTAAATCTAATTAAAGCCACTGCTTTCAAACATACATTTCACAAATCATTCACTGACTAACATAAACAAAAGTGGTATTTTTCTTTCAAATGACTGGATCAATTTGGGCAAATGCAGGCTAATGAACGACAGGAAAAATTTCTAACAAAATTTAGTATTAGAAGAATCCAGTAGCTTACTTTTATGCTGGGTTTCAAAATTACTCACAAGCTTGTTTCTCCTTACCTTTTCAAGCTCTTTCCAATCATAGTTTGTGTTCCCAATCACCATTGCCTGTAGTTCATTAGGATGGAAGAGCTGAAGGACTTTCCCACCACATACTTTATGAAAGCCCTCATGAAAAGCATCAAACAAGGAAGCCACAGATTTATTGAATATGTAGTCCACATAAGCATCAACAAATTCTTGTCTAGAAATGGGAAGAAAAAATGTAAACATGAACACTTAGATTTTTTTTTTATTAAAAGCTCCATTCTTTTGCTGGGAAGGGAGTGTCATCATATTATTCTATTATCATATCACGTCATGGCAAGTGACAACTCAATGTATGCTTATGGTTATGATGACGCACTTGTGGCCACTTTCCCACAAACTGAGATACAGCGTGGAAGAGGTCAAAAACAGCTATCAATAGAGCCATCCATTACAGATAAAAATTGGGTGACCACCCAAAATAACTCATAAAAGAGCAAAAACACTTCATCTACAATGTGGCGTTTGAGCATCTGGAAAACTACAAAGAATATGGACCCACTTACTTTTGGTTCAGAAGATGTTTGTACAAATATAATTCAAACTGAAAGTTGTTGTTGGCTTCTGAATAGCGAAGACCAGTTCTACATCTGGGGAACCTCATACCATTTAACAGTCTGAAGCCATTACAGTCAAGGGCTTGACAATCATTGTGAAATAATAAATAAACCCAAATATTGCCAATTAGCTCACCAATAAGCTACTATTTGCCAGGCAGTGTGCTTAGCACTTACATAATGTCTTATTACAGAAGACTCACAATTTAAAGCCTAATTTGGTTTCCCAAGGAATTAGGGAGAATAAAAGAGACTCATTTTCCATGTTCTAAAGAGAAAAAAAAAGTAGGGAAACTGTGGCCCTACTAACAATCCCATGTTAATACTAATATTTAGCCTGCATCCTCTTAGGAAAGTTGCCAAGGTGGCAGTACAGATTGTTACCAAATCCAAGATACGTTAACAGAGGATCTCCGCAAGTACTTAGGAAACTTTCAAATCAGTTCTTTCCACTACATTACAGCTACTACTCAAATATTTTAAAATTCTGATCTGAAGACAATCTTTGTAAGATGACATATATAAAACTGGGGGAAAGATCCTGACCTCCCTTAGTACTACACTGGATGAAGCACCTGCACAAAATCACTTACCGATTTTGTTTACTGACAGTGGTGTCTGCTCCATTTGGAATCAGTTCTTTCACTTCCGTTGTACCAAAGTTCTCAACAGTGATCTATTCAATCAAGCAGACGATCATTACTGCAGTTATACTTAAACTGTGTTTTTGTTGTCCTTCTAAAGAAGTAAAGACATAACTGGTCTCTGGGTGAGAATCTGTATCTTCTGCTTTTTATTCTTGGATTACTGCAAACACATGGTACGCCTGTGCTATCTGTCACCGTCTAGTGATGCCACTGCCCTAGGAAATGTTTCTGCCCCTGCTAACAGCCTTGTACACAACCAGAGTGAACGGAGCTTTCCTTATCTGTGTCTCATTATCTCTGCGAATTTACTGACTGTGAACATACCTTCCATGTTTCTACCACCACACTATGATCCCCTTCTCCGTCCTCCCAAAAAGGCCCCTCACTCCATCTCCTCTGCTTACTTACAATTTCATCTAGCCGGTAAAGCCCGAGGAAATTTCCATCTTCCCTGATCTTCTCCCAGGGTCCACATGGGAGATTATTCAGCAGGTGCACTAGGTAGCTCTCCTCTAGCATTTACCATAACTTACCAATTGTCACACAATTTGAAAGGACCTAAGGATGTGCAAACCAGCCCCCTTGGCAGTTCTGGAAACTAAGGCCCAGAAAAGCTGGGTGACTGACCAACGTCACATGGTTCAACAAGCAGCAAATCTGAAAAAAGGTCTTGTCTTTCAACTCTTTGTTCACTGCTGCTGCCACAATAACGCTCCCTTACTGTTCCTTCTTTTTCGTGTCTGAATTAGTCTGGAGACGCTGGGAAGGCGGAGGTCGTGCCTCGCACCTCTTTGTAACCTTAGTGCTGAACACATGGCAGTGAAGAAATATTCAGCAGTTAACAAAGACTGAGAGCCCAATTTTTACCAAGAAATGAGATAAGCAAAAAATCTATGTGTCAAGGGCTCCCCAATATTCAAATAGAAGGCGACAGAGCTACAGAGCAAGTAACAAGTGGCAGGTTATTCTGTAATACATCCTTCTAACTCACCGTAAAATTAAGACAAAATGTGTCCTCTATATCATCTTCTGGATAATCCAGTAATTGTTGCATGCTTCTGCAAAACAACACATAGGTTCCTTTAAGGTGAAAAGGGATAATTAAGTGTTCTGAACATTTTGCCTACATATAGCAAAATTTTTTTTCTAATAACAATAGCTAATATTTACATAGCACCTACGATGTGTGCCAGGCACTGTGCTAAGCCCTTTTACAATCACTACCTCATTTTATAGGTGAGGAAACTGAGGCAGACAACAGTTAAGTGACTTGCCCAGGTTTACACAATCTATGGTTGCATTTGCCAGGCCTCCCTGACTCAAAGCCTAGCACTCTATCCACTGTATCACCCAGTTGCCTAATATTACTTTTGGTAGCAATTTAGACTTTCATCAACTGTATGCTGAAATTTTGCAAAATCTTTTATCCAATTTTATTTTGTGTCTCTTTCCATGTAGGAGAACCTCAAAGACAAGCTTGAGAAAATATCCTGGTTTTTTTCTCTTGGTTCTTGTGAAAAATCACTGAGGCTTTGCTCGCTTCCTCTGAATGCAAATATCCCATGATGTGCCCATTCTGAAGAAGCATTTGATCCATATTACACTTCTATTCCATGCTCTGTGTAATTCAATAAGCAGTAAAAAGAAATTTTGGAAAACTTCCAATTGAGAATTTAGCATATCAAAAATAAAATTGATGCAAAAGTTTTTACTGAATTTTCAATTTTTTGCCCACATCATTAAAGAACTCTTAGAAAATGCTACTCTCATAAATATGTTCTCATCTATTTGTCAGGCCAACTTTCAAAAAATCAGTAATGGTGCCTCAAAACTCATACCTTTTACAGAAAACACAAATCAGTCTCATTAAATAGTCTTCAATCAGAGAAATGCTCTGTTGTTTCCATTTCATAACCCTTTACAAGCCATTTAGCAATAATAAAATAAATCTGATCATTTTAGGCATATAAATGGAGTTTCTGACAGGAACATGTTTTTCTTTCCCCTTCCCCTCCACTCCCATTATCCCCACTGACCTCCCAATATCAGGCATTAGCTCCTTCAAATCATCCAGGGAAGCCTTCTTTTTCAGCAGCTTCTTGTACAAAGCCAAAGGAAAATGGAGGTCTACAATAGTAAAGTTATAAATTGCTAATCCACAGATAACTCCAATCAAGTGGAACAAATCACTGTCTTCAAAGGTCTATGAATTTCAAAGGGGAAAAAAAAATCAGTGATAACTTGAGGTCACAAAAATTAATTCAAAAATTTTTATTATAGTTAATAAAAACGAATATAAAATATTGCATCTTCAACACAGTCAGTTGGGTTGATTGGTGGGCTCACTGAAGTCTGAGACTCCTATTAAGAGGATAAAAAGAGTCCTAAACCAGAGCAGGAGTGCCACACAAAATTCCATTCTGTGTTCTGGCATTACAAAGAACTCAAAGGTAACAGCAGCAGATTGACCATTACTGACTTCTTCAAACTTCAAGTTCTACAAGCTGAGTAAAGCATCTGAAGGAAGTTTATTCTGATTTAATGGCTTCATTTCTTAAGTGACAAAGCAGAGAAATGGCAACAGTGGTCTTCTATGGAACATAATACAATTAAAGTTCATCTTAGATTTCAATTGTGAAAAAAGATTTCAAGGGAGAGAGGGTCATCTGAATTCACCTGCTGGTTAATCTCTCCCTGACTTACTAATGAAGGTGGGGTAAAGATATGGACAAAAAGCTCAGTCTTGCTGACAACTAAATGTAGGTATTTTTACACCAAATATGTTGAATGACTGCTAAAATTTGGTAGTTGTTCTGACAAATTACTGTTATCAGAATAACTTGAGAAATTTAGGTACTTTCTTACCTTGTCAGAAAACCAAATGAGTCTAGAATCTTCATAATACCTAAACATGCCATATTTCGGATCCAGTAACTCTCTCATGATGAGCAAGAAAAATTCTTTGCGTACACCTCCTGCATCAACAGCATCTTCTCCTACAAAAATAACCTACAAAAAGCACATTAATTTAAAAACAAATGAAATCGTATTTTGCATGTTAACAGCTTGAATAAAATATTAAATGATGATTTTTTTTTAAAAAACAAAGAGCAGATAAATATGCTCGGTTGGTTATATGACAAACACACACGAAGGCCCAGAAGGGACACAGGTCTCTGAATATGCTGCCAGCAGAGAGAAAGTAAAATGTTACATTACCTTTAGTGGCTTTTTGTAATCTATATTCTTCGTCTTCCTAAGAACTTCCATGGCATCACCTACAATATTTTCTCTACGGACTACGAGAATAAGACAAGGATTCACAGACTCAATCACAGGGAGAAAAAGAGAGGAGACATTCTGTCTGTGGGCTTGGTCGATAGCCATCTGTAAAACAAAAGGTTTAAACTTCAGTAGTGATACTTCTTAGGGGCTACTGCTACAAGCTAGACAACCCTCATCAGTCAGTCAGTTAATAAGCATTATAACAAACACTGGGCTAAGTGCTAGGGATACAAAAAGAGACAAAAGATAATCCCTACACTCAAGGGACTCAGTCTAATGAGAGAAACAACAAACAAATATGTACACATGAGCTATATACACAATAAACAGGAAATAATTAAAAGAGGGAAGGCCCTAGAATTAAGAGGCATTGGGAAAGACTGCCTGAAAAAAATGGGATTTTAGTTGGGAATTAAAGGAAGTCAGGAGGTGCAGATAAGAAGGGAGAACATTCCAAGCATGGGGAACAGCTAGAGAAAATGCATGGAGATGCAGTGCCTTGCTTACTGGACAGTAAGGATACCTGTGTGTCACTGGACTGAAGTGTTACAAGTACATGTGGAGAGGTGCAAGGTGAAAGAAGACTGGAAAAGGAGGGGGGATAGGAAGAGATAAGTTATTAAGGGCTTTGAAGGCCAAACAGAAGATTTTGTATTTGATCCTGAAGGTCATAGGGAATCACTGGAGTTTATGGAGCAAGGGGCTGACAGGGTTGGAAATGCACTTTAGGAAAATCACTTAGGCAGCTGAATGGAAAATGGATTTGAGTAGGGAGAGACAAGGCAGGAAGACCTATCAAGAGACTATTGCAACAGTTCAAGCAGGAGGTGAGGAGGGTCTGTACCAGAGTGTAGTAGCAATGTCAGAGGAGAGAAGGGAGCATATTTGAGAGATGTTGCAAAGGTGAAATCGGCAGAGCCTGGCAAGAGATTGGATACAGGGGATGAGAGAGAGTGAGGAGCCCAGGATGACTCCTAGATTGTCAGCCTGGAGGATTAGGAGGATGGTGGTGCCCCCTACAGAAACAGGGAAGATAGGAGGAGGAGAGAGTTTAGGGCAAAAGACAAGGAGTTCCATTTTTAAGTAGGAATAAATTTGACAACCAAAAACCCTTCTTTCTGTTATAAGATCCACAACTTCATAAGTCACATGATGCCATCAACAAGTTCTGAACTTTTTGTTTTGTTCATTTTTTTTTTTAGGCAATTGGGGTTAAGTGACTTGCCCAAGACCACATAGCTAGTAAGTGCCAAGTGTTTGGTCTGAGTCTGGATTTGAACTCAGGTCCTCCTCACTTCAGGGCCAGTTCTCTATCCACTGCACCACCTAGCTGCCCCTAACAAGTTCTGAACTTTTAACAAAACTGATGAATCTGAGTACTGTGCTGGTCTCTCGAGACCTCTTGATAACAGCACAGAGCAGAGGCTAAGATTCTACAGGCAATAAACTCACCCCTTCTTGTTTTCTTTCTTGCCTACCCTGTCTATGTGATTTTACTTTCATTCATTTTGTTTCTCACTGTCTACAAAACTAGTTTTCCCTTTGTTGTTGTTCTAGACATGCGCATTCTCTATTAGAGCCCTGAAGCGCAATGGTTTAGTCAAGATGTCTGGAAAATCAGTCTGTCCATAACTAAAGCGGGAAGCTACTGAAGCATTCATCTGTTCTGTTAATAGAATGAGATGAGAGTACTCATCTCAGGAGGGAATTTCCTTAAATGACCGTGGATTTGGGGAATATAAAAACATACGAAAAATGAATGGTTTATTAAAGTTAAGGGAAGAGGCTTCAGAAAAAAAAAAGTATTATGAAATAGGCCAGAGTCTAATTGAAGGGCATCTTTCTAGTCCTCATCCTTATTTATAGCCTTTTTACCTAGGTTTTCTACCACAGAGGTTAAAGTCATGAAACTAAGTAGCTGTGGATAAAAAATAAGACAAGCAACCATACAGCAAATTCCATTCAAAGGCTCAAACATGAATAATTAAACTGTGTACCCATCTTCAGAGTAGACTGGATGTGGGCTCTGTGTGTGTGTGTGTGTGTGTGTATACATGTCTCAACGTAGAGTGACAGAATGCTCAAGAGAAATAAAAGACCCTGGGGTCTGGCCTACTTAGCTCTCATTTGGAAAAAACCTCAGATACCAGCAAGTCACAAACAGGGCCTAAAAAATCCCTCTATACCATTTCCTCCCCACTTCTAAACACACTTGTAGAAAAGAACAACAGCCTAAGGACAACCTGGCCTTTGGGCCCCAGAAAGGTTCCCCCACTTCTACAAAGTGATTGGCTCAGATGCTTATATAGCACCAGCTCAAGGTTGTGAGCTCAACCTCAAGTCAAAGAGGTCAGGCTGGGCCTGGTCAATCCAGTGACAGGCCACCTGAGATGCATATTCCTCTAACTGCAGCTCAAAATGCAACGCAGAAGAATAATTTTATTGCATTTTATTACTCTTGCACAGTTTATTTAGAGTGTATTCAAAAATCTCTACTGGGGACAAAAAAGGATGACAACACCCTTCAAGAATACCACATGGGTTAAAAGGCAAGAAATGACTTGAAATCCACTGTCTTGGTGACATCTGGGGAGAGGCAATGAAAGTGTGTTGTAAGGCAAAAGGCTCTGCAAATCTTAAATGGTATACAAATAATATTATTATTGTTATTTGTCATAAGGAGAGAGGGATATTTTTCTGAATAGAAGGCCTCAAGCTTCTGGGAGAAGTTGGAATGTGAGTTATGTTTGGCACTCTAAGTTTATTCCCTATAGTGACAAGCCAGAGCAAAGTAGGCCAATCAAGTACTCAAACACATCCTCATTTCCTCTATATTATTGCTGAACTCCAAAAGCCAGTATAAAGGGAGCCCCACAAAGCAACAAAGGACCATTCATTCCTGACTTCAGACCTCCTATGAGAGGGAACCCATGACCTCCAAGGGCAGTTCAATTTACCTCAGAAAGTTCTCTTTCCTGGAGACTTTGGATTTACAAAGCCCAAACTTGCCAGCATAATTTCTACCTACTGCTCCTAGTTATGCCATCTGGGACCAGCTGAAGACAGCTACCATGTCTCCCTTAAACTGTCTTGTGTCCAGGTCCAAGCATCAGGAGTTCCTTCAACCACTTCTTAGACTGTATGATTTGGAGGCCTTCTCTAATTTACCAAGGTCCTGGCTAAAAAGTGAAGCCTTGATCAGAACCTAACCCACCAACAGATATCACCTCACTGCAGAAGAACACAGTAGTGACAACATCATAGCTCACATTCAGAAAAATATTCTTTGGAATGTTGCCTAGAACCACATTAACTTTTCTCACTATCCTATTTTACTATTGACTCACATTAAGCTTTTAGTACACTAAAATCTCCAGATTTTTCAGATCCCATATTTTGTATTTGTGCAGTTGATTTTTAAATCTCTATTAAATTTCATCTTATTAGATTCAGTCCAATCTATTAAACTACTGAATTTCCTTGGATATTAACTCTGCCATCCAATACGTTAATTATCCCTCCAAGTTTCGCATCTTCTGCAAATTTAATAAGACAGGCAATATGCCTTCCTTGATATTATGACTAAAGTTAAAACAGCACGGGGCTATGGAGAGGTTCTGGGGACCCTCCACTAGACATGTCTTTCTAAGATGACAACAATCCATCAATACTAACTCTTTGGCCAACTTTCTTCAATCAGTCCCAAATCTATCTAACTACTATTTCCTTTTCTAGATGTAAACTAAACATACTTTTAATAACATAAAATTTTGCAAAGAATGAAAGCCAAGCTCACTAATTATAGTCTATAAACCTTATTCTCTTTACTTCTCGAAAAATCAGGAAAACTTGATTTATTTATTATTAATGTAATAATTAAACACAAACATTCCAATATAAAGAGAATAAACAAGAGGATTATATGAAATTGTGAGCTTATTACATTGTTTTTTGAAACTGTATTAAATGTAACAAGGTAGTGATAAATTTGCTCTATTTGTCTTTGGTCTTTTTTGCCAAAGTAAACTCCTCTACATGCACAAGTGATCTCAGTCCAACTCATCTTTCCAGCAGATTCCCTTAGCTTTCACCCCTCTTCTCTCACTAATCTTTAATTTTTCCCCTTCTCCTGGCTGCTTCTCAAATGCCTCCCCATCCTCAAATAACTGTCACCTCCCTTTGATCCTCTATAGCCTAATGGAACAGGCTTCCTTTCTGGCATCATTTCACTTTACCCAATCACTTTCCACACACAGTCTAAGGCCTTTTGACTGAATGACTCACCTCAATCACCACATCATAATCTCATCACCACCAACCAACAACTGATGAAGACAGACACCAAATCCTGATGGAGACAGCCCAGGATCCTGAAACCAAAAGCTTTTGGAATAGCAGCATCCCTCAAACCACCAGACCTAATTCCAGCACCTACAGCTACACTGAGGGGTGAAATTCCTTCCTCATCACTATCAACAAGAGCTTACCAACTGCCACCAACAGGCAAAGAGACACGAGAGCCCTGGAAGAGGAAGCACCCCTCAAGTTACCTGTTCTACTTCTAACCCAGGCCTCATAATTATTATCCATGTTAAGTGGTTCCCGGGAAGAAGTGACCAGTTAATGCCACCAACTGCCAATCATGATACAAGCAACTCCTGGCAACTGTTCCTGCAGGTGCTACAACCACGTATTTTGAAGACTCCCCCCCCAAAAAAAAAATTCTGTTATGAAAGTCCTTGGCAAATTCAAATAGTACAACAGGAGAAACAGATATGATTTTCTCAGAGGAAATGGAATTAAACCTTCCCTGTGAGTTGCCTCCCCAATGAAAATGTGAGCTGGTGAAAGCAGGAACTGTCTAAATTTTCTATTTCAATCTCCAGATCTTAGCATGGCATTTTGCTCAATAAATACTTTTATTCATTCATTCATTTACCCCTTGTCCTCCCTTTTGTAGCTAACTTCCTTGAGAAGGGAATCCACAATCAGTGTCTCCACTGCCTTTCCTCTCACTTTCTTAATTCTGGCTTCCAACCTCATCATTTCACTGAAGCTTCTCCCTCAAGTTACCAAAGATCTCTTAACTGCCAAGCCACATGTCATTTTCTCAATCTTCATCCTCCTTGACCCTTCTGCAGCCTTTGACACGGTCAATAACCCTCCTCTTCTCTCTATGGTTTTGTGACACTGCTCTCTCCTGGTGGTTCCTCATATCAGCCTGATGGCTCCCTCTCAGTTGCCTCTGCTGGATCTCATCCAAGGCTGTACCTAAAGCTTCTCTCCTGGGATCTCTTCTCTTCTCCCTCTATATTACTTCACTTGATGATCTCATCAACTCCCACTGATTCTAATATTTATTTCTAAGCCAATGACCATCAAATTTTTCGATCCAGCCCTAACCACTCTCCTGACATCTAGTCTCCTACCTCCAGCTGTTTACTGGACATCTGTACCACAGACATCTTAATTTCAACTTGTTCAAAACTGAACTCACTGTCCGCAGCCCAAACCTTTCCCCTTCCAAACTTCCTCATTATTCTCAAGGGCACCATCACCTTGCCAGTCCCCCAGGCTCACAACCTAGGTGTCATCCTAGAGTCTTCATTCTCTCACCCCTCATATCCAAGCTGTTGCCAAGGTCTGTTGATTTCACCCTCTCAATGCCTCTCAAATGTGCCCCCCTCCCTCCTCTGACATGGCTACCACTTTGGGGCACCCTGGATGAGGGCAAGAGTTGGCTGCTTGGTTTGCCCGCCTCTCAAGCCCAACCTCAATTATGCTGTCAAATTAATCTCATCCAAGCTCGGACCAAAAACTCCAGTGGCTCCTTACTACGTCCAGAATCAAAGAGAAAATCTTTTGATTAGCTTTAAAGCCCTTCATAACCAGGCTCCTTTCTACCTTTTCCAGCCTTCTTATACCATAAGCCCGTCAGGTACTCTATGATCCCAAAGCGTGGCCTGCAGGCTCTTCCTTTCCCAGCTGCATCGTCATCAGCCATCCCCTAAGCCTGGAGCTCTCTCCCTTCTCACCTCTGTCTCTTGGATTCCCTGGCTTCCTTCAAGTTTCAGCTAAAATCCCACCTTCTATGAAAGCCTTTCCTGATCCCCCTTAATAATGCTAGCTTCTGCCCTCTGAGATGCTCACCAGCTCATCCTGTTTATGTCTTGTTTGAGCACAGTGGTATGTATGTGGTCTCCCCATAAGACTGAGCTCCTTGACAGTAGAGACTATTTCTGTCTTTCTTTGTATCCAACCTGGATACATATGAGATACTTAATAAATTATTGTGACTGGACTGGACGAAAACCTTCAGTGTTCAGAGGATCTCAGCTGTAAAGGACCTCAGACACCTAGCGATTCCATAAAACTAATGACAATCCTACTTTAAAGGATACACTATACTTACTAAATCACAGTCAAACCAAAGAATATAGAAATTCCTCTAAAGTTCCTGACTACTAGTAAATTTAAAAAATACCTGCTCTTTTAAAATACAAAGGCTAACACAGTAAATATACCCAAATAATCAGTGAAATATTTTTACCTGCATCTGCAAGACTGCATCTGTTTGTAACAGTGTAGTTTTTGCCTGGGCATCAAATACAAATGGATATGTACAAATTGTGACTGGAATTTCGGTTAACTGGAAGTAAAAAAAAAAAATAAATATTAGCCTATGGATTTGTGATAGAGTACTCTGTATGGAGAACTCCAGAAAAATGACGAAATGTACCTTTTTTCAAAATTACATCAGTTTACTTTGCTAGTTCTGACACTTTTATGTTCTAACATAACATGATATTGCTCATTTGTGAGTACTACAAAACACTCATTGGATGTACCCTCTAGTGACAGGTGACATTCCTCAGCAAGCCTTTGGGTTTCAGTGAGTAGCTGTGGCTGGAGCAATGTATCATTTGACTGGTCTTTTCTCTGAATACCTGATCTTCACCTAATTATGGTATGAAATAAATTGGTTTTTAATTCCAGGCAGGACAACAGTACCAAGAATATATAAAATGCCAAATACAGGCATTATTCTTTTAAAGTTGAACAAAATTACAAGTTGAAGTGTAAGGGAAGGCTGATCAAGGGGAGTAATTCAATTTTACAGGAATACTTCTCTGTAAAGAACAGATACGTCCCCACCAGTACTTCATTAAGAGGACAAAAAGAATGCCTGATTTTCATCGAAGAGGGTGCTCTCAAGATCTGGCTGGCTGGGTCAAACTTTTGGGAGACAACCAACTCTTGGGAGAGGAGCTGTTCCTTTAAGCTGGCATATAAAGCCAATAACCTACTAAGCACATTTTTCACTTTTTTCCTGTCAGAGGACAAACCAGACTGCAGTAGAGAGGAACTAAGTTTGGACAGTGGGGTTAAGGAAACATGCCTATGGTCTCCTTTAGCAGACTGTCAATAGCTGCCTTATAGTAGCAGCACATGGAATTACATGTATTCACCCATATCCTTCCCACTTGTCAAGGGAAAAGATTTCCTGATAAAGTACTTTCTCAACCAAAGACAAAGCAACAGCTGGGACAATGGTGGAATATTAATCATCCCTGCAGAAGTACCTGGTAGAGCAGACATATACTTTCATACATGGCCCCAAGCTGTTCCTGGACAATGTTCCTAAATGCAACCCTCCTATAGAAGAGAGGAATTTCTTAGGTGTTATGGTCCCAGAATCTAGCCTTCTAGCAGGGGAGGTAGACTTTTTGGAGGCTGCTTCATGAACAACCACAAAATTGAGAACGTGGAGATCTGACATTACAGAGATAGCATGTAAATTCTCAAGCACCCATCACCACTTAGAAAAAAGAAGAACATCAAGGAAGGACTAAGCTCGTGAGACATGGTGCTTTGCTTCCTCCTATTACCAAGGTGACTGAGTCAGTATAGATTGGAAGGGTACAATGCTGCCTATCCAGTAAACTCATCATATGTTTGTCTCATTGTGGCAGTCCAAACTACTTGGGCGATTATGAGCCTAGGAAGGGACTGTGTAGGAGGACCCTGTGACAGAGCAAGGGAGTCACTAGAATGCTGGACTACTGCCCTGCTGACAATTCCAAGTTCTGTTTCTTGCAAGGAAAGATACTGCAAAGTGTTCATGTATTTTTTTACCTATTTATGCGTTGCTGACAGTCTCCTAAGCTCCTGTGAGTCCTTTGTGCCTTCCCCATTTTCTATGGGGGGTGAGGAAAAAAGGCTATCCTATATCTGAGTGCTTATATTGGCACTAGGACCCTCTTTCACCTACATTTGGAGATTTCCCATAATGAATGCTGAGTGGGAAGCAAAAAGAAAAGCACAAAAAAAGAAAATGGAAAAGGCTCCCCTAATCCTCCAAGTTTAGATCTGGGCTGTGTAAACCCAGAGTTGGAGAGGGGGCACCCCCAGCTTATAGATTAAGTATTTCACTGAGTCACATAAGAAAAAGCATCCCCCGAACTAAAGATTTGGAATGTCACATGCCACTACTCAATACACATCATTAACTTTTGCTACTGCCTGCCACAGAGTACAATTTCCCTTACTACACGTATCTGACATCACAATGATTACCATTTAGCTAGGCTTAACCAATAATGTTTTGATATGGTTTTGTTCAATGATTACAATAGCCAATCAGTAGAACAAATAAGTCATTAGGTACAGAGAACAATATGACTCAATACTAACATAATCAACTTATTTCACACTGTCAGATATTAGCCAGTTAACAGAGAATTCAAAGTCCTACGAGACACTGGATAGCACTCTTCTACTACTAAGCATCTACTGAATATTTTGATGATGAAGGAAATCTTGATGTGTTATTTCCTCCCAATTGCATGCATAACTCCTTCTATTTATGAATGCTGTCACAGATCATACAAATGAATGGCAGGTAAGGCTGTTTGTTTTTAAAATCTATTAAATTTAAATGACAGAAAAAGAACAAAACAAAAAGGGTTTAAACAATTCCCTTTTTACTTAAAGTTATGTGTGTTAATGACATGGTTTGGGGCTGTACAAACATTCATCCAAATTGCTAGAGCTTTTAAAAATAGCCATATTTATAAAGCAATACATAAAAGTAACAGAGTTGACAACAATCATCTGCCTATATCCATTTACTTACAGAATTTAAAGATATGAGTTGTTATTGGTGGCCTACTATATTTTCACTTTTTATATTTTTATGTTTTGGTATTGGGGTATAGCATTATTTAAATATTATAATAAGAGTGATTTTTCTTTAACACGTGATGTCATCTTTGTAGTCCTGTTTACCTGGTACTTTGAGGTTCATGAAACATTCTTCATATAACAACACTTTAAGATACATAGTGTAAAGATCACAATCATCATTTTATATAAATGCAAACTGAGGCAGAGAGAAGTTGTTATTTGCCCAGCATCATACAATTTTTAAGTGTTGGGACTAGGGGTTGAGCTCAGTTCTCCTGATTCCAAGAACACTGAACTCCTGGGAACACATTTCAAATTTTATTATAGAGGTAATTAGGAAAACAAGAATTCATTTTATAGTGATCTTAGCTGCAACAAACCTAGAACATAATACCTGTATATCCACAAAGAAAGTTACTCTTAGCTAATTTTCCACAGAAAATGCTTAGGGCCTAAACGTGGTCATCTAAACAAACTCATTTTTCTTCCATCATATGACACTTCACAATCACAAAAAATGAAAAGAGCAACCTCTGGATGTACTGGCACAAAACCAAGACAAAGATGATTTGTTTCATTTTGAAAATAAGTTTGTATTACCAAACTTACCTCAGTTAATCCATGGTTGATATCCTAAGACAGCAATGTAGAATGTAGCAACAATGAGGAAACAGCAGTGTTAGTGTCCAAATTTAACTATTTCTATTCAAAGCAGCAATTCAAAATCTTTTTTCTCTGCAGTTATTTAAATGAATTAATAGGACAATCAAAAATGTATTTTTTAAAACTGTCCTTTCTACATGGTGTATACAGTGGACTTAAAATTTTTTTTTTACATTCCTTTGCCTCAGCTTCTTCATTATTATAAGACTGGGGATGATGAACAGAATGAAATTTGGTTTCTTTCCAGTGCATTCAACTACAGAGATGCCCGAGTTCATTCTTCGCTATTTTCAGGTTATGTAAACCATCAAGAGCATGTAAACTTCTTTTCAGAATTGTACTGAATCAAGGGAATTAGAGGTCTCCTGGCACACCCTTGATTCAATCTTAACAAAGTATGTTCTCACTCACGGCTCAGTTTTTTCATCTGAAAAATGGCAAGAATGTTCCTCAGAAACTTCTTAATTTTAGGAAAATGCTTCAAGTTCGACAGGTGCAAAGTCCTATGAGGCAGCAAAAGGATTCTTCTACTTTATGGAAAGAATCTGTAGTAGAAGTTGATCAAGGTCCTTGGGCAAGTGACTTTTGCACTAAATTAAGCAGATACTACTGAGAAGGAAAATTATTTCCTAAAGTGAATGGGAAACACTCTATTAATAGTGAATTTCCTGGTCAAGAGAAATAAATGAAAACATAAGAAAGCAACCAAAGCTTCTGGGGAGGGTGAGTTCTGGGCTTGTGATTCCTCGGTATGAAGAGCTACCAACAAGCACACTTCACTTACCGCTGCAGATCTGCCACCTACTCTGCAGCTCATAGCCTTGGCAGGGCTCCTGGGTCACTTAACTGAGAGGTGGTTCAATCTGCCCAGAGACACAGCCAGAACTATGTCTGAGGGGAACCTGAACCCAGGTCATTCTGGCTCTAAGGCCAGCCTTCTACTAGACAAGGCTGCCTCTTAATCAAGATATTTGAAGATAAAAGTAAAAATTAAAACAAAAACCAAGGCTAAAGTCAAAGGAAGCTGGAGGGTAGAGAGGAGACAGAGAAGTTTATGAAAGAGATGGTGGTTAAAACATAAAGGAAGGTTGCCTCATGAAACTAGAGATGGCAAACTCAGCACGGTCACAAATCCCTAAGGTGCAGGCCAAATACAGAGATAGGGTTTTATCACCAAATGATAAAGATGAAGTAAGAGAACTAAACATTCCTATACGTACAGATCTTCTTGCCCAGTAGAGTTATAAAAGGAAAATAAGTTAGGAGACTGACTTCAAGGCTATAATTCAACATTTTAATTTGAAGTGTGAAGAAAGTTAAGAGTAAGCAAACTCTAATTACCGTAATCAGTTCCTCTGAGTAAGAAAATAAAAATCTCTCATAACAACTGGTTATGATTGGGGTATATGGTGCAACAAGTCACTGAATATAGCCCCCTTGGTGCCCCTATGACCACCTGTTTCTGAGACAAGGTTGTTTGGGCTCATGAAAACTAATTTCAGTCTCTATATACTCTCGGCAACATGGGCAAGAGAAACCTAGAAGTAACCAGAGTAACCAATCAGATCCCTAGAAGGCAAGTTTTAACCTAAAAATTTTAGTGGTTGGTTTTAGTAGAAGTTAAGGAATACAAAGGGCTTCCTGTGACTAATCTGAGGCAGAAGAGTTAACGTATAAAGAACTACTTTTGATTTTTATGACTATGATTGCAAGACTGAATTACAAAAACAGAGTTGGAGGCTGAAAGCCAGGGAAGGTAGCAAAAAGCTGGTTGATGAAACTGAATCAAAAGATAGAGGAACAAGGGTTTCCACGGCAAACAGAAAGCACAGAGCTCAGACATGTTACTTCTTCTCATATTACACAAATTTGGCAATTTGAACCTGGAGAAAGACAAGAGAAAGAGACTAAGCCAAAGTACAGCAGGACAACAGGTCTGCAGAAAACAGGAGCAAAGGGAGAAGCTGTCTGGGGGTTCGCCTCCCTTCATGCCTCTCTTTTAATACAAAATAGCAGCAGTAAAACATTCTATATGAGGGTGTTACTCTGGCATTACTAGAATGGTGGGTGGCCAGAGCTCCTATAATACATATAGCAAACATCTAAACTTTAGCTTTAATGCTCACAAAAGCTCTGACTGCCAAGAAAACAATGCAACAACCCACCAAGATGAGCAGAAGCTGTTCTTGGAAACACACCCATGCAATTTAGCAGGCAGGGGGCTAGGTGTTAACTCACTGCCTTAAAGTGCAACCCCTCACACTAATGTACTGTTGGTGGAGTTGTGAACTGATGAAACCATTCTGGAGGATAATTTGGAACTATTCCCAAAGGGCTATAAAACTGTGCATACCCTTTGATCTAGCAATACCACTACTATGTCTGTATCCCAAAGAGATCATAAAAAAGAGGGGGGTGGGACATATTTGTACAAAAATGTTTATAGCAGCTCTTTTTGGGGTGGCAAAGAATTTGAAATTGAGGGGATGCCCATTGAGGAATAGCTTGACAAGTTGTGGCATGTGATTGTGATGGAATACTAATGAGCTATAAGAAATGACTAGCAGGATGCTTTCAGAAAAACCTGGGAAGATTTAAATAAACTAATGCAAAGTGAAGTAAGCAGAAACAGGAAGGGCAATATTGTATGATTATCATCTGTGAATGACTCAGCTATTCTCAGCAACACAATGATCCAAGACAATTCCAAAGGACTAATGACGACAAAATGCTATCCACCTCCAGAGAAATACCAATTTTGGTGTCTGAATGCAGATTGAAGTGTATTTTTTAAAATTTTCTTCATTTTTCTTGGGGTTTCTTTGGGTGAGGTCTGTTTTCTTTTGCAATATGCCTAACATGGAAGTGCTTTGCATGACTACAGACATACTTAATCTATATCAAATTGCTTGCCTTCTCAAGGAAGGGGAAGAGGTGAGAGGGAAGAAGGAGGAGGCAGGGGGAAAATTTAGAACTCAGATGTTAACATTTCTTTTACATGTAATTGAGAAAAAAAATTTTTTTAAAGACAAAAACCAAAAAATCCAAAGAGCAGTATCCCCCTGCAAATGCCTTCCCAGGGACTGACCCAGTTCTCTAACCTGCCCCTAGAAGTATAAGTGGTTCTAGTTCTGTCCTATGTAAACTGGGAAAGGGAGAAAAAGAGCATTTATTTAGAAATCCCCCAGGTCTAAAATGAGACAGTCTGATGCCATTACCACCTGGGGCCTGGCATAGATTAAAAAAACTATTCCTTTGGGTGTGGTCAGAAAATGTGATCCTTAAGCCACTTCAATAATGATAAAAACAATAATGGCCACAACACAAGTATTTATATATCTATCCACCTATCATTTATCTATCACCCATCTCTACCTCCATTACCCATCTATCACTCACTCTCTTATCTTTAACTTCTACCTATCTCTTTATCTATCTCCCTATCATCTATCATCTCTCTCTCACCTATGTATCTATCATCTATCTATCCATCATCTCTCTCTCTCTCTCCCCCGACCCCATCTATCTAATCTATATATAAATAGTATCTTAAGAGTTTTTCAAGTACTTTCTCCAGTGATCTCCTGTAAGGCAGAATCTACAAATATTATCCCCAAACGAAGACACTGAAGTTTGAAGAAGTTCAATGACCCGTCGATAGTCAAACACATGGTAATCAGTTAACATTTATTTAGTGCTAAGCACTGGGAACACAAAAAGGGGCAAAAGATAGTCTCTGACCTCAAGGAGCTTGCAATCGAATAAATGATCTAAGATTAAATGATAAAATGGGGACCTGAATGCAGACCCTCTTCCTAAGTACGGCGTGGGGCTCTGCTACACCACGCAGCTTCTGAGAGTAAACTAAGGTTGAAATTCCACACTACTGGGACTAGGAACAAGAGAATGAATCCTGAAACGCCCTGAGGAAGCTGCGAATGGGGGTTTTTGTCCTGGCTCACAAGAAGAGACATGTACATAGGGCTTTAAGGTTTCCAAAATGCTCCATGTGTGTTATTTCATAAGGTACAGTCTAGGTTTTATTCCCCTTGTTCAGATGAGGAAACTGATGTTCAGAAGTGTAACACAACTTACCATGATCACAGAGCCATGTGTTTGGAGCAGGATATAAACCCAAACATGGAGCTACTTGCTCCAAATTCTATTTTTCTAGATCAAATTTTTACATATCTAGGAATGTCATTCTTTTAAAAATTACCTTTCAATGGGTATTTTTTTAATTAAAGGGTGCTTTTTCTGTCATGGGACACGAATATTAATATATACAGAAGGCCTTGAAATCATAATTTGAGGTTTCTCTGTTTAAAATACAAATTTGAACAGAGGGAAAGGTAGCAAAGTAAGTATACACCTGTGGCCATGTTTCAAAAACACCAACTATGAAAAAAGACAAATAGGAAAGGGAAAGGAAGGAGAGGAAGAGGTGAAAAAGGAGAACACATGAGACCTGATGCTTCCTACTTTGAAGAACTCAGAGGTCTTCTTGCAGCTGCTTTTGAGACATTGTTCACCTTTACAATGGTAAATATATTCTCAAGATATTTCCAATACCAACTGAATTCAATTACAACTTAATAAAGGCCTACTACTACATTAGATAACGGGAAACCACCACCACCCCTTTCCTTAAGGAACTTATAATAGAAAAGTATACAAATCCAAGGGAATACAATATCACACCTGCATTTTCTATAAGACAGCATCTTGGTTTTTTTCTTATACAAGTGGAATACTGATTTATAAATCATGTGCTATATACAACTTCTATGCAATGTGCTTAAATTTTAAAAAAAAGTGTTCAACGTTTGTCTCAAGAGACAGCTCCATTTTGTTTTTCAGAAAAGACAGAAATGTAAAAAGCAATCACAGTATAAGCGAGCAGACGTACCATTCCATAGGCCTGCTGCTGCACCCAGTTGATGTAGTCATTCCGTATGTCTATTAATTCTTGCACTTCATGAATATAAAACTTGTCATATTGTATAATCTGTCCTGTTCTCTCATTTACCTGTGGAAAAATGACACCACTACTTACATATCATGGCATGGTATATATGTATGTATATTTTTAAGTGGCTTAATATAAAGAACATTTTCCACAGACTGAGCAATCCTGAGAAACATAAATGCTCTGGAGCATTTCTTCACCTAAATCAGTTTTACTCATTCATCAAAAGTTCACTGTAGGCCCACTACGTGCAAGGCACTGAGTGAGAAACACAAAGGAATACAAAGACTCAAGACACAATCCCAACTCTGCAGGTACAATCAGGTACAGACAGAAGACATATGAAGACAGATACTCCAAGAGAGGGAGCATGTATGCTAGAATGGAAAGAAAATTGGCCCAGTAGCCAAGAAGACCTGAGTTCAAGTCTTGCCTGACATAGATTCATGCTGTGTGTCCCAGGGAAAGTCATATAACTTCAGTTCTCAGACAATTCTAAAATGGTTAAGGTGCAGAGAAGGTGCCAACCTGAATCGATAGAAGGAGTTTTCTCATCTGCGATCTCCCTAATCAAATGAAAACACAAGTCCAATTGTCATCTCTGCCATCTTGTATATTACATGCCATAAGAATGACACAAAATAAGGATATACAGATATTCTAAGGACTACATAACTTCTACCTAGTGTTGTTAAAAAAGGTTTCACGAATCTAGACCTTGAAGAACGGGAATGATTATAATAGACAAACATGGCGCTGACGAGACATTTTAGGCAGAGGTACTACCACAGACAAAACAAGTGGCAGAAAGAAGACAAGCACTGAGGATGGAGGGTGCTGAACAGTGCAGTTTAACTAAAGTTAATGGCATATGTATTTATCTTCTGATATAGTAGAATATAAAGCTGGAAAGGAAGGTTACAAGCTGGTTGTAGTGAGTCTTGAACATTAAGTTAAAGCTCATGGTTTTATTCAACAGACAATGGGAAGCCCCTAAAGTTTATAAAGAAGATAATGAAACGACTGAAGTATCATGGTACACCACGATTAGTGTCACAGCGCTCTCTGAAAGAATGGAGTAGGGACAGAATGGGTGTAGGAAGATTAGTTAGAAAATTCCAGAAGAGACCAGTCCTAAAGGAGGAAGGGTCTGACCTGAGGTGATCACAAAATAGAGACTGGGAAGAAAGGAGTGGATGTCAGAGACATTAGAAAGAAATGAGTCAGTAACAAACTGGATTAAGGGATGAAATCACCCCTTAATAATACAGGTAATTAAGAGGAAAAAGGGAAGTAAAAAGTAGGAACTGGTTTTGGGGGAGGTGGGTACAGAGAAAAGAAACTAAAATCTGATTTATGATTTGTTGAATTTGTGGTACTGGTAGGACATTCAAATAGAATTGTTCAGAAGAAAAGGCAATCAGAAAAACAGGATTGAAGCCTGAGAGAGAGATTAGCAAAGGAAGCTTTCTAATGATGATTTTCAGGCAGATAGGAAAAAATCAATTAAGCTCTGGGTAAGTCTACTTTCCAGTTTCTCCAATGCTCTGTGACATATATTTCAATCAAAGAAAAGCTTATAATGTAACAGTTCACAATGAAAAGTACAATTAGTACAGGTATAGCACAAGAACAAAAGAATTACTTTAAATCTTATTAATCTCAATCAAAATCTTAATCCCATCATAATAATCCAAGGACTAAAAGGAAAAGCAGTTAAGACTATTGGAAACCAGGAGGAAAATGATGGATTCACATTGGGAAGCTAAAGAAAAAAGTCAGGCAGAAGCCTCATAAGGAATCCAAAGTATTCTTTCCAAATGTATTTTTTAAATGGAGGAGATATATGACATTCTGAAAGAGAAACAACAAAGAGTGGGTAGCTCACTCACATCACCAGACACAGGCCTGACATCTAACAAGTTCAATTAAAACCAGACTCTTCAGGCATTTAGTAACCATCAGTTTGGCCACTAAGCAAAAACACCCGAGATCATGCTTTACCAATCTGATCTTTCTATTCCCTATAATAAGATAATTATACGTTATTTTATATCATCAAAAGGACTATGAAACCTCAAGGTATAAAGAACGTGGTAATAATGATAACATAACATTTACACTGCACCTACTGTGCGCCAGGTGCTGGGTTGAGTGCTTTCAATCATTATCTCATTCGATCTTCAGAACAGCCCTGGGAGTCAGGGGCTCTCATCATCCCCATTTTGAAGAGACCGAGGTTGAGAGAGGTGAAATGATTTGCCCAAGTGTCTAAGGCCAGATTTGAATTCAAGTTTTCTTGACTCCAGGTCAGGTGCACTGTGGAGCCATCTAGCTGCAGAATGTGCTGCATTCATTCACCAGTTTTTCTGAAGGATCAGTCTTAACCATGTGTCTTTCATTATGCTATCTGGAGTACTAAAAAAGCTTTGGCCAATGTATTTCCATATGGCATGATGGGAAAGAGAAGCATATGCTCCCACCAAGGGTGGGTTATAAATGTTTTACAGCAGGCTCTTGGCGGAGGGGGTGGGGGGTGGGGTCTGCATAGATGATACATTTTTTAGTTTAATCTGCATCACTGGCATTTCTCCATCATTTTAACCTAGACAATCATCAAAACAACGAATCAAGCCCTGATTCGAAGTGTTTGCTATTTTTCATGGCATAAATGATCATGAGGAAAATTTAACAATCTGCTTTCTCCAAGCTGGCTCAGATCCCTTAAGTACTACTGTGGACAAATTCTTCAGTTCTCAATCTCATTCTAAAGACAAGATGGGAAGCAGAACTGTGAGAGGAGATTGATGCCTAGTTCTCAATCATGGGAAAGAACGAGGGTTTATATGTTCATGTTGGTGGGTGTATATACATATATATATATATATATATATATATATATACACACACACACACACACACACATATACACACACACGTCTTTGAAGAAACAATCTCACCAACGTCAGAATTGTCAAATTGCCAAACTGCCTCTAAGATAAATGAGAAATTCCTCTGAACAGCTTTAGGGTCCCAGCAACCAGGCCCCAGCCTACCTTCCCAGCCTCACTGGACATCACTGTGCTCCAGCCGTGCTGGCCTTTTGTAGTACACACACACACACACACACACACACACACACACACACACACACACCCTTCCTGAACACCATCTCATGTAAATCTTTTCTCCCTTTAAAGATGCAGCCCAAGTTGCAGAAATGTGTTTTGCATGACTTCATACATATAATGGGTATCACATTTCTTGCCTTCTCAATGCATGGGGGAGGGGGATAGAGGGAGGGAGAAAACTTGGTACTGAAAATAAAGATAAAATTCCTAGAAGAAAAAAAAAAGATGAATCCCAAACATCAGCTGCATGAGGCCTTTCCCAATCCCCTCCAAACACTAGATCCCCTCCCTCTCAAACTACATTATACTTAACTATGTTGTATAAATTTGTATTTATTCACTTTGTATTTGTTCCACGTATGTTTTTATGCATACTTGTCTCCCCCCATTAGAATATAAGCTTTTCGTGAGCATAGACAATTTATTTCTATGTAGTTATGTCTCCAGCACTTGGCACACGAGAGCCTAATAAATAGTTCTTGATTGATTGTTGCTAAAAAGCAACCTGAGTTTCTCCAAAGGTAGAACTCAAGTATTACTGACAGTGGGGAAGTATCACAGGTGACTGTGGCTGAACTATCAGGTGATGGAGAATCAAGGACAGCTGAGAACAGTAGCTGAATCCTTATAAAACAATAAGATTCTGAGTAGAAAAATAGTGAGAGCTTGGTGACTTCTTTGCAGATTTCAGACAGGAACTTTAGATCCTTGCTAAGGGACTAAAGTTCTGGCCACCCTACTCCTTGGAATGCTGTTTCTTAGAGCAGAATATCGTCTCCACAGAGCAATAGTTTGTTAGCCTCTCTTGACCACTATGAACTCACCAGCTTAATGAGTATAAGCCCTTATTTGGGATTTTCTTGGCAAAGATAGAGGAGCAGTTTGCCATTTCCTCCTCCAGCTCATTTTACAGATAAGGAACCTGAGTCAAACAGGGTTCAATGAAGTGCCCACAGTCACACAGCTAGTGTCTGAGGCCCAATTCAAACTCATGAAAATGAATCTGATTCCAAGCCCAGTATTCTATCCACACCCTACCTAGCTGCTCCCTCCCCCTTTAAAAAATTTTTTTTAATGCTTGTTCTGGTACCATTAAAAGATACTGTTCAATTTTATATTTATGTGGGTTTACCCTTCATTCTTAACTTTCTCCTCCCTCCTGCCCCCACATATACCTCACCTCTATGAAAAATGATGCTTAGAGTTCAGAATGTTCATTTGTAGTCTTTTGGGTAAGGTTGAATATTCATTTAGGATATAGGATAAAAATGTTCAGACTCAGTCACTCTTATCAGAAATTCCTTTTCTCTTTTGGCCTACGTTCATTGGGCTGGTGAGATCACAGGCTCATAATGGCCAAGAGCAGGCTAACAAATTACACTTGCTCTATGGAGACCATAACATCCACCCATCTTCTGTTATCTCCTCCTTCACCCTGTCTCACATAACGAAGTGGCCTTTCTCCTAAGCACAGCCAACACCTCTCCTTGTTGAAGTGACCCTACTCCATGCCATCTCCTCTAACAAAGGAACCCTCCCCTGCCCCGTCATCACTCTCACTTCTCTTCAATGTCTCCCTTTCTATCCGCTCCTACTCCACTGATAACAAACAGCCTCTGAAAACCCTCATTTGATTCTTTCATCCCCATCATGCCATGCTGTATCCCTCCTGCCTTTCATGGCAAAGCTGCTCAATCTACAAAGAGGGGCCCCCACTTCCTCTCCTCTGACCTTATCATGTCACCAACACTACTCTCTCTAAAGTTATTAATGATCTCTTAGCTGCCAAATCCAATGACCTTTTTATAATCCTCATTTTCCATAACACAGTTGATCACTCTCTCCTCTCCAGGTTTCCAGGACACCCCTCTCTCTTGTTCTCCTACCTATCTGACCTCTCCTTCTCAGCCTCCTCTGCTAGGTCTTCCTCCAGATCACACATTCTAAATGTAGGCAGCCCACTGGGTGGCATCCTGGGCCCTCTTCTCTTCTCCCTTAATATGTTTCACTTGATGATCTCATCAGCTCCCATGATTTACCATCTCTTTGCTGATGATTCTCAATTCTGCCTTTGCTGCCCCAATCTCTCTGCTGACCTCCAATCACACATTTCCAACTGCTTTTCAATCATCTAGGACTGGATGTCCAATAAATACCTTAAACTCAACATGTACAAAACGGAACTCATTATATTTTTCCCCAAACCCAGCCCCCTCCAAAGTTCTCTACTACTCTAGAGGGCAGCACCATCCCTCATCCCACTCCCCCAGGTCAGCAGCTTAAGTGCCATCCTGGTTCACTCAAACATGCCTCCTTCTCCCCTCCAACGCTACCACCCGCCCCAGTGAGGCCTTCATCTTCTTGTGCCTGGACTGCTGTCATTTCCTGCCAGGTAGCTCCCCTGCTACAGGCCTCTCCCCACTCTGGCCCATCCTCCATTCAGCTGCCTAAGTGATTTTTTTGTAAAATGAAGGCTTGGACCATGTCACTTCCTCTCCTTAATCAATTCCATTGGTTCCTGATTTCCAGAATAAAATGCAAAATCCTGTTAGGTATTTAAAGCCCTTCATAACCTACTCCGGCCTGCCCCTTCCGATCTTATTACTTCACTTATTACTTCACACTCCACCACTTCAATCTAGTACCACGGGCATTGTTACCTGCTCCCCAAACAAGACACCCCCTCTCTCAGCTCCAGGCATCTTCTCTGCTTGTCCCTCATATCTGGAATACTCTCCCTCTTCATCTCTGCCTCCTGGCTTCCTTTCCCAGGCCCTTAATTCTAGTACTTTCTCTCTGTTAATCATTTCCTATTTATTCTGTAAAGAGTTTTTGGTATACATCTGTTTGCTTGTTGTCTCATCCATTAGATCAGGAGCTCCTTAAGGGCAGGGACTATCTTTTGCCTCTTTCTGTATCCCAAGCACTTTTGCACAGTGTCTGGCACACAGTAGACACTTAATAAATGTTTACTGACTGACTGATTGACTTACCTTAATTCCAGGGAGGTTAGGTCTAGAAACCTCCAACTGAGATGGCTGAAAGAGTGAACAAAAGAACTAGTCCAGGTGGGTTTACCAATCACTTCAAGGTTTGGAGACAAAGACTTTACCATTAGATTACATCCTATGAAGACTGAATGATCTAATAGACTCATACCTATGGTACCAGCTAGGAAAGGTCATTAAATTGTCTATATGATAAAACAGTAGAGATGTCATTTCTTCATCTAAACTTTGTATTGCTAAAAATGTGAAGGCTACTGCAGAGAGTGATAGGGAAGAGTTAGCAAAATAATGACCCAGAGCTATTTATGTATCCACTGTCAAAGTCAGAGATCTATTTTGACTGAGGCAAGGAGAACATGTGAACAATAAAAATGTGCTTAAATAACCAAAGCAATATGACACTTAAAATTAAGATAAAAATTCTAAAACAAGACAAAAATACTTTCATGATAAAAAGGAAAAGGGAGCCATTAGTTGCTAACTTCCTAACTGTTCTCCCCTATAACGAATGTATGTGCATGCCACAGACAAATGAGATGATAACTAAAACCATTTTTTTAAAGGGAACTAAGATAGATGAATCTTTAGTACTCTTCTGATATGAAATTTTGGCTTCTATCTAAATCTAGAATAAAGTGGGTTACAAATAAACAGTGACATATCTGACAAAGCCACAGAGGAAAAAAAAAAGAAAATAAACATACCCTATGCAGTATTTCCAAAACCTTTAGAGCAGTGTGAAGGAAGTTGTTGAAAACCCTTCTTTCAGAAGGGGGGATTCCGATCTTGTAGAGTTTCAAAAGGTGAACCACAACTTCCTTGAACAGCTCCACTATCTTGAGAAACAAAGGAGGTTCAAGTACAGACCACCAGTTTTCTGTGATTAAAGGATGAACATGTAAATAAAACACACACAAATTACCACTTGCATAAAGTCTTTTCTATCCTAAAATTTCAACAAATGGAAAAAAAAAAGAACAATAGCATCTTTCTGGACAGATTTTAGCCTTGATTGGCACCTCTGGATTTCTTAGTATAAAATCAAGTAAGATACAGAGTAGAAGATATATAACATCTATTCACAACTGGTTTAAATATTCAAACACCCAAGAAACAATTAAATTTAAATATCAAAACTGCAAAAACTTAGTATTTTGTTACTGTTAAGTTATAGATTTTTTTTCAAGCATTATTTTCTGATCCAACATAACAGAGATTTGCAATCCAAGCATATTTACGATGCAATACAATCCTGGAAACTGAGTGAAAAAGTCAAATGTCACAAAGCTGTGTGTCAGATCAAATACCTCTGCTGCCTTTGGTTTTCCCAACCTCTCTACCAGGCAAGCTGTGTAAGTCAAGTCAAATGTACTCAAGAACTGGATCCTCCAGGGCAGGAAGACAAAAATACCTGAATACCAGAAAACAGTCCTCTTCAGCTATCAAGTACTTACTGAATCCTGACAGACAGCCTCTGTCTCTACTCCACCTTTACAATACATGGATCTCTATCTGGACTCCTATTCCTCTGACGATCTTCCTCGCCTGATCAGTTTGCTTCCACAGCCTGACTTTTCTTAAAGTTCTCACCTATGCACACCCCAACCTAGACTATCAGTGCTGGGTTTGTAGGCTCCAAGTAAGTTATACAAGTCAGTTATATAGCTAGAAATGAGTACAGGAAGGACTGTTGGGGTGCAGAAAAGTGATTAAGTCAAGGTAAGGAGAAGGTCTGCAACAAGATGATCCAACATTCCAGGCAACAATTTCAGAATACGGAGTCAAAAACTGAAGGAAAAGGCCCAGAAAAAAAAATGTGAAAATTCAAGAAGCACTTAATTATAAGGCTATATGATGCTCAACTCTAAGCAGGATCCCTGGAGGTTTGATAATGCAGGTAACTGAGAATTCTGACCCAGCAGAAAGAAGGCGTGTAATCAAACACTCATTCACAAATATCTGTCAAGGCCGTACTAAGTGTAGCATGCCATGCTGTCACAAAGAAGAGTAGTACATGGTTCCCTTCCCTCATGGAATGTATAGACTTGTAGACTAAATACAGACATATACAGACAGAACTATAATATAAGATTACTGAGGAAACAGGAGGAACTGCTTCATGGAAGGGACTGCATTTGAGCTGGGCCTTGAAAGATGGATAGAAACTGAACAGGGAGAGCTAGGAGGAATAAGGGTACATTTCACGCAGAAGAAATAATATAAGCAATAGTAAGAAGAGGGAAACTGTAGGTAATGTTGATGGCAAATGTAATGCAGTCTGGCTAGAAACAATGGTGTATAAAGGGAAAGAATATAAGGGAGGGTAGAGCCTGAAAAGTCAGAACTAAGACTCCGGACTTAACTGGTTTTCTACAGGGATGTTATCATTAGTGTTTTAGTAAGACCAAAATGGCAGCAGTGGGCAGGTATGAACATGTCACCCCCTACTCAATAAACTCCTTTGGTTCCCTATCACCTGCAGGATCAAATACAAAAATGCTGTTTGTCATTCTTGCCCTAGTCCCCTCCTACCTTTCCAGGCTTCTCATACCTTACTACGAGACACATATTCCTTGATCTTGACCCTGGTTTCCTGCCTATTTCCATAAACAAGACCCTCCTTGGCTCAAGACACTCTCTGGCTGTTCCTCATGCCTGGAACACTCTCCCCTCCACCTACTGACCTCCCTGGCCTCTTTTAAGTCCCAAATAAAATTCTTTCTTTTACTGAAAATCTTCCCTAACCTCTCTTAATTCTAATGCATTCCCTCTGTTAATTATTTCCTATTTATCCTATATACAGCTATGTTTGTACCTATCTGTTTGCTTGCTGTCTCCTCAATTAGAATGGGAGATCCCTGAAGGCAGGCACTGTCTTCTGCCTCTTTTTGTATCCCCTGCACTTAGCACAGTGCCTGGCATATAGCAAGTACTTAATAAATGCTTACTGAATGAATGAATCACTGAAAACCAAGAAACCACATAGGAGGCCACGGCAACTGTCCAGATAAGTAACATTATTCTACTACCAGCAATGTTTAAAAAAAGCTTCATCAGAGGCATTCTGAAACTAAGGGTACAATGCACGGTTGTGTTCATCTAACATACTTAGGAAAAAGAAGAAGGGAGACTACATGAGAGTGGCTGGAAATGGGAAGATGAAACAGAGCACTGAATGAGGCAAGGGTGAGTGAGGAGAGGCAGGGAAGCACACTCATGCAGTCAGCTGTTCAGCATGTTTCTAGAAAACATCATGTCTTACCAAGTACTCTCAATGGTGCCTTTTCAAGATTCACTAGTGCAGTTCCAAAGGGAATGGCTATTGTTGTGAAATTATTGGAATCGCTCATAAGTGGACATTCTGGTAAAATGAGATAAAATCGCAATGCTTCAACATCAGGTAAGGAACTAGTCAGTTTTGGAAGAAGATTCTTTTCCAAACTAGCTGCCACCTGCATTTTAAACAGAAAGTAAAATCTATTTAATTTACATTTGACATTACTTTCCAAAAAAAAACCCTTTTAGTAAAGAAAATAGGAAATTGAAATAAAAAAGTATAAGATACAATGAGAAATTGAAAATCACCACAGTATAGCCTAAAAATTAATGTCTAAGCCTTTCAAGAGAATTCACAAAGCTTAAGACATAACTCAGATTAAAATGGCTCCATCTGTGCCACTACATAAGAATTTAGCTGTCAAGGTTTGTTCAGCATTTTAACTACACCTACACCCTACGAAATGCAATATAAACATACAACAGGTAAACTGCAGTTGCTTTAAAATAAAATCTCATTATTACTATAATTAGTATTTAATACCATAATATGCAAAAGTACATCATGGTTGAAAGAATACCAAATAGCATACAAAATGGAGCCAAATTACTTGCTAGATTCATAACCATTTTCCCCCCTCCCCCTGCCAGACTTGAAGTTTCTGATTACCAATACACTATTACTAACTAGAAAAAAGTAAATTACTATAAATGTTCTCAAAAACATTTAAAATGTCTTCAAAAAAAGACCACAGAATAAGTCTCGCAAGACAAATGATGCGAAATAAAAAAAACCTTTAAGACAAACCTGCTGAACTATCAGAGGGTGGTCAGGTTGTATAAGTTTGTGAAAGAGAAGTCTAGCAGCATTCATATCAACCCCTGAGAACTTGGAGCCTGTTCTATAGTGATCATCATTGCTGAAAAAATTAAGATAAAAAGATTCTCAGTAAGTAATAAGAAGCCATGTAAGCTTTCTCATTCAATAATATAATTAGTGACATTCAGATACAGTAAAAGGCTGGCACTTACCTAATAGCTAAAAAACTGCCATTTAGACAAGCAGCCGAAGAAAAGGTTCCATCAATCTCACTGAATAAAAATTTACAACACAGAAAATGACATGTTAATTTTTCATTTGTTTGTTCTTATCATTTACATGAATACTTAAATTCTCTTCATTATCATGGCGATTTGAACTTGATGCCCAAATAGTGAATCTGTAAATGATGTTAATGAATGAATGTTGATTCATAAGGTATTATTGTCAATCAACTCAGGAATGGTTACTTCATTTAAATTCATGTTTCTCAGACTCCTTTCCTTAAAACAAATAGCTTTTTTTTTTTTGCTTTTAGGCAACTGAGGTTAAGTGACTTGCCCAGGGTCACACAGCTAGTAAGTATCAAGTGTTTGGTCTGAGGCCGGATTTGAACTCAGGTCCTCCTGACTTCAGGGCCAGTGCTCTATCCACTGCGCCACTAGCTGCCCCCAACAAACAGCTTTTCTTAATGTTGTGACTAAAATATATGTAATATAATAATGGATTATAGTACTAGGTTTGGCATCAAGACCTCCTAGATTCAAATTCTAACCTCTGACTTGGCTGTTTTGTGATCCTGAAAAATTAACATAACCTCGTTATGTAAATTCCTACAGCTTAACTACTAACTCAAATGGTTGTTGAAACACACTAACACTACAGAACCTTTGTGTACTGCAACATAAAATAGGTATTTCTAGGATGTAATGCATCTTTAAAAAATACTTTTTTGACATTGCTTTACAGGCTTTTCAAAAATGCTTTCAGTTTTGGGGAATGTGGGCTCCAAAACCAGTTTAATACACAAAATATAAAAAAACATTAAATATGTCTATTGTCAAAGTGTGGGAAATACTTTTGAAATTTTTACATGTGAAATATAAATAAGATGTCCATAATAAGACCACAAAAAATACATTTCATATTAAAAGTTGGTCAAATGAAAAGGAGACAAAGAGAGATATAATTAAGATCTAGGTTGCGAGCTGTATAGGATACAGAAGCAGCTAGGTAGCATAATGGATATACCTCTAGGCCTGGAGTCAGGAAGACATGAGTTCAAATCTAGCCTCAGACAGACACTTACTAACTGTGGATCCTAGGCAAGTCACTTATCCCTGTTTGCCTCAGTTTCCTCATATGTAAAATGAGCCAGAGAAGGAAATGGAAAACCACTCCACTATCTCTGCCAAGCAAACCCCCTCAAAGAGGTCATGAAAAGTCAGACATGACTGAAAATGACTGAACAACAACAATAATATAGTACAATGAGTGCTAACTTTGAAGAAACAACACCTAGGTTCGAATCCTGACCGGCACCACTCTCTGTGACTTCAGAAAAATCACTTCTTTGCTGGGCCTCAGTTTCCTCCTCCAGGAAAGACGTTGTTGGACTAGACGATCTCCAAGTTCCCTCTAGCTTTAGCATGGCTCCCCAGCACACAGTAAGCACTTAATAATTCCTTTTTATTCATTTATTCATCTATGCTGTTATGTGACCTATAGCTATGGAATTTTAAAAATGTAAACATTGTCTTATAACTTAAGTGATTCTGACATGGTTCCCTAAATGGAAAATCCCAAGTAAACTGATTCTACATTCTGCTTTTTTTGTCACATACGAGGTATATGTTTAATCACTGCTGATAATTTTCTTCCTTACTTGGCTATTTCCAACGGAAACCTTCCAGAAGAGTAGCTTAGCCATCTTTGAATGAGAGATTCATTTACAGTCCAGATCTGCTTTGAAGGGTCAGGACATCTAAAATCATCTGGTGGCCCAAGGCTCTAAATTGTAAAAGAGGCACAACAAATTTAAAAGAAAAAAAAAAAAGAAAGAAAAAATTGAGCTTAAAAAAAAAATATTGAACTGCAACTTTGCTTGTCGTCCTACAATTTAGAACCAGCCACATTAAGACAGAAGTGGATTATTATTAAAAAGCCTGAAATAAAAAACATCAAAAGGGCTCTGACATGTATATTTGTTTTGTAGATCAGAAGGCAGAGAGAAGGGGAAACCCTCTAGAGTCGAGCCAGAGAGGAGCATGGAGCATCAGGAGAAAGGAGAAATAAACAGCAGGGCTGAGCACTCACAGAGAAGATCCAGGGGAGGGCAGTCCTTCCTTACAGAACTAACGGAACTTAATTCAGGCTAAAGCTACCACTTACACCTCTCTCCTTAAGAACCAAGGGAAATTAAGAAATGATCTACTCTTTCCCTACTTTCCCCTCCCAGTCCATATCCATTAAGAGACATTGTAGTATACTCAATTTCTTTAACCTAATGTAATCTGAACTTCTGTTACAACTATACAGAGGTCAGGTGTTAGTCAGAGATAAATAAAAATTCAAATTAGGGTAGAAGTCAACCCTCTGCCTAAATGTTAGAAATTTTCTTAACTGGGAGCTCATCCTAACTTTTATTTAATATAAATTTAATTTTTATATATGTATGTGTGTATGTGTGTGTGTGTGTGTGTGTGTGTGTGTGTGTGTGTGTGTGTGTGTGTGTGTGTGTGTGTATATATATATATATATCAATAATTTAACATAAATTCCATAAAGCAGCAAAGGAGGGGAATTCAATGACTTTGCAAAGCAGTTACACTGTTCCAAGCTAAAAAAAAAAAAGAGCTAACTGCTCTAAAAGGAGATGGCTACTTAAATCTCCAGAAAAAAAAGGGATAGAAAGGACAATGACTGTCCTACTGGCCAAAGCAACACCCACAATTACCAGTTTGAAGGAAAAGTACTCAATGATTTCCTATATTATAATAAATAACTTAGATACATAAAGCATGTCTCCAAAATAAGAATTCTCTGAAGAATTTTTTAAAAGTTATATGAGCTTGAAAATAGTTTACATGACTATATTTTTACCTGTGGGCTAGAATAATGGGAAAAGCTTTGGTCACCACCTGAAAAAATTCTTTTAACACAGAAGTATTCTTCACCATCTGTAAAAAGAATAATATGCAAATTATTAAAAATGCAAGGCTTCTGTACTTCAGAGCATCTGCTTGTGCCTCCTGATAGTCTATGAGTCTCCCAACATAATACGACCTTTTACACACAATCATGCAAGCCACGACAGAAAGTAAAGTGGAGCTCAGACTTCTGGAGGGGTTGGAATGACCAAATCAAGCACATTAGGGGTTGCAGTGCAGGAACATATACTGAATTAACAAACTCTTGTAGAAAATGGCAAAGGAATCTCATCCACCATCACTCTTCCAAGTGTGTGCCCTCATTAACACTCAATTTTCCTTTACATTCCTATTTAAGAATGTAAAGAAACAGGCTCCATTATTAGGAAGTGAGTTTCTCAAAGGCTGGAACATTGGCAAAATTGTTTCTATAGCCCCCTCGGGACTTAGCGCTATGCCTTATTGAGATAGAAAGCCCTCAAAAACTGTTGAAAGCACTGCAAACATTACGTAAGTTCTTCAAATGCAAACACTGCACTAGTTCTTCAAAATTTAGGGCTGAAAAGGAATAAATTGCGCAAGAGGAATGAAGAAGGGAGATGAACGTATGAATGAATGTTCACTCCGAAAAAAATATTCGCCTAAGGACAGCCAATCAGAACTAGAGAAATATATTAAAATTAACAATGTCCATTTATTTGCTAAAAAAAATTGTTTTTAGTTAGTATTTTACACTTGAAGTGAAACCAGGACATAATTTTTTTTAATTTACAAAACAAATAGCATTCAATTCACTTTTTCTCTTTTAGGATCCTTAAAGGCGAACAGCCCTTTGGCCAAGGCAGAAAAAGCTAAGAAATATAAAGCACTCATTAAGCATGTATCAGGAACTTTGCTAACATAATATAAGTTTTAAGTTAAGAAAACCATATTTTCCCCCAGGCCTGTAATTTCACTGGTGCAGGAAACTATTAGTGAGGAAACAGCCTCTCTAACAATTAAGACAAGCAACTGTTCTTCAACTTGTAGCTTGATAACCTCCCTGGGGCATTACCAGCTTCAGTAATCTGCCTGAAGACACAGTCTTCCTAACTCAGAGTGAGGCACACCAGGCTACCTTTTAAAAACAACTGTATTTCCCTCAAAGGGCATATAAATATCATGTGGCTAAGAAAGGAAAAGTGGAGAATTCTAGAGAAAGGGCCAGTGTGTATAGTAGCCATTCATCTATTACCTCTGTGAGTTTTATCATTCCCACAAATTCTTGTGGATTCTTTTCATCCTGCAGAAAGACACTGGGGCAGAACCAACTCTGTTAATCACTGGGTCCTGAGGCTCTACCCTATCGACTAGTTTAGCTCCCATGAAATAAATTTGTATCATAATTATATTTACATATGCCTGGGAAATCACAGGCTTTGAATTATAATCAGCATATTCAATTTGTATAACATTTTGTACCTTTTAGAAAACTGGTACTTTAGTTAATTTATTTGATCTTTACATCAATCCAGTGAGCTAGCTAAATAGACTGAGTCCTTTTATTTCCATTTCACATATAGGAAAAAAGGTAAGCAACTCACTCAGTGAGTTATAAGACCAAAATCCAGGTCTCCTGACCTCCCAACTCTAAGACTCTTTCTATACCAAACATATACGCCCAAAGTTTTTACATCATTAATCAGGATTTCTCAAAGGGGGTATCAAAATTAATGTTTCTAAAGCACTAATTTTCAATGGAACTGCCTGTAACATAAATGCTGCTAGTTATGCTATACAGTAAAAAGGATGATTTTTACTAATTTTCAGACAGAATTGATTCTTGAATACAATGTGCTCGATCACTGAAAGACTGATGTCAATATCATAGAATGGAATGGATTTGTTACTAAATTTAATGCTAAATAGCATTCATTTTAATAGCCAATTACCTGATTCCACCAATTTTATTTTGGGTGTGTTGCAGAAACAAATATCTTTACTCTACAAATCAAAATCCCTGATCTATTTTTTTTTAATCTCAGACTTCACAAAAATTCAAAACAATTTTTTTTCTTTGTACTTTTAACAGTTTTATATGTAGTGCTGAGGACAAAGTATACATTAAATCAACATCTGTAAACTTCTCAGTGGAATTCTTACACACTAACAGAATTAAGTGATTTGAATTCTGTCTCCAAACGGACCTTGCTGGGTGACAGAATCACTCCTCTGTGGCTGAAGCAGACTTGACCAATAAATAGCTGGAGTGACTGTACATGCAAGGGGGGAGAAGGGAGACGGGCTGAGTGGCAGCAAAATCAGCATACCCTTTTCCTAGCTAGCTATGGTTTTCTTTGGCTTGCTTTTTTTTTAACTTTTAAATAAAAAAATTTACAAGCATTTATTTGATCTCATCCCCACTTCCCCCTACTTTAGGGGAAAAGCACTAGTCACAATTAAGCCAAGTGGAACAAAACAAAGACCCTGCATGAGCTCTACCCCACTCAGCCCATCTCCCCCCTAACTATCAGGAGGAGCACAGCAGCCAATCAATCTATCAGGGCCCTAGAACCACACTTAGTCAATGACACAGGTCACATGAGGGTGCAGACTCTTAGTCTTACTGTCTACATCCTTTTCCTCCACGGTCTACTCACTTCATTCTCTGTTCGTTCAAACAAACTTTTCCAGGTTTCTCCAAAAAAGTCCTTTTTATCACTTCTTACAAAATGATAGCACATTACATTCATAATCCAAAAATTTTTAGTCATTCTAAACTGCTGAGCAACTCTTTAGTTTCTAGTTCTTTGCCACTACAACAAGAGCTACTATAAATACTTTATTCTTGATTTCTTTGGAGTATAAATCAAAGGAAATGCCCAGTGAACTAACTCTGGGAGGCATAGTTCTAAACTACTGCCTAGAGCAGCTGGAGTAATTCACAGCTCCACCAGCAATACATCAACATGCCCGTTTTCCCACAATCTCTCCAACATTTGTTATTTTTCTTTTTCTCATTTTTTGCCAATCTGATGGGTGTGAAGTAGAACATGAGAGCTGCATTAATTTGTATTTGTCCAATTATTAGTGATCTGGAGAATATTTCATATGTCTGCTAATGACAGCATGGATTTCTTCCTCTGAAAACTAACTATTCTTATCCTTTCCCTATTCACCAATTGGGGAATGGATCTTATTCTTATAAATTTGAATCAGTGCTTTATACGTCTTGGAAATGAGACCCAGAGAACCTTGGCACAAAGCTTGCTTCCCAGTTCACAGTTTCCCTTCCAATCTTAGTTGCACTGGGTTTTTTTGTACAAAACCTTCTAAATTTTAAGTAATCAAAACTGTCCACTTCTCTTCTGGGATCCTCTCTGCTCCTTCTCTGACCCTCAACTCTTCATAGGTGTAAAGGTAATTTCTTCCCTGATTCTTTAATTTGTTGATGATGTGACTTTTTCCATCTAAATCATGGAGCCACTGGAAGCTTATCTCTACATGGTATGATGCCTGCCAGACTATTTAGTTTTCCTGGAAGTTCAGTGAATCCTTGCTTGTTTTGACAATTTTCTCCTCTTGCGACATTTTCTCTTTGCCACTATCTCTTTGGTGTTTAGCCTGGCCCATTTTCCTGATACTTCTGCTTCCTCTGTTGGCCTGGCACTTTCACCTGCCTATACTCCTATAAGACAGCTCTGCCTTGCCCATTAATTTATGTTTGTATCCATTTCCATCCTGTGCAATGCAGAGCTGGCCTGGCTGTTAATGTCTGTAGTCTTGATGCTGGTAGAATGGACATGCCAATATTATCTCAAGCATTCTAAGATATGCTGCTTCCAGGAGAACAAGGAACATTCAGAAGTGATGAATCTTTGGAAAATCAATATGATTACTTATTGTAACCATGCTGTTCCAACTGAATTATGGAGAAACTACACCAAAGCCAGTTGTTAGGCTACTAGCTTTTGCCTTCTTTTATAAAACTCACAATTAAATATCAAACATGTCATTAAAAGCTCACAGGCAGGCTAATGCCATTAAAGTAAATGTGGCCTATACTCTGAAATGTAATGGGGATTAATAATTTCCCAAAGCAATCCTTTCCTATTTGGTATTAAAAAACCAACACGTGACTCCTTCTACACAGCTCTTAAAGATAAAGTGTAACCAAAATACCATCCTTGGGTTTGTCAAAAGAATCAAATTTGCCTATACATGGAATCTTTGATGCTATTTATTTTTTTTAAAAATGCCAGAGACAATTTCAAATGATACCTTCGCATCACTTCTGGATAAAGGATATTGGTGATTAAGTCTACTTCACACATAAAGAAATTTAACTCTCGCTTGCCTCAAAAAAAACCAACAACAACAAAAAGAGTTTTGCTTCTCACTAAAGGTTACCAGGTTTCATCTCAGGAGCCAACAACAAAACATCTTCATACTTGGATTCAAGTATCATAAATGAAAGAAAATCCCACTCAGAGGGATTCAGAGACAGGAAAAAGGGAATGGGAAAACAAGTCTGAAACAGCAAAAGGATGGTTGAGTTCATAAAAAAAGAAAATACTTTGGCTGTAGTATCTATTCTCAAATGAATGACACACTTACCATTATTTGGTGGACACTTCCCACTGTAAGGGAACCAATTTCCTTTCACTGTGAAAGGGCTTTTCCTGTTGCTTGTTGAACCGGTTCCAAGTTGCCCATTGCCACCAAGCCCAAAAGAATAAATTCTTCCTGATGAAGGAACAAAAGCAGAAGTGTGCTGCCTAGGGCAAAAAGATATAGAAAAAATATAGACTTAATATGTTACCCTCTAAATAATTCTTCTAGAGGATAAAAGTTTTTTGTTTTTGTTTTGTTTCATTTTTTAAAGAGTTTTCACTGATTAAGCAACCATGGAGAGTTAAGAAGTTCTTTAAAAAGCACATTTCAATGACTTCAAATCAGGGCACATTTTCACAGTTATACAACTTACTGAAAAGCGTAAAAAACACAAGATTCCACTGGATATAGGATGTAAATGTCTTAAAGGCAACAGGTGTTTGTTTTCATCTTTGTATCCTCAGCATCTAGTACAAGACCCTGAAGTTAATCAACAAGTGTTTATGAACTGTTTACCAGTAGCAGTGTATGGGGTGCTCAGGAGGACTAACACCTCTGGGGTCCACCTGATTCACCCAACTCTCACCTGCAGCTCCAAAAAGCTGCAGCATGTACAACAGCCATACCTCAGTAAATCACCTCAGGGCAGACAGACTACACCAGGCGGAGGATAATCAATGAGCCTCAAAACCATAAGGAGATGTCTACCCAAGCATGTGAAGAATTCCCCCGGTGGAATGGGTGAAATGAGTACGATTTGTTTCAATGGCCACAAAGGTGGCTGAAGCAGGCACTGTGGAATGCTCAGAACTTCATCAGACATCAAAGATGCCAAGGTCACCCACTACATCAAGGGCCACTGCCAAGCAACACGACTTTTGTCCTGCCACTGGAAGAGAGAGTGAGGCCTCCCTTAAATCCAATTCACAAACCAGTCAAGACACCACCCATGATGCCACTGGTCCTACCACTATGAGCCAGGCACAGTGCTAAATGCTGAGGACACAAGACAAAAACAAAACTGTCCTCCACAGGAAGCTTATACTCTACCCACTATCCATTGCACATAGTAGGCATTAAATGGCTGTTGAACTGAAAAAGCATTAGCCCTTATAAAACAAAACACAGGCTCAAAGATTCTTATCCAACAAGGTGTCTTTCACATGTACATAATAACTCTACATGATTCCTTGACAGATGCCACCAGAAAGATAACCGAGGTTCAACAAACTTCTTATTGATGTCAAGGAAAACATAAAAAAAAAAGGAGATGTAAATTTGCCAAAATATGTTTGTCACTATCATTGAAGATGTCCTGAGAAAAGTCCAAATTGAGGAGCACATTAGGTTGACCGCATCAAGTCCCAATATATTACAGCGCCCAAAATATTACAGAGACTGGCTTAATCTACATAAGAAAAACCAAATGGATGAAAAATGTCTCTTCTATGGCTTGAAGTTGGCCAACAATCAAAAAGCATTTAAGTGCTTACTAAGGACTAAGGATGCAAAGACAGGCAAAAACAATCAGGGCCCTCAAGGAGCTGAGATCACTACAAAGATAAGCAATATAAAGTGACAACAAGGTATGCCTATCATCAAAAGATAGTGGTTGAACAGAATCTGAGAAACTGCATAATCTTCAGCTGCTTCCTTACCAAATAAGCCATCTATTTAGCACCAGAGCTCTTCCAGGGCCATTTTATGACTGAAGCACAGAATGCCAAAATCTCAGGACTCAACCCAGTGCCTGGCAAACAGTAGGTTCTTAATAAACAAGAGCTGACTGAACAACCCAAAGTGCCAGAGACACTACAGGCAACGGGGAGATACACAGGTATGTTTAAGCATGTGGCCACACTTCACCAGAGGTATGATAGCCAGGTGCTATGATAGCCAAGCAAAACACAGCATAAAAGAGATTCAGGAAATCACAATCAGAGAGGGAAGTGGGCCAGCCATGCAGCATGACCACAAAATTACAGACACAGAGCTCAAGTAAAGTATGGGCACCCAGGGAAGGGTAGAAGACCTAAAGGACTTTCCCGTACAGTGGGGTAGGTATAAATCCTCCCTAGAGGATTTATAAAAAGTAAACAAGAAACACATAGGATGAGAAGATGAAGATGGGTTGCAAGAGGCCCACTGAGTACATACTCATATTAGTGACATCATGGAAACCTTTAAACAAGGGTGTGGGGGGAGAGGATGATCACTGGCTTGAGGCAGCAGATAAAGAGAGCACCAAAGGAGAAGGTAAAAGGAATTTGCCTCAACAAGGTGAAAGAATAAATCTTCTGAGATTGGTAATGATAATCTTGAGAAGTCAAGGACAAGAGCTAAAAAAAAAAACTCTTCAGAGAGTCTCAATCTTCAACAGGAAGTTATCATCTCCTTTAAGTGTTGGGGACAGGGGAGGGACAATCACTAAACATTTGTGAATTTGAAGAGGAAAACATATGGAAGAGTGGTGGTAAAAAAAAAAAGACTGAGAATTAAAAGTGAGTAGAGTAGAAGGGCTAAACTGCCCTAAAGTTGGTAAAGGTGATTAAGTGTGAAATGACTCAATACTGTAACTTTCAGCAGAGATGCTTAGCAGCTTGAAAACAGGAGTAGAGGAATCAGACAGAATTATCACTCAAGGTTAAGGACATATCAGGAATGGTGGGATGGTGTGGAGTCTGAGGGGACTTCACCAGCCATCCAGTCCAACCCAGACTCAACAGAAATCCCCACTAGAACATCCTACCCAAGAAGCCCTCCAGTGTCTACTTAAAGGCCGCCAATGCGTAGAAGCTCATCAATTCCTGATCTGGCCCTTTCCATGGACAGCTCTAACTGTTAGAAAAGCTTTCCTAATATAAAACTACATCTGCCTATTTGTAACTTGTAACTTTTCGCTCCTGGTTCTGCCCTCTGCAACCAAACAGAATAAGCCTAATGTGCTTTCATACAATCACCAAGTCAAAGCTGGGGATGGAGGCAAAGCAGGTCAGAATTCAAGAGATGGACTGGGGTAACAAGAAAAGGTAAAGGGATTAAATGTCACAATGAAGGCAAATGACTTATCTTACGTGAAAGAGTGGGACAAGTAGAACAACAGATTAGAGGTAGAGAAAGGCAGTTCACACTCTCAGATACCGTGCTCTCCCAGGGCGCAAAGAGACCCAATGTGTTGTCCCCATCACACAAGGTTAACATGGGGTAAAGAAGACTGTTAAAAAGAAATGGCTGAGGAATCACGTAGTCCCAGTTTAGAAAGGTTTCAGACATGAATATTAATGTCCCTGAGGAGAATGACCAGAGGTGGTTTAGCCAGAAAGACAGTTTCTTGGGTGACTTTAGCATCCTGCTCCCAGTCTTTCTGGCTAACCATCTCTGGTCATTCTCCTCAGGGACATTAATATTCACATCTGAAACCTTTGTGACCCCATTTGAAGTTTCCTTGGCAAAGATACTGGAGGGGTTTGCCATTTCCTTCTCCAGCTCACTTGACATGAGAAAACTGAGGAAAACAGGGTTAAATGACTTACCCAGGTTAGCACAGTTAGTGAGTGACTGAGGCCAAATTTGAACTCAGGTTTTCCTGACTCCAGGGCTGGCACTCTATCCACTGTGCCACCCTAGCTGCCTGAACTCTTAATATTATATAATACACATATAAAACTGATCTTTATCGTAGACTGGGATACAAAGATGATGGGGAAAGAAAGAGAAATAATATGTTACAGGAACACAGACCCCAGAATTCTGTTTTCCAATGTACTTTACCGTCCACAAGCAATCTGTGTGACAATGCTTCCCATAAGCTCAAAAACCTTTCTGGGGTTTATCTCATGACTGGTTGAGTTATGCCCCAATTGACCATAGCCTCCAGCTCCGAATGTAAAGACCCCGCCTTCCTGGAAAAAATACAAAGTACCCAATTTATTACATTAAGGACCACACCTCATAAAAATGTTTCTTTACTGCAAGTCCATTTTTTTCCCCTTCCTATGCCTTCCCTACAAGACACTGTAATGTGAGGATAACAACTCTAAATATTTTATAATTTCAATTTACTTACAGTCTTGGGATGAAGGCTAGTGCTACAATTATACAGTTACTACTGTATTATTAATTTACTCACATAGTTACTACATTATTCTGAAATAAATATTAATGACTATCACTACTAAAAAGATGAAAATCCTCATTTTTCTCTTGGCATTTTCTTCTATAACCATTATTATTATCTTAGTGAATTCTGATTATATACCAGCAGGATTCCACTAAACCTAAAACTGATGGAGTTTTTATATTTTCACAACATACTTATAACTAATAAAATTGGAAGTGTAACCAGGGGGCATATGTATCAAATTACGTAAATGTTATTTTTACATTATCGAGGGATTACTTCAGGATTTTTTATTATAAATTATTTGTTATAAATTCTATCAGGAAGAACCAGTTTTGCTCTCAATTTAAATCTAAGGAAAAGAAGTCATAATTTTCTTCTCACTCTACGTTATTACAGATGGCATACAAAAATTTTAAAATTCAAATTAAGTAATTCTACTTTCTTTTGATTAGAACCACCTCAATAATAGCCTCAAATTGTTCAGCTGCAAAAGTGTGCCACCAGTCACCACTTCTGCATGAGCGATAATTTTTTAAATTCCTTTTTCTTCACTAGACAGAAATAGTAACTTTGGTAAATGTGAATGACTCTACAAAATAAGTTTTGGCTAATAGTATAGTTAATTCTATTAATCTTCTTATAATAAATAAAAAACCCTATAAAACACCTTGATTGTTCTAATGTTTTCAATTCTTCTAACTCCCAATAACTATAATGAAAATTGCTAAAATTTTTATTTGACTATATGATTTAATGATTGCAAAAAACCTACTGAGAATGAATGCTTGAAATCAAGCAAAAGCTTGAGAAGTAAAATTCTGTAGACTAATAGCAGTTAACTTGAAAATTTGTACTTACTGCATTTTGGAAATCTCAGACTGACAAATATTTGTTAATGATTAAGAATATCACTTATTAGCATAAGTCAGTTTTTACAAATCAAAAATCAATTCTAAATATGTGGGAATATGAAGTTCCAAATTCTAATGAGCACTTCATCTTTCCTAACCATGTTTATCCACCATGCAGAGCAGAAAAAAAGACAAATAAACATACTAGTTTCAAATCTGGTCAATGTAAGACCCTGCCAGTCCTCTTTAGACATAAACATTATTACAATAATGATTCTGAGAAGATCTGGGGGATCATGGCAATTTTTGCTTTCCGCTCAACTGCTGATCTCTCCATCAGACCAAGCAGCACTGACACTGAATTAGCACTCACCCCAAGACAGGGTGCTCCTTCCAGGTCAGGGTTGAAGCCACTGGCAAGATTGTGTGAGGAAAGCTCATATTGTAACTGCTTGCACAGTACTTGGCCTGTGAATAATAGAGGGCTTCAGTTTCCTCTGCTACTTAGTGTAAAATATTTATAAGCCAAATGGATGCTAAATTAAAACAATACACAGCTGTAAAGTATAACTGGGAATTAATCTATCCAGCATGGCAAGCCACAAAGCACTGGAGGGGAAGCTTTAACACTGAAAATTTTATGTCTCAGCGATACTTAACATAGAGCTGTAAAATTATCAACAGAAAGTATTACATGTAATGTCATGCCATTGTTTTTTTTCTTTTCTGACACAAAACACTGCCAAATGACAGAAAATGAAGACAAGTTGGAGACAATTACTGGAAATTAGCATTTATAATATTCTCTTTCATTACCGATATCTTACTAACAATAAACCACTGCACTCACGTTTTAATACACTGAATGACACTGAAAATAGTTTTCATTACATCCAAGAATTGTCCTGATTTTATTGCTACACAGAGTACAAGAATGAAGGCAACAGTTTTATACCTTAGTAAGAGCTGCTGTGTGATCTTCTCCACAACAAATGTAAACTATTTTCTGTGATCTTAGTGACTTCAACAAATTAGGAACAAACCTATCTGAAAATTTAAACAAAAATGTTAACACTTTTAAATGCATTTAATTTTAAAATTATGTCAATCATTTACTTTACTAAGGTTTAATTTGCTTTCCTTGAATACATCTCTGATGGGAACATACAATGAATCCATAATAACAGCTAACATTTGCATAGCACTTGCTATGTACCAGGCATAGTGCTAAGTAAGCACCTTACAATTATTCTCTTATTTGAAACTCACAACAACCCTAAGAGGTAGGTGCTATTATTATTCCCATTTTATAAAATGGGGAAACTGAGGCAAACAGAGGCTAAGTAATTTGTCCAGGGTCACCCAGCTAGCACGTATCTGAGGCCACGTGTGAACTCAGGTTATCTCCCTGGCGCCCTGCACACTGTGGCGCCTTCTTGAAGGTGGCTGTCGTCATATCCCCAGTTCCTAATGCAGCACCTCGTACACTTATTAAATGCTTGCTGAAGTTATCTGCTGTATTTCCTAAGTCACGCAGCACATAAATAGGAAAACTCATACTAAGAAGGCAGGAGGGGGATCAAGTCCATACATTCTAAATTAAGTACTAGTGATACAATGAAACATGTTGTAGAGACAAGCTTTTAAGTAACAGAGAATGACAATGTTGAACCGATTTCTTTAGGCTCTAACCCCTGTTGTCAAATTTAAACCAGCCTCAGAGGTTAAAGCACACAATGTAAAAATCTCTTCAGAAGGGCATGAGAGGCCATGTGGCGTGGTGAAAGACACCACGGAATGGGAATCAGGCAATGTGAGTTCTGGGCCTAGCTCTGTTACAAACAGCCATCTCACCCTTTCCAAGACACTTGGAACCTCAGGCTCTTTGCTACTGATGTCTCTTTCCCAGACAGAAGGTCAGGCTTCCTTGAAAAGCTCATACCATGTAAGGACATCTAAGGAAAAAAACTCAGAATTGCATCAGTGTATGAAGTCCCAGGGAAGGAAACTCCTGCTGTTAATGCAGGTTGGCACCTTCTCCACAACTGTCTGATTGCCTGACAGCACTCAAAGACCACGGCTTGTCCGGGACCTCATGTCATGTCAGTCAGTGGTAGGACTTGAACATAGTCTTCCTGACTTCCAGATCAGCGTTCTATCCAATGGTACCATTCTGTTCTTCAAAACTACTCATCCAATTCTTATTTAATGTGCCTAAAACTATTTAGAATAAATCAAGAGGAAACATGGGATAACAGATATAGGGCCAACCTAAAAGCCAAAAAGGCCTGCACAACACATCCTAGCTGTCAATAACATCACTTCTCAGTGGCATCAAACTCAAAAAAGACAGAGACCACTAAACTGTATCACTGCAGGGCCACAGTATTGACAGTTTTCATATGTAATATTATCTATGTTCTATTATATTTCCTAATCACATTTTCATCTGATTCAGGCCCCACTTGGGAGCATTGTGGGCTGCATGTTTGTCCAGACAACTCTCTAAGCCTCGAGTTGCAGAAAAGATGCTGACCTGCATTGGGAAAGGGAGTTTCCTTACCCGGGAAATTCCACATAGGGATAGGGCTAGCCTTTCTCTAACAATCTCTTAAAAATAAATTATATTCTCAATTCCTGACTTGTCATTTTCAAAGGTGAAAAAAATCTAAAACTCAAGTAGAAAGGGCTTTATAAATAATGAAATGCTATGTAAATGTAACAATAGCTAGCAATTATATCACACTTTAAGGTTTGCAAAGCACTTCCCAAATATTATCCCATTTAATCCTCACAACAACCCTGGAAAGTAGATACTGTTATTATCCCAATTTTATAGATGGAGAAACTGAGGCAGAGGCTAAGTGGTCACACAGCTAGGAAGTGTGAAGGCCAGGTTTGAACCCAGGTCCTTCCTGACTCCAGGTCCAGCACTGTGAACTGTGCCACCTCTATGCCTAAAAAATGTAAACTATTTTACAGGAGATACAATTTTTTTTTAAAAAACAAACTTCACTCTGTCAGGTAGGACCCCACAGATTGTACATCTGCTTAATTATTTGCTTATCAACACTGGTTTTTTTTTTTAGGCAATTGGGGTTAAGTGACTTGCCCAGGGTCACACAGCTAGTTAAGTGTCAAGTTTTTGGTCTGAGGCTGGATTTGAACTCAGGTCCTCCTGACTTCACGGCCAGTGCTCTATCCACTGCACCACCTAGCTGCCCCCTTATCAACACCAACTGTTGCTGGGGATCAACAATCCAATTGCTCTCCTCTCAGATAACTCTCACAACTTAAGAACACACATCTTAATATGCAACTTGGCTCACAATAAGTTACGGACTTTTGAAAGGCTAAATGTATTTTCACTGCTGAACCACTTAACACTTAGAACATCGGAGTCCCATTTCTGTGATCTACCCAAGTGGAGTTTGGTCCCCTTAGAGACTCTGAGGGTTGAAAAGGATTTGAGAGTCTGACTCCTTCATTCTGTAAATGAGAAAATGAAGTCCCTGAGAGCAACTGCCATTTCCTTAACCTCCGAGCTCCTGAGTGGCAAAGATGAGACTAGAACATCAGTTCCGTGACTTTTCTTTGCACTGTCATATGATGACTTCCAACAGGTGTGTGATCTTATAGGGACAAGCGTTACTACATGCAAGCTTCGGGCTGTTAGGGTGCAGTAAAGGTTCAACATAAAAGGACTGACACAGAGGTCTGGACTCTTTCACTGAGCAACTATTCTAAGTAGATGGTGATAGGTACCTACCATTTTCATCATTAAGACCTAGTTGACCAAACTTGTTCCGTCCCCATCCAAAAATTGCTCCTGAAAGAGTGAGAACAAAACTGTGGGCTCCACCTGCAGCTACTTGACTGAAAGGGATTCCAAGGAGAGACTTAAGCAGCTGTGGAGAACTCTGCCTTTTCAACTCAAAGCCTAAACCCAACTGGCCGTGCTTATTCTGTCCCCAGGAAAAAACTTCACTTCCTGCAAAAGAAAAGAAAAAGCACGAATTCATATGACCTGTATCGACACATTTTATTTAAGTTTCTAATCAACAAATCATTCAAGGTTTTTCTTCTCATCTTTTATAAAGTACAAGCTCCCAGAGGGCAGGGAATATTTCAATCTTTGTCTTTGTATCCCAGCATCTGGCATATAGTATGGGAAATGTCTGCAGAAGTGAATCAAATTATAAATACACAAGAGAAGCTGCACTGATCATTAACTCTTTATTTAGCACAGTTGCACTCAAAACTCAAATGGAAAAAGAAGATGCTGACTTGTTAGATGTTCTGTGTTAATGCATTTTTTAAGTCTGGGTAGCTACACTAACCAGGCACAAACTATCACAAAGCATGGTAAGGATTATTTTATTTACCATCAATTGCTGAGAAATCACAAAAAGAAATACCCATTACAAAAATTTAGCTACTTTCATGAGGATGACGGTGCTAGAAGGCTCGCCACCCAAATAATGCAACACTCTGCAGGAAGGGATCATGGAACAGTAAATTCTCTGACCGTATTGACTACAAAATCCAATTTACATTAATTAAAAGTGTGAAGACAATTATAAGGACATGTCTAGATTGCTTATGAAAAACTTTTTTAGTACTTACAAAACCAGGTTAGTGCATTAATTCTACATATTGCTTATATATGCATTAAACCTGATGTACTAGACAATATTTTTTTAGCCTTAAGTTTGTGCTGCTGAATATCCTTTAAAGTAATAAAATTCCATTTCTTTTTAAAGACAACAAAGCAAGTCTTCAGTTTAGAGGTTTCACCAATTCAAGATCCCCTCTCCCTCCTTTCACAATTGCCCCTTTTAGAGACAATCATGCTACAAGTGGATACAAATCACAAATCATTTACTTTAGCTACAAGTGTCAAAAATGAATACTTTCTTGTTAGCAAATACCATCAAGATGGCATGCAAAGCATATCATGAAACAGTGACAGAGGAAACTAAGGAAACAGTGAATAAAGGGCTGGGCCTGGAGTCCAGAGTTCAAATGTGACCTCAAATACTCATTAGCTGGGTGACCCCAGGCAAGTCATTTAACCTTTGTTTGCCTCATTTACCTCAATTGTAAAATGAGAACAATGCCTATGCCTGTCCCACACAGGGCTATTGAGAAGATTAAATGAGATCAACGTGTGAAGCGCTTAGTACAGTATCCAGCATATGGAAGCATCTATGTAAATGCTTATTCTCTTCTCTTTCCCCAAAGCAAAATGGGATGATATGCCTGAATCTGACTAAACTAAAGCTATCTTTTCCCACATAATAAATTACATATTCATCATGTTCTCTCCTCCTTCTCTCTGCAGGAAACAAATAAAGCAGTTTCAAGAGGCTCCTCACTCTTTTCCTCTGAACCAGACAAAAGTCAAAACTAAATATACTGTAGGCAAGCAAAAGCTCACCATTCCTCAGAAAAAGACTTTTTTAAAAAATTTTGTGCTTTCTGTGAATTTGAAATGATATAAAATTGGTTTTAATTTATCACCTATTTTGGTCAGATAATTCAGTTTGGTTGTTACTTTGTGAAGACGTTTCCTTCCCCCCCTATGATAGAGTTCTTCCTTCTCTCAAAACGGCAGGTCCTAAACGATGAGTCTAAAACTCACGAGGCAGGCTAGGGTTCACTGTACTCAGATGAAGCTGCCTGGTTCCAGTCACAAAGACAGTCTCTAGAGCATCGACTCAAAGCCTGCCCGGGTAGCACAGTGAAAAGATGCTGAGCTCCAGCTCTGCCCAATGCCAGGAGCCGGCTATGCTGGGATCATAAACGTAAAGCAAGAAGAGAACTCTGAGATCCATCAGTCCAACCTGCTCATGTTCAACCTGAGCAGGCCACATGAAAGGCCCTAAGTCAGAGCACCAGCAGGTGACTACAGGTCTCCTGCCTCCAAATCCAGCCCTCTGTCCATTAGGCCACACTGCTTCTTTCAGAGTTTGTTAACACTGGGACAATAATCCGCCCATTACCTGACTCAACAGCAAACATTCAGGAAACCTTACAACGCTATGGAAATGAGAGTTATGAATGATACAGTGGGTGCCCAAGCTCCACCTTCTACCAGATGATAATAATACATACACAGCAAGCTCTCTCTCTCTCTCTTCACAGTCTAATTCTAAACCAATACTGAAAAAGCAGAGCGGAGAACTAAGAAAACTCTTAACTAGCTACACCTTCTCTTTTCCTGAATTTAAGTTTTCACCTGTAAAAATGGAATTATTAAGTGAGACTGAAAATCTAAATTAAAAAGTAAGTAGCAATTGAGAATTTCAAGGATCCATTCTAGATTGGTAAAACTCCTTCAGGCAGACATAAAAAAGTAAAATTTTTAGATAAGACAAATGAAATTTTCTTAAAAAGAACAAACTTTATACACATCAAGTTAAAAAACCATAGTGGGTTTGTTCTAAGTAAGAAAAGCACTGGCACAGGAGATGTGAATGTATGCATCACTTTATACAGTAATGCTACGCAAGTGATCATGATGTCATTATTATGTCACTTCCTATGATGACATGACACTGCAGTGCAGGGTCAGCCCACGGACTACGTCCAGCCTGCCACCTCTTTCTGCACAGTCCAAGAACTAAGCATGGTTTCCACATTTTAAAAGTTGTATGGGAACAGTCAATTCCATTCATTCTATAAGAGCAGCCACATGGCAGAGTCACATGATTACCAAAAAAAGTACAGGTGGTGCTTCTCATCCCATAAAATCTCACTTTAGATCAGCATTAACAGATGAACACTTGTAATCAATTTTGATGATATGGGACATTAACTCTGAACCCCAATTAAACAACAGGTTACTTCCCCAAAAGAGAAGTCTGTTCTTCTCTTTAGTAGACTTGTTCTACAAACATACAAAAAAAAATCGTATTCAATTATTGTCATCGGTAAATTTTCAATTAAGTAATAAGAAATTTGCAGAAACTTGTTTTCAGCCTTATTACATAAATACCTACATGATATCCTTGATTTTGTCCCTTGGCTTACAAAGCCTAAAATATTTACTATCTGGACCTTTACAGAAAATGTTTGCTGACCCTTGTGATCACTCACTTTTTATAAAGGGATATTATGACAAAAGTCTAGTATGAAGGGAAAAAATGAATGTAAAATACAGGCCAGACTAAAGATTGACTAAAACACACTGTAATGGAAGCCCAGGAAAGACACATAATTTTATATGCTTATTTGGTGGTTTTAATGAAGGTATATAAATGAATGCGTACATGGGAAAACTTGTATTAGACTATCTGTTTGAATGTCTTCATAAACATCACTCGCTCACTCCACAAGGAACCAACGTCAAGAATGACAGATGCAAGAGAGATCTCAAATACATTTAGTGCGCCAATGTCATCAAACAAGGCTACCTTCTGTTAACACTTATTTTCTATTTTACAAACATCTCTATGTTGCCCTTAAAGACCGAGATTCTAGTTTAACAGTGTTAATGATTTAACACCGGCTTTATGTAACAGTGGGTTCAATCTGCATCAAGTTGACAGCAAAAGTGAAGTGACTGCTCAGAAGTTTTTCTGTGCTGATAATCAAAATTAGATAATATCGATTGTTAGCTCGGTTGGACAAAGTTGTAGTTTGATTTGGTCTGTTCATCAACACCAAAAAAGACAGAATTTTTCCTCTTGTTCTACCCAGACAACAGATGGGTGGCACCTGCCTTCCTGCTGAATAGAAGTGGTAGATAATTTCGGTTACCTGGGTAGAATCATTTTTGGTGATGCATTCCTTGAAGAAACAACTATTTAACAGTCTGAAAAAATGCCAGCAAAGCTTTTGGACTTAAGCTGTTTTGGAACATCACAGAAATAATCCACAGATTAAACAGATGGGTCTTATGCTGGAGTGTTCACCACCTTATTATATAGATATGGACTCTATGTTGTCTTTATACATGGAAGTTTGACAAATTTTACATATGATGCCTGAACAGCTAATAGAGTTATAATTGGCAAGATGAGAAATGTGATGTATAACCTGTATTGCACTTGCCTCCTCAATGAGGGTGGGTGGAGAGGGAGGGATAAAATTTGGAACACGAAGTTTTAAAAACAAATGTTAAAAAATTGTTTCCACTGGCAACTGGGAAAAAAGATATTCAGGCAAAATCTATTCTGCCCTACAGGAAAACAGAAGAGGAATGGGATAAGAGAAAGAGGTGGGGGGGTGAGATAGAAGGGAGGACAGGTTAGAGGAAGGGATATTCAGAATGCATGCCATCTTCAAGTGGGGGGAGGGATGATAAGTAGAGAAAATTTGGAACTGAAAATCTTGTGGAAGTGAATGTTGAAAACAGAAAATAAATTAATAGAATGTAAAAAAAATTTTTTTTAAAAGATGAGGAATGTGATCAAAGTGGCATATATAAAGTTCATTATGATTCTGTCAGTTTCACTGGATGGATATTTCATGAAGGAAGAACATTAGAATCCTCTCTCCAATCTTTCCAGCTCAGTCAGGAAAAGCATGTCACTGGACAACCCATTAAATAATGCAAAAAGTCCCTGCAGAAGAACATAAGGTCACGTAACATCTGCCCTCATTTATGGATATTTGTAGTAAAAATGAGGCCCACATGGCACAATATGCTCTGGCTTTTCCAAAAACATTGTCCCTGAAAAAGCAATGACTAAGAGAAGAACAAAAAGCAGGCAAGGTACCGATGACAAAGTTGTAATATGGTATCTGTGGGAAACACCTCAGCCTTAAGATTGAATTTTTCTCACAAGTAAACTACCCATAAGATCTATCAAGTGATGGCTCAGTACATTTATTCCCTATAACTACCAAATAAGAATAATGATATTAAAAAAACAAACAAAAAAATGCTTACCTTTTGAGAGTGCAAGAGAATGATAGTAACCACAAGCAATCTGTACTATCTGAATATCTGTCAAACTTTTAATATTTCTAGGAGGGAGAAAAAAGAGACCTCAATCAAACACAGAAATATATGACCATCTGTTCAAATGGCATGTCACAGCATTTTGTCATATTATGATCAGAGCACAATTCCCAAAAGTTCAACAGACAAAATGATGAAAATATTAACTATTTTAGAAAAAGTTTAAGAGATATGAGAAAATACCTTGAAAAGCCAGCACGTACTTAAACAAAGCATACTTATACTCATCCCCAAAGTACTCTCCAGTGTGCTCCCATAATTAATGCATGTTATTTTACTAATGGTCCTAGTCTTCTTTACAGCTGAACTTGCACTGGTTAGGATTTTGAAGACACTGGCATTCCCAGAACATTAATGCTTTATTTTCACTGGTCTTGTGGTTTCTTACTTACTTCAAACCTAATTTTCCCTCTATTAGGCTCCTTAGTGTGGAATGGTTTTTCTAGTGGTACTAACTCATAAAACAAAAAATAGAATCCCTCTTTGCTACCTTTTTGTTTCTATCCCCAAATCAAGCATACTATATGACAAAGTCTTTTTAAACCTTTTGTGAAAAAAATAACATAACTGAATAAAAGTCACACCTAAAGTTCTCTTACATAGAGATCCCTTTCATGTTTAACAGTGGTCCTACCCTATTTTTCCTTTTTATGAATAGATTTCTAAGAAGAAAAATTACAAAATACAGAAGGAATGTTCTTATTTCCTTTTACCTGATACCGCACTTGATTTGATTCTGCCAAATGAGAGTACAGAGCAAGCTCTGACTACAGAGCTGATGCCCATGATTTTCAGGATGCAAGATCTTCAGCAATCAAATTTTTAGTAGGAAAAGGGATACTTACTCTAATTCTACATTTCTGTATTATAAATATTCATTTTTAATTTCATGGATTTATCTTGTAATTACAAAATGTGAAAGTAGCATTACTCCTGATACCAGCAGCCCATGATTTTTACAACTTAACAAATGGATCTTCCCATGGAAATTTTTCTTACTTCAGAAAATGTCATATCTTTGCAACAAACAAAATGACAAAGGACCAGTGGCAAGAAATATGCTTGTGATGTACATGAATGGCTGTTTAACTAAAAAATGTCAAATATGACATCATTTTACACTGCCCCAAGCGCCTAAAAAAGCTGATTCTAGCTGTGGCAGAGACCCAGTGGAAATGTATTAACATTTTGCACAGACTTAAAATACCATTTACTTAAGCATGTTGTACACTAGGCTAAAGGGAATGAATTAATTTGAGGGAATCAAGTGGACTGTTAATTTATAATACAAATGCCTGACAACATTACCACTGCCACAATAAACTGGATCGGATCCAAACAAACCTCAAAGACACATATTTGGAGGCTTTAGTATTAACCTTGTATTAAAAAATTCGGTCAAAGAAACTGTCCTGAAGTTGGTCTGCAATAGCATCCAGTGAGCAAGGAGCGAGCCCTCCTCATCTTAAGACACTTTGCCTGCTGCTTTCTCTAGCGTGCGCTTGATACACAGTCAATAGGTGGAAATACCTTCCTATGAACCGTTAAAAGAAAGTTTCTCCTGCTGGAATGCACTGTTTACTCTTATACGTGGGTCTTAAAAAACAAGGCAGTAGTATATTTTGTTACTTTCGTGAGAACAAAGACAAAACTCAAACAGGTACAGTGGAAACATAAAATGGATCTACCAACTACAGTTTCAGGTGTTCTTTTTTTTGTGAACAGGAAACTAAATTTTTGTCACAATCCAATCTTCATTAGGTCAAATACTCTCTTGTGGGAAATAGGGATACATTTTTAGTTGCTAATAGTTTTCTGTTAAAACTCTTAAGTAACTTTTAACTGAACAAAAAAACAAAAACAAAAATAACACCTATAAATTATATTATTTCCTGCTAATCATTTGTGTGGAAGAAAGCTAAGCTGGCTTCTCACGGTACTTATCTCATTTTTGCTTTTTACTCAAGCAATTTATTCTTCCTTCTCCTTTGTTAGCTGCGTGCTAAAAAAAATCTTAAAAGGTTATTGGATCTCAATTTATATGACAGGACCTGTCATTTAAATAATTTTTATTTATCTAAAACCTTTCAAATGTATATTTAGGAAATTATGAAAATGCTTCACTCCAAGGAATGAATTTCTTTAGATAACAATAACTTTAAAAATTCTTTAGGTCAAATTTTTTTTAATTAAATTCAAATAAAATGTTTGCTCCTTAAGAGAAAAGCTTATTAATTTTACATGTCAATCTTTTTCAAACTAAAATACGTAATTTCCATTTAAAACAGAAATCATATATTGCTGCATCATGTATAGTAATAAGGAGAATGCTAAAGATTAAATAAAATTCCAACAAATCAACTCAGAATTCACATTGACGATTTTGCCAGTAATCACTGACAGTCTGAAATGCCTGTAATTAGACATAATAAAAACTAAGCAATCTCTTGCCTAATGGTATAAAACATTTGTATAGCTTAAGTCAACTTTAAGAAGAAGTTTTGTTTTGCCAAATAGTTAACAGAAGCTATTTTGAAACTATGAAATAGTATTGTTCATTTTTTTGTTTTTAATAAGGAAAAATATATTTCTTGATGTGGGTGTAGGTATTATTATTTCAATTATAGGTTGACATGGCGAATAACTGCTTAAGATCAGGGAAAGTGAATACCATACAACCAGTTAAAGAGTCACTTCCATACTCCTCAGAAATGCCATTTATCACAGCCACAATCCTAAGAAATGCCATTCATTGTCCAACTCATCTTGTCATGAAGCTCTAGGTCAGCCAAAAAACCAGGAAGTTTATAAAGTCCAACTTCTTCCAATGTTTTTCTTAAAATGTTAGTGTGAAAATTCAGATTTTAATTTACTTTGAACAATTAAGAATAAGGACAAGATTAAACTAACATTTTTTAAGAACACAAGCCATTTGTATCCTATCCAAATTCACTGTTTTCTTCAAAATTCCTGATTTCCATAAATACCTTCAGCTGAAATTAGAGACTTACTAGAAGAATTTAGCAAATGGTCTCCCACTGATGTTTCACCTGCATATGGAAACATTTTCAATACTAAGTATCACTGAACTAAGTCATTTATCAGGCCTTCCAAAAGAAACCCTAATTCAGCAAAATCTGTGGTCTGAACGAATCCAGGAAGGAAGTCAAGCTCTCTCTTTCATTATATTCCTTAATTTAATGAAGACTCTAGATGCAGCCTGTTGTCAATTTCTTATGCTCACTTAAATGCAACATTGCTCACCAGGAATTCCTTCATTTCTCTTGCCTCGTTAGAAAGGCTTCTGAGTATTAATTTTCACTCAAGAGAGACTTAAAAATCCTACCTGTCTGCTTCCACCGTCCCTCGTTTGTGTAGCAGAAATAACAGTGAACTCAAAGTAAGAAGATACAGTTCTATCCCCAGCTCTGAAACTTCCTTAGCTAGGTGACTTAAGGCAAGCTTTCTACCATTCAGGTTTGTCACTGTAAAACAGGGATAATACTTCTTCTGCCTACCTTATGGAGCTGCTCTTGGGATTAAATGAGAGAAATGAATGCATTCTATAAAATGGAAATGAAATAACATAAGGCAATATTATTATTCCTGTGGTTTAGTTTAACACTAAATGGAAAGAGTAAGTAATGATGAATGTGAGCCACTGGTGGCTTACCAGGAATACAGTTTAAATTGTCTTTAGCAGAGTCTAAAGTACCTTTTACATGACTTCAGTACTGCCACTTAACACTGCTAGGATAACCTTTCATAAAAAATACCCAGCAAAAATCTGAGTGAACTTAAGATGAATTTAAGTCAGGAAAAATGGCAAAACATCAAAATAAATAAAAATTTATTAATAAAGACTAAAATGAAACACTAGAAATAATAACTTGATGTCATATATGTTTTGCAAAGATAAATGAGACAAGTTTAGAGCTATATACCTGAGTAAGATTTCACCCATCAGATAAGTATATGAAAAAGAGGGGGAGAGGTCATAAGTGTACCATCCAGTCTCATGCAATTTTCAAAATGCAATGTTCCCTTCTGTCTTGATTTTTTTTCTTCCTTATTGTCAACTCTTAATTTATGCAATTCATTGTAGAAATGAGAATCTGAAGGAAGAGGATTATTTTTGGTGCCTGATTTAGAGCTGTCATCATCCAGCCCAACTGCCTCATTTTACAGATAAGAAAACTGACACTGAGACAGGTTCAGTGGCTTGTCTTTGGTGAGACAGACAGTGAAGGAGGAGACCAGGGGCTCTAACCAAGCACTCTAGTCATTGTACCACGCTGCCTCCCTGACAAAACCCGTGAGGGCTGAGGGTGCACTTACCCCTTTCGTAGAGAGCTAGGCCACAGCTTAACTGTGGGTTTGATTGGGCAAGTCACCTTATCTCTCTGGGGCTGTCTCCTCATCTGTAAAACATGGGCAGGGGGCAGGAGGGGAGGGAAAGAGGTGATACCTCACTTCCTTCCAGCACTGTGATCCTATAAACCTGTGACCCAAATCCCCCAAATAAAAAGAATTTAGCAATAATGTAGAATGAGTAAGGAAGACACAGTCAAAGGCACAATTCAGAAGGATTTGAAGGGGAAAGAAAATGCAATAAACAACAGCCACTAAAAATGCTGCCAAAAATTGCTTTGAAAATACTGACCTAGAAAAGACTGACATTAGGAGATCTAACATCAAAGTGTTTTCCAGTCTTAAGAAGCCCAAAGAAATTAGACAAAAGGCTCAAGTGAAGTAAAGGAAAGGAGGGACTGGATGGATGAAAAGAGCACTGGACTTTGAGGTAGGAGACCTGGGTTCTAGGCTCAATGCTACCACTCACCAGCTGGATAAAACACCTTCAAAACCAGAGGCTGCATCGTTTTTGTTCTTTAGTTTTTAAAATCAAGGTATCTTCAGTAAGAATAATGGGCTAATTTAAGCAGAATTAGGCAGCTAGGTGGTGTAGTGCATAGAGTGCTAGGCTTGGAGTCAGGAGGACCCGAGTTCAAAACCAGCGTCAGACACTTATTCCCGCTGTGTGAGCCTAAACAGGTTGACCTCTCTTAGCCTCAGCTTCCCCATCTGTAAAATGTGAGTAACAGGAAGAGAAGGAGAAGGGAATAAGTAATCACACAGCATCTACTACGTGCCAGGCACTATGCTAAGTGCTTCTTAACAAATATTTTCTCATTTGATCCTTACAACAATGCTATTACTAGCCTCATCTTATAGCTGAGGAAACTGAGACAGACAGAGGTTAAGTGACTTGGCCAGAGTCATACAGCTAGTAAGTGTCTGAGGCTAAATTTTAACTCAGACCCTCCTAACTCTAGGCCCAGTACTCTCTCCACTGCACCATCAGCTGCCTAATAATAGCACATATCTTTTAGGGGTTTTGAGGATAAAATGAGATAAAATTTGTGAAATGCTTTGCAAAACTTAAAAGCGCTACACAAATGCTAGCTATTATTATTTGGTTTTTTTCTATGAATTCTTTATATTACCTAATTTGTCAGTATCCAATTTAGCCTGAATTTCTTTGACTTGTTCTGAATGGAACTGAAAGAAACACAACTTAACAGCTTCAATTTTCACAGCTGTGAGACAAAACTTTTCCAAACAGCTACGTTCAGGAACATCAATAGCGCTCTGAGAATTATGTGCATTAATGTTACTGTTGCTCCAGAAGAAACCAAGAGGAAAATAAAAAGTCTTTGTTAATGTTCTACAGCTTTTGGCTACCTAAGTTTGATATGGATAGAAAGTACAGATGACGGACCCCATGAACCTCATCATACTTTGTTCATTGGGACTAACAGAAAATGTCAAATTAGTAATAAAAATCATTAACTATATTATAATATGTTAAACATTAAGAATTACTTAAACCTGTACTTGTACCTTAAAAAAACAAAACCTCTGGACATATATAGGAACATAATGTGATTCTGAAGGGACAAGCTGATTCATTTAGTTTAAATAACTTTAAAAAATAAAAGATTTTACCCTGACATAAATTTATTATGAAGCGTAAGAAACAACAGAAAGAGCTCTAATTCTGCAGTCAGAGAACCTGAATACAAATCCTGCCTCACATCCATTTTGACCAAGTAATTTAATCTCTCTGGGCCAGTCTCCTCATCTGTAAAATCAGAGGATTAGATTCCATGGTTTCTGAAATCCCTCCCAACTCTAGAGCTTGGATCCTATAAGCTTTCATTTTCCTAATACAGTTAATAAATCTAAATTTAACCCTATTTTTGAATCTATACAATAGCAATCAATGACGGGCATCGAGACAGAAAAAAGTATATTTGTTTATTTGAAATACGCCTAAAATTAGTTTGGCAATGCCATATATAGCTTATTTCTTTTGTTCCTGAAACCATCACCAGGATAAGAAGCAAAACAATTTTAACAAGAGCAAGACTTTTTGCACCCTACTACTTTTAGCCATCAAAAGGGAACTACAAAGGTTTACAAATTTACATGGATTTTTAAAGTTTAGCTAACGGCTATCTCTTACATAAAAATCATAGTTCTAAAATCTACGTAAAATTATGACAGTAGAGAGGCATTCCTATAAGAGGGAATTAAGATTTTTAAGCAGGTCTATTCCACAAACTTTAGTAAAATAACTTCTATAAGCAAGCATTCTGATTTCTTAAATTTTTAAAAATTTAATCCAAGGTAGGTAAAGAGCTACTTGGGGGAGGGGCCAATATAGTAAACTGACATGACATTTCAGAACTACTCCTCACCATACACGAAATGAGAGAGTCCATCTAGCGGCCTTATTCCAAATTCGCAAAAGGGGAAAAATGTTTTTAAGATAACTCACTTTTCCTCTGCAAAGCACAGGACACTGGTAGAATGTTTAATAAGATCTTGAAAATGATTTTCACAAACGATCGTTTTCAATTTTCTAATAACTATCAAGAGGAAAAAAAAAGACCTCCTCATGGTCCCCTTTGTTACCTGGGCACTCTGATATATTCTTCTGTCCCTGGCAGACCCAGCTGCCCATCGGTATCAAGTCCCCAAGCATACACCTGGCCCTTATCGTTGAGTGCGAGTGTATGAGCTTCTCCACATGAAACGGCTACAATATTTTGGGCATCCAAGGCAACAACCTGCTCTACAGAAACCAAGAAGGGGAGAAATTATGTTCTAGCTTTGTACTTTCAGTAAGAAGAATAAATAAAATAACCAATTGTATTCATTGTGCAGTGGGTTGTATAAGATCCATTGTTCTTAATATACCTTATAAGCAATTCCAGTCATTTTAAAGATATAAAAACAAACCATAACATGTTTTCTTTCTTACCTTATAACCTTATCTTTTTTCATTAAGGGTAAAATGCAGGTTAATATTTAGAAAATTCGTTTATTTGGGTCCTATTTACACTTCTGCCAAGGCTAATCAATTACTATATTTCAGTAACGTTCTGTCCTCATTAAAGCCATTAGTGCCTAGGGTTAATAACATACTTTCATTTCCAAAAATGCTTAAATTTATTGCATAGCAGAAATGTGGGGTCAGTCATGTGATAATAGTGATATCTGCAATAAAGGAGCAAGGTATTAAACTCATAATTATTTTTCCACAAGAGAAATACAAATAGCTCTCTGATTACTGAACTTGCTAGTTGTTTTCTTCTTCTCAAAGGTCTTTAGGTACAGTGTATTGTGTGTATGTGTGTCTGTGTCTGTCTCCAAGGAAAACTCTTAATTCTACACCTGTTCAGGATACCATTCCATTTGGATATTGATAAATGTGTTCTAACTGTTGGGCAGAGATGTCAGCATACAAGTCCATCTGAATTTAAATACTGACACACATGGGCAGCAGAAGTACACTTCTCTCATAAGCTTCCCCTAAGCTTTACTCTTTAAGCATCTGCAAATGAGCAGAGGTCGCCACAGCTGCCAGTGACAAGCTAACGGATACGATTAACAAATAAATAAACTCCAAACAGAGGAAAATCTAGGTAAAGTTACACACTGTAATATGTGGCAAACTTATAATATAAAACCAAAAGGATCTGCATGATGCTTATATCTCTGAGTTGACATATAAGACAAGCAAAACTACCTTAGCACAGTGCCTGGCACATAGTAAGTGCTTAATAATTGTTGACCGATTCACATAAAAGAACAAGAATACCACATTTTTCCTATTTTGTAATATTGATAAGAAGCAGGAAATATACATCCTTTGATTTGTTCTTTTTAAAAAATAATGTTTTCCCCAGTTACATGTAAAAACAATTTTTAACATTTGGGCTTTTTTTTTTTTAAGTTTTGAGTTCCAAATTTTATCCCTCCTTCTCACCCCTCCTCCCTCCCTGAGATGGTAAGCAATCTGATCATATAGGTTATACATGTATAATCATGTAAACATTTCCATATTAGTCATTTTGTGGAAGAAAATTTGAATAAAACAAAAAAAAAGTGAAAAACAGTATGCTCTTATCTGTAGTCAAATACTACTAGTTCTTTCTCCAGAGGCAGATAGCCTTTTTTGTCATGAGAAAAGCTAAGTCATTCACAGTTGATCTTCACATAGTATTGCTGTTACTGTGTACAATGTTCTCCTAGTGCTGCTCATTTCACTTTGCATCAGTTCATGTAAGTCTTTCCAGGTTTTTCTGAAATCATCGTGCTTGTCATTTGTTTACAATCATACACCACAACTTGTTCAGCCATTTCCCCAACTGAGCAGCATTCCCTCAATTTCCAATTCTTAGCCACCACAAAAAGGACTGCTATAAATACCTGTGCATACTTAATTTTTTTTTTGTTTTCTTTTGTGAGGCAGTTGGGGTTAAATGACTTTCTCAGTCACACAGCTAGTGTCAAGTGTCTGGTCTGAGAGCAGATTTGAACCCAGGTCCTCCAAATCCAGGGCCAGTGCTCTATCCACTGCACCACCTAGCTGCCCCCAATTTCTGTGTATAAATAGGTTCTTTTCCTGTTCTTTGATCTCTCTGGGATACAGACCTAGTAGTGGTATTGCTGGATCAAAGGGTATGCACAGTTTGACAGCCTTTGAGGCATAATTCCAAATTGTTCTCCAGAATGGCTGGATCAGTTCACAATTCCACCAACAATGCATTAGTGTCCCAGTTTTTCCATATCCCCTCCAATATTTATCATTTTCCTTTTCTGTCATATTAGTCACTGATGTGTTCTTCTTCAATAATAGATTCCAAACGGAGACTGAACAAAATCCACAGTAAGAAATTTTTAGCACTACCAAGTCAAGCAACCATTTGCACAACAAATATATTTATTCAAGTCAATCAAATTATTCTACCACCATTCTATAAACACTGAAGAAAACTTGACTCAATTTCAATTTTTAAAAATGTTTGCTCAGAGCTGACAACCTGACTATAAAAACTGCAGGTTTTAAATGTTAAAAAGTAGTATTCAAATGAAAATGCTAGCACACATTTCATGGCTTTATCATAGATCCATGAAGCATCAGTTTTCAGAAGGTGGAGCTTAAACGTGAATCAGAACACACTTCTTAAAACTGAAGGCATAATTCAGATTACAAATCAAATAATTTCATGAAAAGGCATACTTTGTAAGAATAAATTGTTTTCTCTCACAGGACAAGGGATGTGACCCTGGGCAAGTCACTTACCCCTATTTGCCTCAATTTCCTCATCTGTAAAATAAGCTGGAAAAAGAAATAGCAAACCACTCCATTATCTTTGCCAAGAAAACCTCAAATGGTGTCACAAAGAGTTGGACACAACTGAAACAGCTGAACAACATCATATAAAAGTTTCAACTAGTGCATACATTTATTTTTATCATTAGCAAGCTTAATCTTTAACATGAAAAGTAAGATACTTAATTGCAAAGTATTACCTAGCTATGTTTCTGAACTAAATTTAATCCAGTCCCAGTAACCAAAATCTAGCTCCTTCTGCCAATCCAAATATATATATGTATCTTTACATATGAGCCATAAATAAAACAAGAAAAAAAGGGCATGCTTGCAATCCATATATTTATGCTTATTCCCTAGTATTTTAAGAACAAAGAATATTAAAATTCTATATACTAAATAGGGAAATATTAATTTACATAAGCTGGTTTATCAAGGATACAAAAAACTTTGTATGTATCTTGAAACTGCACTTCAAGACCTCTCACAACATAAACATATTTTCCCAGTTTATGTCCTATCTAGTTAGAAGAAACAGCACAAAGTCATGCCTACAAATGGAGCAACTGGCTGGTTGAATGTGGATGTATCCTCAAACAGAATTCTAGTGTAATAAAATGCACTGCCATGCACAAAAGGAAAAATCATTACGGAAAACTAAGCCTTCGATGATCAGTGTGTGTTTCTTCTAAAATGCGTTTTTCTTGGCAGAACAACTGCTGCTGCTGCTGTTTGTTCTTCACTCTAGAAGAGGACCACGATATCAGGGAGGTGATGCCATGACATGCAAGTGAATTAGATTTAAGTGAGGGAGGGCTGTGCAAAGGCACCAGCCTCACTCTCTCCTCCAGAGCCATCTGGATCCAGTGGCCAAATATGGATCAGGACAACTATAGATGGTCCTGGATGCAGTGGCAGGACCTTGGCGTTTTTGAGCTAAGTCTTTTTAACAGGTCTCAATTTGACTGAGACAGCGCCAATTCAGTGATTGAGGCTTAATAAAAAATGAGCCAAAGAATGGCCTCTTTAATACATACATACGTGTGTGTGTGTGTGTGTGTGTGTGTGTGTGTGTGTGTGCGCGCGCGCGCGCGCTCAGAGTTGAACAAACTTGCTCAGGCTCACACAGCTAATAACTGGAAAAACCAAGTATCCACCAAGTATCCTCTTTCCAAGTGTCAGACATACTCCAGGCACTTAGTCTCAGAATCAGAGAACATGTCCTGAAGGACTGAACATTTTCTACTCAAAAACTCCAGCCCAGGCCCTTACTGTCCTGCACCACCCCCAAACTGGTGAGTTTGGCCCCTCATATCTAAGATACAGTCATGCCTCACGTTACACCCCCTTCCCTGCATTACCTTACAGAAGCCTGACTACATTAGCCTGCACTGCTACACATCTCATTCTTGTTTTCCAGTTCTAGAACCATAATCAAATCAACACTACCATGGCTAATAGGAAAAGTGTGCTAATCTACTCCCCCCATCACCATTTTTGTTGTTCAGTCATTTCAGTTGTGCCCAACTCTTTGTGACCCTATTTGGAGTTTTCTTGGCAAAGATACTGAAGTGGTTTGCCATCACCAGACTATCCCAGAACTTTTCAAACCAAAATACCCATCCCTTGCCACCACTCCCTTACACACAGTATTATCTTCCTTTATTAGAATGTAAGTAAGCTCCTAGAGGGCAGAGACTAGTTTTGCTTTTGAATTTGTATCCTTAGCAATTAGCTTGGCACACTGTAAATGCTGAATAAATGCTTTTTCATTCATTCATTCCACAGCCTAATATGACAATTGTCCAATGACTAACTCCATAGCATCTTAGTTTATCCAATTATCAGATTGTGATAAACCAACCCTCAGAAATAGCCATAACCTGAAGCAGCAATGAGAAATGTACCCAAAATGACAAGACACAATGTTATTGGTCAATTTACTAACCCACAAGTGTGATCTCACTGGCTAGTAATGACTGCAAAATCCAAGGCCTCTCTGAACTACAGCTAAGAAGCAAGGGAAGAAAAGACAAGAAATGAGAGGAAAAGAAAAGGGACTACCAAAAAAAAAATAAGGAAAGGAGACAGAGAGCAGGTGAAAATACAAAGTGTCCATGAAGCAGACCCATGGAGAACAAAGGGAAGAAAAAATAACAAGTGGGCAGGAGCCTGAGAAGATGTGGCACCAGAGCAAACAACTCTAACCAAATCAACAGGATCTTTCAATGACAACATTAAAGATGAACCAACGAAAATAACCCATAAGACTGAAGACATTTAGTGGAGGGATAAATGTTTCTACATGTTAATATCTGCTAAATAATGGCAAATGCTCACATTTCTATAGTACTGAAGAGGAACAACCAAACAATGCTGAGGTCTACTCATCCCATTACCAGTGGTACAGTGGAGTAGGTAAGGTGCTGAATTTGGAGTCAGGAAAACGTGAG